ATGCTTCAATATTCCATCGACACTCGGTTCAATTCATAATAACAAAGCATTTTTCTTTGGTTTTGAGTTTTGAGTTTAGAAGGCATACAGAATAAGCAACCGTTAGGAATCTGATGTTCCATCCTAGCTTCCATTGATTCCAATCATGCTGCATGCTTACTGTAACAATGAAGCTCAAAACTGATCCCACTAAAACCATCAGAGCTGTGAAGGATAGTGGACATGGATAGTGCTGAGAACCTTTAGCCTAAAATTGTAAAAAATAAAAAAAAGAAAACAATTTTTGTGGAAATTAAAAAGTAACCCTGAAAGAATATAAATAGATGATTATTCTTTTTCCATCTAAATAAGAATTTGATCTTTCGTTAATAAAAATTTTTGACAATTAGTTTGAGACGGAAGAAAGACTACCTTACCTGAAAAATAAGCCAAAGGGAAAAAGAGACAACTGTTAGGAATCCGATGATAACGCCGAGTGAAGGATTAGAAGCACCATTTGTTTTGGTCATTGTCTGATGATGATGACTGGTGATCTTGAGAAGGTTTAGATTTGTTTTCCAAATGGTAATATTTGAACCTTTGCAAAATGAAGACACCATCGCCCCACTAATTCCTATAAATGTTCCAAATAATTTTGCTTTTCCAGCTGATGTTTTCCATCCTACTTTCTCTAACCTGAATAAATCATATTGACGAAATTCCAAGGTAATTAAATTGATCAACTAATTACAGATTATGCTTAATTAAATGGTGATTGAAAATTTTCGGAAAAAATGATAAAAAAAAGTTTAGCTCAAGCAAATTCCGATTAGGAAGGTAAAAGCAGGTACTAGACTGAGCATAACCGAAGGATATGTCACCGACGTAAGTACTAAGGTTTCTAAGAATAGGTTTGGTCCCAATGCTCCACTGCAGAATTTTATTAAGAATAGGAACATTTAAGTTGAAATCATATAATTAAGTGATGCTCCATCTCTTTCTTCCAAATTAAATAAGAGTTCCATTTGTGTCTATTTGATTCAACAAATGAACGAGACTCTTATTTAGGAAGGTGATGGAGAATAGATACAAATGTGAGATATGGATGGACAAACCAAAGACAGCATTTTACACAAATACTCGATATTTTCCATTAAATTACCACATACTGTGGTACAATATAATTTAGGAACAATAATTATGTCATTTCATCATAATAATTCTATTTCAAGTTTAAATTTCTTCCTGATTTCTTAAACTGAGACTATTATTATTGTTGTGATGGAATCAATTTCACATAGAGATTATAAGGAAATAGCAACTAGAGGACTGAGCCCACAAAATGTCTTGTAGCCCAACTCCAATCTAAAAGTTTTAGCCTCATATCACGGCTGCACGCATGAGATCGAAATAATCTTTCAACTCAATGAAAAAAAAAGTAAGTGTCGGAACAACTGAAAGTTTAACTAATACCTAGTAAGTGTCGGAAAAGTCGAAAACATGGCTCCGGAAATTTTTTTTTATCACACAATCAAAATCAAAGATCTCAACCAGTGTTTCATATGAGCTTGGATGACTGGAATTGCACAAGAGAGATTGAGAAGATTCCAGTATATTTAATTAACAAGGTAAAAAGAAAAAACACCATGACACAAATGAGCTAACGTTTCGAAGAAGAGGGCAATGGGAATCATGGAAGCCGCACCTATAAGAAAACGATATGCCATTATAACCCTTTCATCCATCCCATCGTTTGCTGCAAGTTTCCATAGTAGAATCATTCCTGAATTTATTCCCTGTAATAATACCATTAGTCCTGTTATCATTAGCTTGCTATCCCTGATAAATTCCTCCATTCTTGCCATGAATTCTAAAGTTTCTTTGTGTGTGTGTGTGTCTGTGTGTGTTTGCGATAAAAAGAAAAAAAAAAAAAAAGGAACTCAAGATTGCTATAATCTAACAAATGAAATTAATGTGGGGGTTGTGTTTTGGGTTTGCTCATTGGGCCATTGGGGTTTTTTTTTTATATAATGAAACAGTATTTGCGACAAATGAGGTTTTTTTTTTTTTTTCAAGAAAACCTTTTGTCTATTTTTTTTCCCGTATATGGTAACAAGGGACTAAGACAAAGAAGTTCTTCTGTACATTTACTATACATTTATTGTAGTTTGTTTTTGTAAGTTTTTCGACTTGCAATTCATTTTGGGTTTGGCGGAAACAATTTGTTTGTATTGAAATTTGAAAAATAAAAGTATATATATTTGCATGCGTATACCTTGATCTCAAGCTGACAATTGAGCGGGTAGGGCGGGTATTTAATGGGCGGGAGATTATTGGGTATGAGAAGTTAACTACTTATTTATTTTACACACAGTTGAGTATGGGTAGGGATTGAAAAATGGGTAGCCCATTACCCATTGGGATCCAATGAAGTACAATTATTGAGATCCCAATGGGCTATTTTTTAATTTTAACTTTTATCTTTTTTAGTTCTACAATAATTTTTTTCCCTTCTCTTTGTTATCATTTTCCCCCTTTTCGTTTGTTTTTTTAATTCATATTCTTTTTTTCTTTTTTTTTTGATTAATTAGAATATTTTAACCCATACGACTAATTATTAACGACTAGATAAGTAGGAAAAAAGTATACATTTTAAAAATAAGTTAATTAGCACATTCAAATGTACAGATTAATTAATTTTCATATGATGAGATCTGAGTTGCATAATCGAATTCATTAAAATAGCTTAATCACTTATGATAAAAGTTGATGCGATAGAATTGATTTTTTGTTTGGGCATATATTTTTGTTGATAATCAATGGTTATTTACATAATAAATTAATTTTTTTTTTTGGTTTTTGGAATAGAATATTTCTATATATATAATTAAAATTTAAAGAAAACGGCTCATCATAAATTATTTCCAGTCGGTATAATTAATGAAAAACAATATACTACTTAGTTATTTCAAAATAGCGTGTGAAGCTCCTCAAAATATTTCTTAATTCCTGGGGAGGGGGAAAGGGGGGGGGGAGGAACCCACCCAACCAATGAAGGAGGGAATTTCAATAACCATTCTTAAATTTGAGTAGGATTTTCTCATTACAGTGGCTCAATCTTGTTCTCATGGGCAAGGGTTAGGATTTGTTGGCAGAGCCATCAATTTCTTAACTACTACCATTCTAACGTAGTTTTCAAAGTACTAAATGAAGGTGTTAACATGAAATAGTTGCTCATAAAAAGAAAAGAAAGCAAGAAAAGATGTATTAAAATGAAATAAAATAATTTCTTATATTCGAAATGCAATAAAATAACTTTCGTTACCAAAAAAAAAACAAAAAATAAAAAAATTTACGATTTAGTGTTGTCAATGGAATATGAATTTAGTCCCGTTGGGTTTCAAAAAGGGACCCAATAACCCGCCCATTTATATTCCGCTCAAATTCAATACTACCCACTTAGTACCGAATTTATAAAATGGGTGGGTAATTTGACTAATTTCCTTACCAATAAATAAAGTCCCAATGGTACCCATTGGGAATGGGTGTAATTGCCAGCCATACCTTGACCCTAGACAGCGGGATATGTTTAAACCAACTAATGAATTAATGTTTTGAAAACTTTGATTAATTTTTGAATTTATAATTTTAACATAATTTTTCTTCTTTTCTATAGCTTGCTGGCATTCTTATAATTTGTAGCCTACACATCATATGTTAAGGGAAGAGCAACGAGATTAATTAGACAATTTCACCGAGCCAGATGAACAACAGAATGAATGTTCAATATCGAATGAGAAAGACAAAGGAGAATTGAAGAAATATAAGAACAATTTACTGCAAGCAGACTATGATTTCACCGAAGACTTTTGGCTGCTACTCCTTCAGTCACAAAACGATTATCCAATTGTCAGAGGCAAAATACAAAAATTGAATCTTCGTGTAGCAGACCTTCAAAGATAAAAATGAACGAAAAACCACCTATTTTTATTCATTTAGCAGCAATAAACCAATTAAGACAGACATTGAGTTAACCACCTGATTTTGTTTTTATTTTTCTCTTCTTTTTTGTTTTTTTTTTTTCCCCATTTTGGTTAATCAATTAGTCAATATATAAATATATCCCTAATGTGTTTCTTGATTTCATAATCGAGTTAGTTACACTTGTCAACTCATAGTTGAAGAAAAAGACAATTAATTCTTGTTTGGTTTAACCTTTTTTTGTGATCTTTCTCTGAATTAAGTTGGCTCATCAAGCATCTTTGATCCTTGAATTCGCAATGTCAAACAATTCCTTAACCGTTCCTGCAGATTCCTTACAATGTTAGCATTTCTCGATATTTTCCGATTAATACCTTTATAGAACTCTACCATTACGTTACGTACGTCCATGAATATGTTGTACCAAAGTCTAAAAGTAGATAAAAATGTCTCTTTCGAAAATGATTGTTATGTGGATTACAAACAAAATTCAAAAATGTTGTCTCTTTTGAATTGAAAAGAAAAAACTACAATCTTTTTGTGCCATGTTCAGTTTGGATTTTAAAATTTTATTTAATTTAAATTAAAAATAAAATTTAAGTAATTAAAATAATTATTTTGAGACGGAAAGTATATGTCTGATTATCTAAATTGACATTTTGCTTTGTCTCGTTAGGCTCACCGATAGTTGACTTTGTTCGAAGTGATTCGGTACCCATTTGGTCATCATCCCTAATTCTATATATTCAAATGGAATGTACCTATCATTATGAGATAACTTTTTATGACACACACATATGTAGGTCTTCCAATATAGTAGTCGCAAATAATTATAATAGAAGGTAGCATATTAAAATACCAAATTAATGTACGATTGAATATTTCCTTTGTCCGGCTGCGCTTGACAATTTTAGTTATTATTTATTTATTTTAGTTGAAGGAAAAATTAAAAAGTCATACACCACAATTAATTTTTATATACGCACTAATTAATTTAAGGATCCTTGGGTTAATGTGCTAATTACCAAGATCAAAGAAGATGCTAATGTTGGATGATCAAGATTCCAGGCACCCAGTGAAGTCAATCATCAACACACATCACCACATGATTTGACAGTTGTATTTATAAATATTTCATTATGCTTGTTCACATTCCATTAATTCCATCACTATCCTAATTATTCCAATTCTCCCCAGAAAAACATGATTTAGATTAAGCCAGGTTTTTGCTTAGTTTTGGAAGGAGATCAGAAAGTTAATATAGAGCAGAAAAAATGACAAGCAACACGAAAGGGTGGATCCCAACAGTACTAATGGTAGTGTATCACGTGATATACGCGTGGATGACCATTTTCCTGAAATTAGCAGCCCATGATGGAATGGATCTCAGAGTTGCTGTTACTTATCGCTTTGTTTTTGGTGCTGTTTCCATGGTTCCCATTGCTTTTTTCTTCGAAAGGTATGTCTCTTTGCACTTACTCTTTCTCTAATTAAACACAGGAAGATGTTATTATGCTTGTAGTTGGACCCTTTTTGGGGTGTGTATTTACAACAAGCAAAATCTCAAAATGTATGTTATTCATTACATGTCCTCACTCCTCAATGTATTTTGCAATCATATGTATGCATTTTATGTTTTTCAGTTTCCATTGTACCGTATTATAGACCCGATATTCAAAATTACTGTCTCTACTAATTTGGATTCAAATAAAACAATTTACGTTTAAGAAGTAAATCTTACAATAAGTATTTTAATCGCTGTTTGATGTAGTGTTATGGTACATGCTCTTTTTGTGTTCTTTTGTCTTGAACTTGTGTCATGTTGAATGACTCCAACTTATTGTTGTTTTGTTGACTTTTCCTTTGCCTTTGCCCATTAGAAATGTGTGTGGCTTAGTGCAGACATCCCAAAAGAAAAAAAAAAAAGTTTCTAAGTTTTGGATTTTGAAATAGCTAGAAATCAAGATTTACCCCAACAATATTAAAACGTTGAAAAAGTTATAAGTTGGAAATAAAAAAAAAAAAACATCTGTATTTAGAATCAAAGTAGTTTCAAGTTTCAAAGTCACTAAATATCGTAGCAAAATATAACAATCAACTAAATATCCTAAAAATCCTAGCAATAAGTAATAAGAATTACGTACTAATTTCCTTAACATCAAAATGTATACATCTAGAATCAACTAAATATCCTGGCAATAAAGAATAACCATTACGTACTTCTTTCTTTGCAGGAAAACTAGACCAAAATTAACGTGGAAAGTTCTCTTCTTTGCGTTTTTCTGTGGATTATTGGGGTAAACTATAGTGTTTCTCTCTCGTCTTTTTCTTATTTTTTATATTTCCGCTAATTGTGTGTTTGGGGAGTTGGTTATGAATAAAATATTCTACTCTCTCTGTCCCAAAATTATTGTCCACTTTGAAATTTCATTTTAGTACAATTTAAACTAAAAATGAAAACTCAAACTGGACAATAATTATAGGACGGAGGGAGTATGTTTTATATCTCAGTGTTATAATACAATTGTTTAATTTGTATATTAGTTTTAATATAAATAACAAGACAACTATTTTGAGGTGAAAAAAAAATCCATTTTTCTATTGTATACATTGATAGTCTTAATTACTCTCTCGCTTAGTTGACTTTCGTTCTAACAATATGTATATTTGTAGATTAGGTCCACCTCTACTTTAATATAACCAAAAAAAAAAAAAAAAATTCTAAAATGAGATCTCACATTCTTAAGTTAATATTCTGCGATGCGTGATTGAACAACAAAATATAACTCAAGAAAAGGAACCGTGCTTTCTTACAAAATACTCCCTCCGATCCTCAATATAAGGTATTTTGATTTGTCCTAAATTTAATCTAGTCCACATTTTTAATTGATGAAAAAAATCTTAAAAATGCTTCATAACAATCAAGAGAATCCAACGAACGTAAAAATTTATTTTTAAGATTTTTTCGTCAATTACAAATGCGTACTATGTGAGATTTAGGACAAAATCAAAATGTCTTATATATTAAGGGGCGCGAAGTATAATTGTTGAATAACAGTATGCTTTCTTACAAGTTTTAATCTCACCTCGAAAGTTTATAATCTCAAAGACTACCACCATAAAACATTTTGCACATTTTATTCATCACGAATTTTTGAATTGAAATTTCTAGTATGCAGTAGCAAAGCTAAAATGATATTGGACTTTCCGAGTGTGAGTTTGTTTGCTCGATTTTTCAAACGTCGTATTGGCTCTCTTGTGTTATAGACAGCTTTAAATTTTGTTTAATTTTTTAATCTGTCCGCGACATTTTGGGCTTGTTTGTCTCATATTGTGTTTTCAAATAAATATAAGAATTTAAATTACTAATTTGTTCTGAGTTAGACTCGTCAAATTCCATATGGTTGGCGTATAATGATTAAATTAAATGTATGTCACTTTGACAAGAATTTAGTGAATTGCCTAAAGTCGGTAGTTTTACAAATTATTGAACCAAAAAAAATCTAGGCTTTGGCCTCCTCGATCTCCTTTTGTACCAAAAAAAAGGAAGACAAATCATTTTGGTAAGATGGTGCCTATAGCTAAATTGGTCATTATGCAATCAAAATTTCATATTCTTCATATGGCAGAGGTGCATTGGGACAAAATCTATTCCTAGAAAGCTTGGCACTTACTTCGGCCACATTCGCCTCAGCTATGCTCAACCTAATGCCCGCTACGACATTTTTGATAGCTGTATGCACGAGGTTTGTTCATCATCTTGAAGACTCTAATTACATTCTATTATATTGTATCTTCAAATTAAGAACATACTTCCTCCGGTCCTTAATATAAGATATTTTAATTTTTTCTTAGATTTCACCTAGTACGCATACGAAAAAAATTTTAAAGATAAATTTTCACGTTCATTGTATTCTCTTAATTGTTATAGAATATTTTTAAGATTTTTTTGTTAATTAAAAATACGTACTAAGTTAAATTTGGGACAAATTAAAATGTTTTGTATTAAGGAGCCGAGAGAGTACAATATAGCAACACTTTTAACAAAATTACTTTTCTGAGATGTGACGGTTACGTACTTAGCTAGAAAAACCTCGATATTGATTTTTCAGATTGGAGAGTGTAGGTTGGCACACACGAGCAGGTAAAGCAAAGGTGTTTGGAACAATCATAGGGATTGGAGGAGCAATGTTGTTCACATTCTATAAAGGTCCAAATATTACTGTTTGGAAAACCAATGTAAACCTTCTCAACATCTTGCCTAGTCATCATCAGACATCACCTAAAACACAACATAGTAACCAAGCACTTGGTACTATCTTAGCCTTCTTGTGTTGTGCTTCTGTCTCTCTCTGGTTCATTATTCAGGTGAGAAAAATATAAACAAATGATCTCCATGTGGTTGGGGATAAATCATAATGTAGCGTATTTTTTTTATGGTTGATAATTATTTTCCGAAAGAATTAATTAGTATCTTCAATTCATCAGCATTTTTTCGCAATAGTTTTGCCACCATGATCGCCTCCAAATTACTCTCTTTGTAATTTCATGTAGGTGTTTTTCCTTTTTTTTTTTAATAGGCTAAGGCCGCTCAATACTATCCTTGTCCATTATCTTTCACTGCCCTAATGATTGTGATGGCATTGGTTCTGAATTTGATTGCGACAAGCTGCTTACAACGTGATTGGAACGAATGGAAGCTGGGTTGGAATATCCGACTTGTTGCGGTAGCTTTTTCGGTAGGTGCATTGAAATTGAAATTGAGAAGATCAAATTAGATATTCTCTCGATCGCCGTCATCCCTCATCCATGTACTAGTTTAGGTCGATAAATATGTCTTTATTTTTGGAACGGAAGGAATATATTTATAGGTCATCGTTTTGCAATGTTCCATACTTATGCCTGAAATTTTTTTAATGCATCTGAATTATTTAGTTAGTAGAAACATTTTTTTTTTTTCAGGGAATTGTTGGCACCACTTTTATGTATTGCTTATTAACTATAGTTATACCAATGAGGGGTCCGCTATTCGTATCAGCTTTCAACCCTTTGATAGTTGTTATTGTGGCCATCGTCGGATCACTTATACTTGAGGAGGATTTATACTTGGGAAGGTAAGATGTTCCATTAATTAAGTTTATGAAATTTCAGTTACTTTTTCTTCTTTGTTTCTTTCTGTTTTCTTTTTAAGGAAATTCATACATTTTGTCGCTTCATCCCTTCCGATGAAAGAGTTAACATTTACCTCTCACAATTTTATCCAGCCGTCCCTATATATATATATATATATATAAATTGGATGACTTAATGTCTTTGAAAAAGTAATTTTAAAAAATTGATAGAGTATCCTGTCTAGTTGAAATTAACTGGCTACTTTTGCATAACAGAATGAGTATTTATTTAGACTACCGTTTAACACTTGTTTCACAGCTTGCTTGGAGGTTTGCTTATAATATGTGGATTATACATCATATGTTGGGGAAAAAGCAAAGAGATCAAGATGATGGCTAATTCCATTGTGCCAAATGAGCAACCGGAGAGTTCAATATCAAGCCACGAGAGAGATAAAGAGGGAGATGTATAGTAAGGAGTTAGTGTTGCAATTAGTATGACTTAAGATTCGAGAATATATAGAATCTACAACTTACGCGAGCTCTTTTTATGTATTTATGTATGTAGCTCCATTCAATTTAAATTAAAAGCACCGGTTGCTAGTGTTATGTGATCAATTCAGGTGAGAAGGTTATGTGAGATGATTATGGATTTAGGTCGGAAGGTATTCCGATCCTTATTATAAAATATTTTGATTTGTCTTAAATTTTATCTGCACTACAACAAAAATGGGTTATTAATACCTTTATAATGGGACACTTTTCTTAAAATGTGTCTCATTATATGTGTATTAGGACATTTGCTAAAAAATGTCTTATTAAAAATGAAAAAGTGTATGCATATTATGAAACACTATCATAAGTGTACTATGTGGGGTTGCTTGTGAGTTATTACCCTACTTAATGGGTCACTTTAAAGTGTCTTAATAAGTGACAATCTAATTATACACTTTTAAATATTTTATGACTTATTGTGACTCGATTATAGGAGACACTATTTTGTAGTGTCCCACGCAATGTGAATCACATGTGTCCTATTACACCACTTATTGAGACACAAAAAAAGTGTCTAAACTACTCATTTTTGTTATAGTAAGTTTATTTAATTGAAAAATATTTTAAAATATATTTTCACATTCGTTTTGTTCTCTTAATTATTAAGAAATAGTTTTAAGATTTTTTTAATTAGAAAAACATAGAAGGTGAAATTTAGGACCAACCAAAATAACTTATGATAACGTCAAAGTAAATAGTCTTAAAACACCTTTCAAACACAAAAACCCAATACTACCCAAACAACTTTTTAATTTATTTTTTAAATTTTATTTTATTTTTTTCGACAACCAACAAATTTACAACAATTTCCATCTATCACATTCTTTTCACAACAAGAAACTAGAACTCAGACTGCAAATCCTCTACTTTCCATAAATTCTTTTTTACATGCCCTATATTTATTGCAACAAAAACCCTCCATCTTATTTCCTGCTTGATTTGTCCTGCTACTGTTTCCACATCCTTTACCTGTTTCCCGTGCTGAACTTCATTTCTGATCCTCCACAAATGGTAAACTACAGCAGCTAACACACTGTATAGCACCCTTTGCTCGCACTTGCTGAACTTCCAAATATTCTGTAAGTGCCTCCTCCATAAAGTTATGGTTCTATGCACTCCACTGCATTCCAACTAACTCTTCATCTCCTGTAACAGTGCTCTGGAATATTGGCATTTGAAAAACAAATGCTCCATGCTTCCTTCCTCAGCCAAGCACAACACACATATCAGGGGTTGTTCTATAATCTTCAACTTCTGGAACCTTTCTAATGTAAGCAGCCTATCCTTCATTCCCAACCAAATAATAAAACTATACTTGAGAACATTATATTTGTTTCATATCCAAGTTGTTCCCTGCATTTTAACCCCTTCTCCTCTAAACCAATCATACCCAGATTTTATAGAGTAATAGATATTCTTGGAAATTGACCACTTCCCTTGCAGCATACCCTCTCACAGTATCTCCCTTATGCTCATCAACCATTTCCAATACTAACAAGCACCTTGAGGAGGATAATATTTCAAACATTATTTTTACACAATTTTTATCAACAACCACAAGACCGTCGCCGCCGCCATCGTTCACCGCCGGCCCGCGGCGGGTGCTGGTGGTGGAGGTGGTCCGGTGATGGTGTTAAAATATTATTATTTTATTTAAAATACTACACAAACAACTTTTTAAATTTTCTCTCAAATCACATTTCAAATCATATCTCAAACTCAAAATAAAAACTAAACCAAAAACTAAAAATAAACTATTGTCTAAACAAGCCCTAAGTACTTTGGGCTCCCATATCAAAACCAATTAAGAATGAGTGGGAGGCCTTTGGATCTTATATACTGAGTCACTTATCTTCACGGTGGCGATGTGGTACAAAATAATGCACCTTAAAACTCTCTCTCAAGTCAAATGGGTCTTTGAACTTTTTGCCCAATGGACTTGAATTAGAACAAGAATAAAATAACCCACAAGCCAACACTCTAGTGGGAGAAAACTAGTTATACCGGTGGGTCGGTCTACAAAAAGCTTACGAGTCATTACTCTAGTGGGAAAAAACCAGTTATACCACTAGATCGGTCCACAACAAGTCCACGAGTAACGCTTAAGTGGGTTAATATAAAATCACCACAGGTCACTTCCGGTCCAGAACTCCACCACAAGCCCAAATCGCTCTGTTACCATGTCAAAGTATATAAGTACTTTAGACTCCCATCTCAAAACCAATTGACAATGAATGGAGTAGTCTTTGAATCTTATATACTGAGTCGCTTCTCTTCACGGTACCGATATGAGACAAGATAATACATTACTTTAACATAGAAGGACTGGAGGGAGTACTAATTATCGTTAATTTTTTTAATGCCCCATGGTTTGTCCAGAAATAAATTATGTACAAGTATTATGGACATCATTTTTCTTGTTCTTTCCCACCAGCTTGGTGGGAGGGTTTCTTAAATCTAGTTTTGTAGTTATACATCATATGTTGGGGGAAAAGCAAAGACATTAATGGCAAATGAGCAAATGGAAGGTGCGATATCAAATGATCAATGAGAAAGATAAAGGAGGAGAGGTATAAGAAGACTGAATTTGTTGGACGATTACAACATGACTACTCACTACTGATTCTTCCATGCTATATTTTGAGTTCAAAGAACAAAAAGAGAAAAATGCTTCATTGAATAGTTCATACTTTTCCCCTGGCTCCTAAATAAAATCCCAAACTAGACATATATTTCAGAACAGGCGGAGTATATAATAAGCGGTATGCATTGTTACATCAATGAGTGAACTGCCTTGCGATGTTCTTTATACTAACGACTCTTGCAAATTGGTCAGCAGTTTTGGCGTTGCTAAATTGACGCGTCTAATTATAACTATATATCATCTCACTGATGAGAATCGTACATTGATTGAGTCATGCATGGCCACTGGGCACAACCTGATGAAAACGCCCCTTTTATTATCTTATTAGTTAAGTAAAAGCCAATAGCTAGGCCCAAAAATAATTAAAAAAAAAAGGTAAACTGATCAATCCCTTCTTTGCTTTAGTTTGATTACACAACACAAAAATAATTGAACTCTCTTTAGGTAAAGGCTCTTGTCCCCCTTATGAATTTGCAACTCTCTTAATTTACTGAACAAGACTACATTCAGGGCACTCCTGTTATGAAATTATGATTCGCATATTTAACATTTTCATTTTCAACACAACTTTTCAATTTTGAACTGACATCAGAAAGTAATTCAACAAAGAAATCATATATGATGCATGTAATTAATCTTATTCATACTTTGGCGGAGGTTTGTTTATAATATGTGGTTTCTGCCTCATATTTCTTTCTTTCTTTTTTTTTTGGTTAACTTTCTGGCTCATATTTCGGGGGAAAAAGAAAGCAAAGAAAATAAAGATGATTGACAGTTCCAAAAAAAAAGAAGAAGAAAAAAAAATGATGATTGCCAATTCCGTTGTGCCTGAGCAAAGCTAACGAAGGTTCAACATCCAGGGATGAGAAAGATAGGGGGAGAAGTATAGTAGCAATTGGTTAAATAAATAAGTATAGTTAACTTGCATAGTATTTGAATATGTACGAAGATATTGAAATGAAATAATCAGGCCTTAATTCGAAGGTGATTAATAGGAATGAATTATTTGGATATGGATCTATTTATTCGTACGCTGGTTGTTATTCATAGTGTTGTTTTCGATCAACTTATTCCGAAATTTTATGATTATGTGAAATTTAACTTTAGTATTTTTTTTTTAAAAAAAAAAATCTTGCCGACGGCTGAATTATTGTACCGACAGTGAAAACTAATGGATCATAATTCATTTCCACACAGGAATATGATGTAGCCATTGGTTAAATTATTGGCCCTCACTCAACATTAAACGCACAAAGTAGTGGTTTTGGAACTTTGTAGACCCGATTTGAAACATCACAAATTAAAATGATGCATATTGTAAGTATACATCTTCTTTCCCAACAGAAAATTAGCAGTGTACATATACTACCTCTGTTTACTTTTATATGTCGCTTTACTATGATCTTTTTTTAATACCTGTCACATTCATTTCTACTATAGCATTAAATACTATTTTTTCAATTTATCCTTATTTCTCTCTACTTTCAGTAACATATATTAATGACAACTACTTATTTTTCACACTTCAATTTTAAATTTTTATAAAGCTTTAATACTTTTTATTAGGATCAAGAAAAGCAATACACTTAAAAATTAAATTCTAAGTAATTATTTTCTTAATAGTTATATAAACTCTAAAACGATTTATAAAAGTAAACGGATGTAGCATATTCCACAACACACATTAGGAATCTTATGAATAATTTCTTTTAGGTTAATATTTTCAAACAACCCGAGAAAAACCACCACTAACAGTCTGACATTGTTTGTTCTGCGGATGCGATTGAAACATATCTAGGAAATGGGATGCGCAAATATAAAATGTGTTCAATCTCTCAAACATACAGTCTATATAGATCCAATTTTCTCCTAGATGTTACTCATCATTAAAAAATTTGAATAATAATATGAAGCACTCTTCTTTACAACCCGCGGGGGAATAAAATTAGCAAAAGTGGATTCGTGCGAAAAAATAAATAAATAAATAAATAATAATAATAATAATAATAATAATAATAATAATAATAATAATAATAAAAAGGACGAATTTGGATGATTCTTCGAAAGTTAAAGAGATGTGTGTATTTAATTTCTTAATCTTTCTCTACCCTAAATACGTGTACTTCAATATTTATACTCATATTCTGATTCGAAGCCTATAACTTCTATTCATTTTGTTTAATGGAGTGATTCGTTTCCGGCTTATGATCATACGGATTTATCAAGAATGATAGTGGAAAGTAAATTTGGATTCGCATTAGATTTCTAGCTTTCGGAAAAGGGAAAAATAAGAGAAAAAGGAGGGAAAAAAGGAACAAAATTATAGCCAAGATTCAAATGCTGAGTATGTAACAGTGATTAAAATACTTGTTACAAGTGTTTTATCTCTACAAAAGAACTATCAAGTTAAAAGGAGATTTATTTGAGTATAATATATTTTCACTTAAGATTAGTTTGTGGTTCCTATTACAGAAGAAAAAAAGAAACTAGCAGAAAAAGAAACAAGTACAAGCATCATGCATAAGAAATTAACCTTTCTGTCTTTCTCAAGACATCATAGTACAAGCACTTTCAATTAGAAAAAAAAAAAAATCAGATGAAAGACTATATTCATCCACCACATTGAAGGTCTCAGCTTTGAAACAAGAGAAAAAAGAAGAAGAAGAAGAAGAAGAGGGGAAATGACAAAAATAAGCAAAGCAGAAGGATGGAAGCCCACGGTTATAATGGTATTGGTTCAGTTAATATATGCATGGATGAACATTTTCCTGAAATTAGCAGCTCATGATGGTATGGATCTCAGAGTTGCAGTCACTTATCGTTTCGTTTTTGGTGCTGCCTCATTAGTTCCTGTTGCATTCTTCTTCGAAAGGTTTGTTTCTTTTGATATATTTCACATTGTACTCTCTCCACTCTGTATATTTCAGAACTGAGAATCTTAATCTACAACCTTTCAGGAAAGTAAGACCAAAATTAACCTGCAAAGTTGTTTTCTTCGCATTTCTTTCCGGATTATTTGGGTAAGTCCACACAACTTGTAATTAAGATTGGTAAGTTTAACAAATAATGGCCCAAATTTTGGGACTGAGAGTCTCAAAATTATTATTCAATTTGAATTTTTTTATTGTACGTACAAATTGAACGAAAAGAAAAATTCTAAACTGGATAATAATTTTGGTACGGAGAAAATATATATAAAATATTAGAATTTACATATTGTTTTTCTGGTTTAATGGCAGAGGTGCTCTGGGACAAAACCTATACTTGGAAAGCTTGGTACTAACATCAGTCACATTTATATCAGCTATGAACAATCTAGTTCCTGCTACTACATTTCTGCTAGCCGTGAGTTTGAGGTTGTTCATCATTTATCTCACAAACATGGATCTTTAATTTTTCTTTTTCTTTTTTTTTTTGCCGTACGTCTATTAGCTCTTTGGTCCATAAAAAAGTCACGTTTGTTGAAATCCATAATAATTAAGGCTATGATAAATATACATATATATAAATATATACATGTATATAAATTTCAGGTTGGAAAGTTTAAAATGGCATACAAGAGCAGGTAAAGCAAAGTTGCTGGGAACAATAATAGGGATCGGAGGAGCAATGTTGTTCACATTTTACAAAGGTCCAAATATTACCATTTGGAAAACAGATGTAAACATTCTTAACATCATGTCTAGTCATCATCGTCATCGGGCTTCACGCAAAACACAGGGTAGCAATCAAATACTTGGTTCTATCCTAGCATTCCTATGTTGTCTTTCTTTCTCTCTTTGGCTTATATTTCAGGTGAGTTATAAAGCAAAAGTAATTGAGTTACATAATCTCTCCATAATATTTTAAATGACTGTTTTGTTGAACAAAATTAATACTCCTTCTGGTTCTTTTGGTAAAGGCATTTTGATTTCTCCTAATTTTCATTCCTAATGTTTTTCTAATTGAAAATGATACTTTAATAATATTGAGGAGAAATTAAAGTGACTTATAATAATGATCGGATGGAGTGTTATAAAGTGGACTAATTAATTTTGACGAAGGGAGTACAGTACGCAGTTAGGATAAACTATTCTGCTCCTTTTTGAGCAATTTTTTTTTTTTTAAAAAAAAAAACTAGGGTAAGGCTGCTCAATGTTACCCATGTCCTCTGTCTTTCGCGGCTGTCATGGTTGTGATGGCTTTGGTTTTGAATTTGATTGCTACAAGCTGCTTACAACGTGACTGGAAAGAATGGAAGTTGGGATGGAACATTAGACTTATTGCGGTAGCTTTTTCGGTAGGTCAACCATCCCAAAAATCCTAACTCAAAATTTCGACTATATGTTCATAAATTCAGTCTTCGTCAATCCATCAATCAATGCTGAAAATGTTGTTGTTCATTTGCAGGGACTTTTGGGAACGACGGTAGTATATAGCCTCATAACTATTGCTATAGCTATGAGAGGTCCACTATTTGTGTCAGCTTTCAACCCTTTAATACTTGTAATCGTGGCCATAGTCGGATCACTTGTACTCGAAGAGGATTTACACTTGGGAAGGTAAAATTATGTAGTTAAATTAAAGATTACATAATTATTACCCTTTTGAATTTATGGGACGGAGAAAATATAATATACTCTTATTAATTGGTTTGTTGGGATGTGTATTGTTTGAAATGATTTGATTCCTAATTATTTTGACATGATTTTCTTAACTTTTTCGTAGCTTGCTTGGAGGAATTCTTATAGTTTGTAGTCTATACTTCATATGTTGGGGAAAGAGTAAAGAGAGTAAGATGGCTGACAACTCCACAGTGGCAAACGAGCAAATTCAAGGTTCGATATCAGCCGAGAAACATAAAGGAGGAGAAGTATAAGGGATTAAGTAGGAAAAAACATGGATATGCTTTGCTTCATTTCAGCTTTCGCAGTGTGTATCTTTTCCATACTTCAATTTTTAGAATAAAGTTAAAAAATTTTCAACGTCCCAATAGAAAAACTACATAACTGTTTTACAAATAGAGCCATCCAACGAACTTAACAAACATTAATTAACTTTTATAAGCTGACACGCAAGTTCCGAATCATGCAGAAGTAGTGGATGGCGATAGCCTACCATCCTAAGATTCTTAACTCCACTGTCCGTCCAAAATAATTGTCCTTCTTCTTCTGTCCCAAAATCATTATTTAATTTTAATTTTTGTTTTTGCATAATTTCTATTGAATAGGAAATTCCAAACTGCATAACTATGTTGAGACGGAGAAAATGTAATATAGTGTTGAAAATTTTTAAAATTCAACTAATATAATGTATTATTGTTCGAAAGTAGCAAAACATAAAACTTCTCCATAAGTACTAGTAATATGAAAATATCAAAGATGATGTAGACTAGCAACAAAACACCATAACAAACACAGCAACCTCCTAAAGTAGATATTACGCACACGGCTCCTCTCTCACCTTATTAAAGAAACACCAATCCAACATGTTCTGGTAAAAATTCCCGGAGTTCTTGATTGGCAATATTTTTATAAAATGGATCTTCCTTCGGACAATAATACTCATTGTTATAGAAAAATCCATCGATCAAGTATCATCAAGTATGAGTATTAAAAAGAGACAGAGCGCGCCATTCGTTACCACCTTGAGATTCAAACTTTTTTTGTTGTTTAATTTCCGGCAGCACGTGTGGCATGTTCGGTCTCTCTTGAAATGTTTGGTCTACCATTAATTTTTTTTGCTCAATATATTAAAAAAGTGTGCAAAATATGTCATTAAAACATAAAAAAAATTATTTAGAGATCAAGTTGAAATATACAATACACAAGAAAGGAAATTAACCAATTGAACACGCTAGTAAATTCAGTTTTAACTTGAAATTTATCTGTGCACCCATGGAAGCCAAACCATCAACACGTGATTCTAAGTTGGTACGCTCACATGCAATATTTCTTTATTTATTTTGGTGCTCGTGTAAAATATATGTGATCATCATGGTGAGAAGTCTTTTTCACAAATCACGGTAACAACTTTAGTGTATATATATATATATATATATATATATATATATATATATATATATATGGTTTCTGATCCTCGCTCACAACCAAACGAAGCTCTCTCTCATATTCCATCATAGTTTTGATGATCATTTCCTTCCTTTAGAGGGAACAAACGAAAAACAAATAGAGATTATTTCCATTAGCATCTTGCTTTAATTTTCGGAGGAAAAATAAGGAAAAAAAAAGAAAGAAAAAAGATGACATTCAACGCAAGAGGATGGATCCCAACAGTACTAATGGTAGTGTATTACGTAATATATGCGTGGATGACCATTTTCCTGAAATTGGCAGCTCATGATGGTATGGATCTCAGAGTTGCTGTGACATATCGTTTTATTTTTGGAGCTGTTACCATGGTTCCTATTGCTTTCTTCGTCGAAAGGTATGTGCCTATTTCATTTCTAGTTAAAGTGTAGTTTAGCTCTAGTACACTTTTACATTGGATGCAGTACTTGATTAACGACGTCCATTAATCAAGTTCTGTATAATTGCTTTCTTCTTTGTGCCCGTTATTTTTCTAATATTTGAGACTCAAACTCGACCATATACCTAATAGTAAATTGCTGACGCTTTCAGGAAAACTAGACCAAAGCTTACTTGGAAGGTTCTCTTCTTTGCGTTTCTCTCTGGATTATTTGGGTAAGTTTGAGTTCGTATTTTTTTTTCCCTCAGGTTTTCATATACTTACCAGTTCAATCCTAGTAATTGTTTTGTTGTTATTGTTTTTGAATACAGAGGTTCATTGGGACAAAATTTATTTTTAGAAAGCTTGGTGCTTACATCAGCCACGTTTACCTCAGCCATGGTCAACCTTATCCCTGCTACCACATTCTTGCTCTCCTTATGCCTTAGGTTTGTTTTTCACATGATCCTAAGTTAATAGTCGTTCCGTTTCATTTCTATAGTCCATTTCGTTGAGTTAAAGTGATACAACAAAATGTTTTATTTCAGGCTGGAAAGATTAAATTGGCACGCGAGAGCGGGTAAGGCAAAGGTTTTCGGAACATTGATAGGAATTGGAGGAGCAATGTTGTTCACATTTTACAAAGGTCCAACTATGACCATTTGGAAAACGGATGTAAACATTCTCAACATTATGCCTAGTCATCACCAGACTTTACCTAAAGCACAGGGTAGTGATCAAGTTCTTGGAGCTATCCTTGCCTTCTTGTGTTGTATTTCTTTCTCCCTCTGGTTCATATTCCAGGTCAGATAAAAACTCGATTAAATGATTTACTCAATAATAAATAAATAAGATCGCAGTTTGATCTTTTGTCTCGATCTTTTCAAACAGGCGAAAGGTGCCCAACATTACCCATGCCCTCTATCTTTCACTGCCCTGATGATTGTGATGGCATTGGTTTCGAATTTGATTGCTACAAGTTGTTTACAACGTGACTGGAACCAATGGAAATTAGGTTGGGATATAAGGCTTTTTGCAGTAGCTTTTTCGGTAAGTTCCATAAGAATTGTTGGAATTCGATGTTTATTATGTATTTCCGAATTAATTAGAGCTATTTTCGCAGGGAATTTTTGGTACAACATTGTGTTATACCCTAATGACGGTAACTATAGCAATGAGAGGTCCATTATTTGCTTCAGCTTTCAACCCTTTGTTACTCATCATTGTGGCCGTTGTTGGATCACTTGTGATGGAAGAGAAATTATACTTAGGAAGGTAGGTGTGCTAGAGATATGTTTATGTACAAGAACAAGACTCTGTTTCGGGACGTAGGGAATAATAATTAATTAAAATTAAGTGTATGTATTTTGACACAATTTTCTTTATTTTTCTGCAGCTTGCTTGGAGGTTTTCTCATAATATGTGGTTTATACACCATATGTTGGGGGAAGAGCCAAGAGATTACAATGATTGACACCATTGTGCCCAATGAGCAAAGCGAAGATTCAATATCAAGTGACCATGACAAAGCTAAAGGGGAGGAACAAGTGTAGCAGCAAAATTACTGAAATTAAGTAGAAATTGTGAACTATGGATTTGTATGTACCTAATCAGAATCTAGTACTAGCACTATGAGATGATCAGCTGTTAGAGGGAAACAAGTTTTAAATAATTGTTAAAATAGCCACATTTTTTTTTCAAAAAAAAAAATCCACTTAGTGAATTCCACTTAAATGTGGGTGAATCCCCCCTTACATATATCCTTGGTGGGGATTAGATCCATGTCTAATATTAAGAAGTACAATTCCTAACCATCAAACTGTTATTCAATTTCCAGATTGTTAAAATAATTAATATATTTTCAATGTAATTACATTTTGTGCAATTCTATGCTAGTTTCTTCGTCCTGTATTTTGTTTGAAATTTATAATAAAACCAAAGGCAAATTTAGAATGCTGAGCATCTCCCTCGTGTCCTGATTATTTGTTGCAACTCCATTTCCATGTCCTGATTCTTTCCCTCTTGTGCGGTACCTTTATTTAAGGATGAAAACGAAATATAAGATTCATTGTGATTGGTTTTCTCAATATGCATGCCATCATTCAATGAAAACTAAGCGCAAATCAAACATTCTCTTCTCTCCTACATATTTATTTGAAAAAGATTAAGAGACAAAATAGAGTCTAAATTATGCTTTTTAGAAAGGAACATTTACCCGTTCCATTATTGTGTTATCGGTTATTAATATTTTTTGACAAAATGAATACGATGATTAAATGGTCAGTATCTTACTATCCATCTACAACAAATAATTAAGTCAGTTAAACCCAACGCCAAATAATAGAGGGCATTGTGTAAATATTTGAAATTTATAATGCACGATATTTTTTGCATTTGAACCTGACACCAAGGATTTGTCCACAGTAGTTTACTGCCGAGTGTGATGTGATTTGTATATTACAATAAGTATAAGTTTATATATCTTGGAGTTCCCGACATCACAAAAAAATGTCGATCATGCTTCTCATTGTATTATGTAGGATGTAGTGAAAGGAAAAACAATGAATGCTTCCTTCATCTTTCCATGTACCTTTCCAACAATATTATATTGTGTAAAGCAACTAATATGTAACTACGTTAGAAAAATGATTTTATCACTCCAAAATAAGAGTTTAGTTTGTAGAATCGGACTGATTGATTTTGGGACCAAACAAAATATCAAATATATAAACTATATTCATCTTTAGGTCCAAGTCATGATACATGTCCCAAATAACTTTTTATTTTTCTACAAAGTATTTATCTTGATTTTATTTATAGATATAATTAAAACTTATATTAGTTAACATATTCACCGTCCATTGTAATTTTTTTTCTTAGAAAAAAAAACACGTGCCAAAAACAGGCATTATATCTTTCACGTTCCGACCATTTCCAGCCAACGGCGCGCAGTCAGTAACATGCATGAATAAGAGTTCAGGGGATTTCATTTCCAGTTGAATGTGATTAAATGTTGACCGGTGGTGTGTTTATTAAACATGCCACGTCCTAATTTTATCACTAACTTAAATTACTTTGACTGATAAGTGAAATATTAAAAAAAAAATCATGTTTACTACTTTAATAATGTGTTTAGTACTATTAATTAATTTCTAAATGCGCTGGGCTGGCCATATGCTTGCGACAGCTTGCGTGGAGTTCTATCGATACTTGTTTTGTTTTTTCCCCTAAATTACGTGGGGCATGTTATGGTCTGCGCTTTCTATATTTCATTGTTTTGGTTTCCATTTTGTTTTCCAGGTATTGAAAATGTGAGCAATAAATATTTCTTTAAGAACATAATTAAAATAGTTAATAAACAAGGAATCAAACGTGCTCGTACTATATTTTTTGTAGGCTGATCTATTTACCCGATGAAGTCAATGATCAACAAATCTATCACATGACTGCCACAGATCAGTTTAAGCAGAGTTAGCTCGCAATATTGATCTTTACCCCCAAAAGAAAACCTTGCAATATTGATTGTTTACTAATATGAGAATCAAACTCCTTTTTTAAGAAGGAGAAATTCACATTTTGATCGAGCTTTTTGAACGAAAGAAATATGAGCAAAAGTTGTTGGAATCATGTGGTTGTTAGGGAGCTTGTACACTTTTTAACAGGTTTTGAGTTTTGATTTATGCTTGAATAACTAATTGTTGGAAAACACTTTCTCTAAAAGAGATCTCGCTAATCAAATAAAAATTAATCTTAATTAATCCAAGGAGTTCAAAATTAGAACATGTTTTTATTCTCGTTACATGGAGGAAAATGAAGGGTAAAATTAATGAATTCTTTGTACAGTAAAGTCCAAATCTCAAATTAAACTCAAATATCATCGCACAACTCATTTCCGAAATTATTAATTGCATACTTGCAACCTGTCTTGTTGCGATTTACGTTTCAACCATTATTTTTTCTCCAAAGCAACTTTTGTAACTAAACTTTATCTAAATTAGAAAAAAAAGGAAAAAAAAAAAAACAACGAGAACAAAGTCGTTATCCATATACAATAAATATTTTCTTAAATTAAATGATTTCTTTAAAGAAATATACTTACTAAATTACCTAATTTTTAATTATTTATACCATGCGAGTTAAGCAAGTATTGCAACAAGAATCAATACTTCGTATTTTACTAAATATTTATCATTATTTTCATTATTATTATTCGTATTGTTATTATTATTATTTTTTTTGGTCAAAAGCAAATATTTCATTGATTGGGAAAAAGTACTGCATATTTACAATTATTATTATTATTTTTTTTTTGGTAAAATGTGAGTGAATTTCATTGAAGTTTCATCAACTGTACATTGTATCAACAAGCTATTACAATATCAAGACTTTCCAAAAATCTAACATCATTTCCACTTCTATTCCTATACATATGTATGATTCTGCACTTTATTTCCTGTTGAATTTTTCTGATTCTGTCCTCAACCGCCTCATTTTTCTGCTGGAACAACCTTGTGTTCCTTTCATTCCAAATTGATACACCACAGCTTTTAAGCTAGCAAACAGGATCCTCCTTCTGGTTGCTTTATATTTCCATATATGCATCAGTCTTGCAACAGACAGGGTTTTAATCTGAGTTCTGATTCCTAACCATTAATTCCAGCCATCAGTTCCTGTGCATAAGAGCATTTGAAGAACAAATGTATACTTGTTTCTTCCTTACACAGTATGCAGGTCTGATCTGTAACATTCATCTTCATGTTTCTCATTCTGTCTATAGTTAGCAGTCTGCCTTTCCAAGCTAACCATAAACTAAAACAATGTTTAGGAAGAGAGAACTTACTCCAACAAATATCTGCTGGTTTAAACTTCCCTCTGCTACCTCTCAGCCACCCATAACCACTTCTGGCATCATACAGTTTACCATTGTTCCCTGTCTAGCTACCATTTACTATTCCTACTTCCAGAGCATCTCTGATTGTCATCAACTTCTTCCAATGCCAGCTACAATCATTTGGAGGATCATAATTCCAAAATACTCCTGCCTTTTAAGTAGTAAATATGCATCCATCTAATTCATATACTATCTTTCTTTGATTCCAAGTCCCACAGCTGTTTGCCCAACAATGCTTTATTCCAAGCACCTGGTTCTTTGATGTTTAAGCCTCCATCTCTCTTTTTCTAGCAAAGATCATTCCAGGCTACCAAAGGAAAACACTTTCCAGATTCTTTTATCCCCCACAGAAACTTCCTACAATAAGAAGTTATCTCAGCAATAACAGACTGTGGGATAAGAAAAATACTTGCCCAGTAACTGTGAAGGGTCATCAACACTGCATTGATCAGTACTGTTCTTCCTGCATATGAAAGGTGCCTGGATTCCCAACATTTAATCCTGGCAGTTACTTTATCCACGAAGTACCGACAATCTGATTTACTCCATACAGTTGGAGCCACTGGAAGTCCTAAGTATTTCATAGGAAAGGTTCCAATTTCAAATTCCATCACCTGCCTTATCACCCTTTGTGTACTTTCTCCTGATCCACCAAAATACAGATTAGACTTCCCTTCATTGATTGTCAAACCAGTAGTGCTTGCAAAATGGTCCAGAGTTCCTTTAACCTTTCTGACTGTTCCTATCTCAGCTCCACAAAATATTAGCAAGTCATCAGCAAAGCTTAATGATATTATATTCAACTTCTCACAATATGGATGTTTCACAAATCCATCTATATTTGCCACCACTTTAAAGCTTCTGGTGAGGTATTCCATTACTAGCACAAAGAGTAGTGGAGACATTGGATCACCTTGCCTCAATCCTCTTTGACCTGGAAAATACCCAACACTATTTCCATTAAGGTTCAATGAGTATGTAGATGATGTAACACATTCAATAATCCATTTTCTGAACCTTTCAGGAAACTTATATTCTTGCAACATTTCTTCAAGGAACTCCCAGTGAACTGAATCATACGCCTTCCTTAAATCAACCTTCATCATACATGATGGCTTTGCTGATTTCCTGTTGTACAATCTGATTAACTCTTGTGCCAGCAACACATTATGTAAAATTAATCTGCCATTGACAAAAGCTCCCTGATTGCACTCCACTAAATCTGGTAATACAATGCTCAATCTTTTGCAAATCATCTTAGAGATGCATTTATATATAGTATTATAGCAAGAGATTGGCCTGTATTCTGTGGCATTCTTTGGGCTTGCATTCTTTAGTATCAGTGCTATCATTGTTGCATTGATCTGCTTCAGCATTTTCCCAGTTTTGAAGAATTCAAGTATGGCATCGCTGAGATCATCTCCCACTATGTTCCATGCCTTCCTTTACATCTACTTTGGTAAAGTCCTTAATCAACAATACCTGTTGATCAAGGTTCAATTTACTTCCTACTTCAAATATTTCAGTCTTGGCATTGGTTCTTGCCACCTTTTTCCCTAACAGCTCTTTATAGTAACCTATGAAGTGTTCTTCCACTCTGCATTGGTCCTCCACCAATTCTCCTTGCTCTGAAACATATGACTTAATCCTATTCCTGCTTATTCTTTGCCTGACTGCTGCATGGAAATACTTGGTATCCATATCACCATCACATATCCACTTTTCTTTTAATTTCTGTGCCCAAAAACTGATCACTGCTCTTGCTGCTATAGTATATTCCAGTACTGCTTCTTTTTCTGATTTCTGTATTTTCTCATTCAATGGATCCTGCTTTAGGGCCTCCTGAATCTTATCCATTTGTATTCTACATTCCTGCTCCGTCTCTTCTATATTGGCAAAATTCCTTTTATTAAACTGTCTCAGTACTGGTTTCAGTAATTTTTGCTTTCTCACTAGTTGGAATTGTTTAGTACCTTCCATTTGTATTTGCCAACCCTTCTCAATTGTTGATAAGAACTCTGGATGTTGTGCCCACATGTTAAAGTATCTAAATGATCTTTTACCCTTCTTCATTCCTTCTCCCTACCTGATCAGTAGAGCATTGTGATATGAAATACCAGCAGACATTATTGTACAGTATGTATCAGTATACGTTTGCAGCCATTTATCATTTACAAACACTCTATCAAACTTTGAAAAGATTCTCAATGCACCAATTTGTTTATTTGTCCAAGTAAATCTACCCCCATAAGTCTGCATTTCCCACCATTCATTCTCTTCAACCAGTTTCTTGTAGTTCTTTGTATCAGCACTGCCTTCATTCACTCCCCCAATCTTGTCTTCTTTCTGTAATATACAATTATAGTCCCCCATAACAAGCCATTCTTCACACAGATTAGTGCTAAGTTGTCTTAACTCTGCCCAAACATTTGCTCTTCTCTGTGCTGTGTATTCATTATATACTACTGTCAGGTTGAAAGCTTTAGCTCCACCCACCTCAATCACATAACGGTGGATATATTGCTGAGTTATTTGTGCCACCCTTATAGTATACTCATCTCTTCTCCAAATTAATAGGATTCTTCCCTTATTTCCTCCTTCACTGTTTTCCACATAGTCATATTGTCTCTATTTCCTCTTCATCAACTCCTCCACTTTTTCCTTGTCCAATTTAGTTTCCAACAAACCTGCAATACCAACATTATTTACAGAAAGAAAGTTCCCAATCTCTCTGTGTTTCAGGGGACTGTTAAGTCCCCTTATGTTCCATGAGGTGATGTTATTCATGTTTACTAGGCCCTGGATCAGGGTGACTAGAAACAGAATAATAGATAGCATTAACTGATCTCATTTTATCACACATTCTTCCTTCATTCACCTTGCAGCCTTTCTGATTCATTATCTGAATCCCTGTCTCACAGTTGCTTGCATCTTTCCTTGTAGCTATGACTGTCCTCTTTACTGGTGATCTGCTTTCAGGATTCCTTGTTGGAGACTTTTCCATTCTATTAATCCACTTACTTCCACCTGTCTCCCCAATTTCCACTTCTCCTTCCTGAATTTCCTTTCCTTTTGGTGTCAATTGTGGTTGATCCTTCTGTCCAACTTCTTTTGGATTCCAACCCTTAGGAACTGGAGTCCTACATTCATCAGACGAATGACCATAACCTTTACAATTCTTACACTTGACTGGCTTCCATTCATAGATGACTTTCTATTTCTTCAATTCACCAGCCTCATTTTCATACCACACCTTATTCTTCACCTGGTCATGTATTTCCACTTCCACTAATACTCTAGCATATGCAGTTCTCAGTTTTTGCTCATTCATGTCATCCATTTCTACCGGCATGCCAATCATACTTGCCAATCTGCTAAGTGTAGTGTCATTCCAATATCTAAGAGGCAGTTTAGGAAATTGAATCCACACAGGAACAGTCTTGACTTCATGCCATTTCAGCTCATCATTGACAGACCATTCCTTAACAATGAATGGTTTCCTATCAAACAGATACACAGGGTATTTGATTACTTCTTCCTTCACAGAGATTGATTTGAAACGCACGATGTACACTCCATTTTCAAGCAGTAAGATCTTATCTACACCCATTTTTCCCCATATTCTTCTGATAAAATCACTCAGCACTGCATATGGCGGATTCGCCCCCAAAACATAGCACAACACAGATGGTTTCCAATACTCAATCTCCTTTTCCACTTCCTCCTTCGTGATCTGCCCAACTTCACTATCATTCACTTTATTCGGTGCAATGAATCGAAGCTTTTTAGCTTGGTTATTCAGTAATTGGGCATTTATCCCATCCGAAACACTCTGCTTCTTCTATTCATTATGCATTAAATCCCCACAATTATCAATCCCACCATCATCAAAATCATTCCCCATAGCAATTACACGATGATTACAGATTTTTTCATGCATTAAAGGATCTTCGGACACATTTAATGCAGAATTAGGGCTACGAACCTGGAACTTATTCGCATTCATTGTAGTTGCTTCCACACTTTGCTTCCCAACCAGATCTTGCTCCTTCTCCTTTTTTTCACCCGATTTTCTCTTCTTCCTTGATTTCTTTGTCATAGCGGACATCAATTTGTCGAAGAAATCTGTATCCGAGGAAACACACACTTGAGGTGTTTTCGCCCCTAGTGTGCAGAGAGAGAGGTCTTTCCCTAAGAAAGTCGCCTCCCAGGTCTTTTGTTAATTTATTATTATTATTATTATTATTATTATTATTATTATTATTATTATTATTTAGAGTATTATACAGTATTCTCAGGTCCAATTGATATATAAGGGATTTTTTAAAATACTACTATTTTATTATTTATCGATTTTGCTCATTTTTTTGTACTGGTCCTAAGTTGGAATTAGAAAAAATTATTAATTATTTGAATTATTAATTTATAAATTATTATTTTAGCGATGTTTTACGGTATTAGTCATAAACATTTTGCCTTGTCGCAAACTAGCTAGATCGGGCATGTTTCATCTTGTTTCAAGTGTCTGTTTTGGTTTAATTTTATTCACGTTGAAAAATGCACCAAATAAGGCCTACACAACATGAAAGAGAATATTAAGCATCAAGTTGAAATATAAAACAGAGGCCAAATAAAAAAGAACAAGAGGAAAACCAAACACGTTTGAACTCAGCACACCATCGCCAATCCTCTTAATTTTTTCGTCTATATATACTTGTATCAACAAAAGCTTTATTCGCAATAAGCATTAGATTTTAAAGGACAGAAAATAAAAAGAAGAAAAATGTCAAATATAAGCAAAGTAGATGGATGGAAGCCAACGGTAATAATGGTTTTGGTTCAGGTAATATATGCCTGGATGAACGTTTTGTCGAAATTAGCAGCTCATGATGGAATGGATCTCAGAGTTGCTGTCACTTATCGTTTTCTTTTCGGAGCTGCTTCCATGGTTCCTATAGCATTCTTCTTCGAAAGGTATGTTTCTTTTACTTCATTTGGTTTTTGTGTAGGCATGGTTTTCTGTTCTAATACGATGGTCACGTTTGTTGCATTAGAATAATATAACAAGCAGAATGATTATTTTGGAACAGAGAAAAGACTTTATTTTAGAACGGACAAAAGACTTGTCTATTGATATAGATATCAAGATATAAATTGATTTGTTTTGCTGTGGCGGCTTTTCGAACTTTTAATTTCTCCCAACCACCAACCCCCAAAAAAAAAAAACAAATGGCCTTTCGAATAATAAAATAGTTCGTTTTTCTTTTTCTTCTTCTTTTAGTTTTGTGTTTTTTAAAACAAGGAAGTATGTATAATAAGTTATTAAATGAAGCTGAAGTGACTGTATATGAAGATTATGGAGTTTATGGCAGTATGTTGTGTCACGAATATTGGCCTACATTATTAGCTAGTAGTCCCTAATTTATAATTCTTAAAAAAAAACCAAAATAATTCACAATAATTTTTATATGGACCATGACAATCAATTGTCGCCATCAGGTATGACTTACGAATACATTTCAACGTTAATAACATACAGCAAATTTGGAGAAACGAACATGTCAATCAAGCCGTTGTTGTAGAGGCGCATAAATCATGTTTAAACATTGTGTTGATTAGGCTTTGACAAGTTCAACTTCTTGATACTTCTTTCTCTTTTTTCCTTTTTTTTTTTTTTTTGGGTAAGCTTCACAATCGAAAATCCTAACCATCAATTTTACCAAATGTTTCAGGAAAAAAAGACCAAAGTTAACATGGAAAGTTCTCTTCTATGCATTTCTCTCCGGATTATTTGGGTAAGATAGATTTTTGGCACTATCTAAATCATATCATCGAATTGTCCGCGCGGCGTGCCTGATTATGAATAAAATTCGTGTGTTTTTTTTTTTCCATTAAATTCAGAGGTGCATTGGGGCAAAACCTGTTTATAGAGAGCTTGGCGCTTACATCAGCCACATTTATATCAGCTATGAACAATCTGGTTCCCGCCACCACCTTTCTAGTAGCCGTTTGCCTAAGGTTTGCCCTTCATTAATCTCTTACGCTTTTTACAGCCTCATGCATTTCTATGTTAATGATTTAATTAACAACGTTTACATTTCAGGTTGGAGAGTTTAGGTTGGGGTACAAAAGCAGGCAAAGCAAAGGTTCTAGGAACAATTATAGGATTCGGAGGGACAATGTTGTTCGTGTTGTACAAAGGTCCAAATCTTACAATTTGGAAAACAAATGTAAACATTCTCAACATGGCCGCTAGTCATCATCAGACACCACTTAAACCCCAGAGTGGCAATCAAATCCTCGGCTCGATCATTGCGTTTTTGTTTTGTGTTTCTTCCTCGCTCTCGCTTATTTTTCAGGTGAGTGGTATTTGAAACCGATATTAATTTAAATTAATTTCATAAATTTTAATTGGTCGCACCTCGTTTTTTGTTTTTGTGTTTTGTTTTGTTTAACTAGGCTAAGGCAGCTCAACATTACCCTTGTCCTTTATCATTCACGGCTCTAATGATTGTGATTGGATTGGTTTTGAATCTTATTGCTACAAGCTGCTTACAACGCGATTTGAATGAATGGAAGTTAGGGTGGAATATAAGACTCATTACGGTTGCATATTCGGTAGGTCATTGATACAAAATCCCCAACTCTAGCTTTTCTTCTGTCCTAGAAAAATATTCATATTGAGTACAATCCCAAGTCTCAATGTGAATTAGTACAAATCTCAAAACTCTGTTAAAACTATTTTTCTGGGACGAAAATAGTAATGCTTTTATTTACTTATTTATTTGTTAAGACTTAACATATATGTTTTGATTTTGCAGGGACTTCTAGGCACCACGACCGTGTTTAGCCTAATAAATATAGCTATATCGATGCGGGGTCCATTATTTACAGCAGCTTTCAACCCTTTGGTACTTGTAATTGTGGCCATAATCGCATCTCTTGTACTAGAAGAGAATTTATACTTGGGAGGGTAAGTTGTCTCTTTAAAATTAACTTCGTTTATTTCAGTTAAATTAACCGGCCTTTGGATGAATCATTAGTACTTAGTTTGAATGCTTTATTTTGACTTGGTTTTCTTATCTTGTTTTTGTAGCTTGCTTGGAGGTTTTCTTATAATTTGTGGTTTATACGTCGTATGTTGGGGCAAAAGTAGAGAGATTAAGGTGAATGACAACCGCACTGTGCCATATGGTGACCAAATTGATGAAGGTGCAATGTCCAATGGGAAAGATATATGCGGAGAAGTATAGTAGGATGTACTCAATGTAAAATACTATTTTAAAGAGTTAATAAAAGGAGAGTTACTTCTCCAATTTCGTGTTAAATTATTAAATTTTCATTTACGTTTAGAAATATATAATAAATTTTACTAAAAATCGTCCAACATAAATTGTGAGATCTCGTGTGTGACAATTTCCACTAGCGTTTAACCAAAGAAGTAAACTAGAGAATGAATCCAAATAGAACTTTGTGATCAACATTTAAATAACATACAAAACCGATAGTGATGCGGAAAGTAAATGGCCCTGAAAGGTGAATGAATACTGCCCATTTGCCTCTTTTTATAGAAAGAATAATAATCTTTTTTCTCTTTCTCCAGCGCATGCCCAAACGTACGTGTACTTCACTATTTATTCTCTCACATCCGGTTCGAGCCTATATATACTTCTTAATCATTTCACTAATTGGACTGAGTTAGCGTTTCCTGCGTAGATCTTTTGGGAAAGGGTAGTGGAAAATAAAACTGGAATGCAATTCATTTCCAGCTTTTGAAGAAAAAGGAAAATTAACTAGCAAAAAGAAAGTATAAGCAAAAATGGAATCTGGGTGGAAGCCCATAGCAATAATGGTACTGTATCATGTAATATATGCGTGGATGAACATTTTGATGAAATTAGCAGCTCATGATGGCATGCATCTCAGAGTTGCTTCGTCATATCGTTTTCTTTTCGGATCTGTTTCTATGGTTCCCATTGCTTTCTTCTTCGAAAGGTACGTATTTTTCTTCTAAAATTTCTTTGGTTTTTGCTTGTAGTGTAAGTTCTAACAAGATTGCTACTTCCATCCTATGAACTGTTTTTTTCCCCTTCTTTTTTCTCTTTTTTTTTCTCGGTGCAATGTAAGAGGGTGCAAAAAGTATAGAAAGTTGAATCAATGTGGATGGAAATAAAGGATGTATAGTGTTTGTTTTGATGTTAAGGATATGTATAATCTCAAATTTCAATTAGAGGCGCAATTAATTGACATTCGTGAGTTTCTTTTGATTTTAGCATCATCTTTTTCTTTTTCTTTTTTTTTTTTGCTTTTTACTTAGGTTAATCTTTAAATAATTTCAAGTTTCCGTTATTGTTCGAGTTATATAAGATTCCTCGTGCCCTTTAAATATTTGCGCTTGACCGCCGGAAAATCTTACACACCATCAGGGTATCTCCAATTTCAGGAAAACAAGACCAAAATTGACCTGGAAAGTTCTACTCTTTGCTATTCTCTCTGGATTATTTGGGTAAGCTGGAATTTCTTTTTTCTTTTTTATTGGGCTCCTATGTCTATTTTCTTTGTCTCAAAATTATCGTCCAATTTAAATTTTTTACTTTTAATAAAATTTGAACTAAAAATAAACTTTAAGATAAAGAATATTTCAAGATGGAGGCAATATATTTTCACTTTCAATTTTTTGGTTTATATTCATCAATGATTAACCTTTATTTCTTGTGACATTCAAAGTGAGCTTATATTTTAAAAGAGGGTGTAGTATTAAGAGACCAACCAAATGAATGGGGTATGACACTTGAAGATGTTAAAGAGGGAGAGATTACCATATACACCAATGAGTGCTTTTCTTCACAACTAATTATCAATTAAGAGACTTGTACATGGTCAATATAGTTTACGATTGTGAGATAAGTGTCTTTCGCTTGTTTTCAAGTTTAAAGGGATTTTAACAGAAATTAAGATTCAAAATCTTAATAAACGAGAAAAAAAAATGGCAATGATTTTAGAAGAAAGGAAAAAAGAAAAACCAAATCAATAAAGTAACGTCATGAGATATATTATCCTAAAGAGATACTCCATCATTAAACTTAAACTAATTCTCATTCAATTTGGACAACACCTGTTTTTCTTGTTGAACAAAAGAAAGATCACATATCAATCAAAGCCATCCATTTGAAGGTCGATCAATTATATTGTAAAAAGAAACTACATATCATATTAATTCTTTGTTATTCAATGCAGAGGTGCATTGGGACAAAATTTATTCTTAGAAAGCTTGGTAGTTACATCCGCAACCTTTGTCTCTGCTATGGTCAACTTAGTTCCCGCCATGACTTTTCTAGTAGCCGTATGCATGAGGTTCGTATAACGTTCCCTCAAGAAAATTATTGTCATGCCCCAGCACGTGCGATTTCAATTAAAGTTTATAATTCTTTTTCTTTATGGTGCAATTTTTTTGGGGGGTCATGAAGTGAAAATTATACAAAAACTTGATAAAATCGTAGGTTGGAAAGTGTACGCTGGAATACAAAAGCAGGCAAAGCAAAAGTGTTGGGAACAATCATAGGGATCGGGGGAGCAATGTTGTTCACATTTTACAAAGGTCCAAATATTACCATTTGGAAAACAAATGTAAACCTTCTCAACATCTTGCCTAGCGATCATCATCATCGGACTTCACCTAAAACACAAGAGGGTAGTAATCAAGTACTTGGTACAATCCTAGCGTTATTGTGTTGCATTTCTTTTTCTTTCTGGCTTATATTTCAGGTGAGAGAAAGCACTATAACTAATGAATTCTGCCTATAGTAATTCAATGAATAAATCACTTTAATATAGTCCATTAGTCGATTGCTTTAGTTCATTTTTATATACCATCTCTAAAGAAATCTCTAATTCTCGCTTGTAGTAAATATTAGAATCAGGTTACCCAGTGGAAATTTGTGCTCTAATTTGAGACATGCAATTTTACACTTAATTCTAATGGATTAATACCGGATTATCACATATAGATGATAGTAATTAAATTCTCTTTTATATAATGGACCGAGATATATGAAGATAAATTAAAAAGTATAATCACTTAGATTCTATAGTCTTCTCCTTATTGATTCTGCGAGTTTTTATTATTTTCATTCGGGTTTTTCGATAGGCGAAGGCTGCTCAATATTATCCATGTCCTCTATCTTTCACGGCTCTCATGATTGTGATGGGAATGATTTTGAATTTCACTGCCACGATCTTCTTACAGCGGGATTGGAGTGAGTGGAGGTTAGGATGGAATATAAGACTTGTTACCGTATCTTTTTCGGTAGGTCATTGATATATATATTCATTTATGTCATTGACAAGTTTTCCGTTATTTTTTATTTTAAATTCCCAGATAGAGTTTACAAATCCTTTACCTAGCTAGTAGCAATCCAATTATGTGGATTATATTATAACAAAATGCATGCTAAAAACTTCCTTAAATTTGCAGGGTATTTTAGGGACAACGGTGACATATACCCTAATAACCCTAGCTATAGCAATGAGAGGTCCTCTTTTTGTGTCAGCTTTCAGTCCTTTACTACTTGTAATTGTGGCCTTTGTGGGATCATTGGTACTTGAAGAGGATTTAAGCTTGGGAAGGTAATCAAAGCGATAAGCTAAGTTTCAAAATTAGCATATATACGTTTAATTAGTTCAAATAATTATTTCGTGTTCGTATTATTTGCATAAGTTTTTGACTAGGTTTTCTGATATTGTTTTGTAGCATGCTTGGAGGTTGTCTGGTAGTTTGTAGTTTATACATCGTATGTTGGGGTAAAAGCGAAGAGATTAAGGCGAATGACAGTCGCACCGTTCCAAATGACGAACATTTTTTTGATGGGGATTCAATATCAAAGGAGAAAGATAAAGGAGGTGAAGTGTAAAGAGAATTGTTACTCTGCATGTAAAGAGTTTTGATAAGGGCCCAACACCCCCAACAACACCCCCTCCCCCTTCCGTAGAGAAAATAGCTTTGTGCGCTGTTGTCAATTATCAAAAAGCACCCACCACTTCTGAAAAATATATCCACTAGCTAGCTAGTAGGTATTTAACTAAAAAAAGTACAGAAAACATAAATCCTACGGATCAGCTGCCATGGAATGCATTGCAGGTTTAAAGGTAATATAAAGAGTTTCTCTTTCTCAAATTGATTTTACTATGGTTACAAATGTTGAATATATATCATTAAAAGCATAAGCGCATCGAACTCAAAAGTAATTGATAATTAGCAGAATGACACACATACAATATTTATATAAATTAAAAGATCAAGTTTCTCAGTTGATACTCCACGCTAGGATATGTTGGATTTCGTTTTAGCCGTTTTATGCTTACAAACACCTTATCTCCCTCGACAAAAATGTAAAAGATCATCCGCCAATTAATGCTAATTAAATTAATGGATCATATTAACTTTTAATATTTATAAATTTGGGTGCAGGTGTAACCTTTTGTTTGTTGGCAGTTATTTAATTATTTTACAAGGCATTCCAAACAAATCACAAAAAGATAATCTCTTCTACCCTTATAATCTCCCAGAAAGTCAGTCATCAACAAACTAAAGGATAAGAAGTGGAAAGTCGAGATCACTCATAAATTTTGGAGGGCGAATTTTTTATTCCTTCCATTCAAAAAAAATTGTCCAGTTTGTATTTTCAGTTTTAGTACAATTTGAACTATAAATAAAAATTCAAACTGAATAATAATTTTAGGACATAGGTAGCACACAGGCACGTGAAGATTGCGTTGGCTCAAACTTCCATAACTGAGAACTTATCCATAGTTAAAACATGATGTTGTAAGGGTTCATATTCTCCTAATATCTTAATCTGATCATAATTAGGCTCTAATCTCTTTCATTCATTACACCAAAAAAATAATAATAATAATTAACAATGTGTGTAGTAGCTATATGCAGAAATACTTCAATTGAATAATAATAAAGTTCCACCAAATACACGGTGAAGTTAAAAAATTTAAGACAAGCTAATTTGAAACGTTTTATTGAGTAAAATAAAAAAGAATAAAAATATATCGAGATTAAACAACCGCGGATTGATGAATAAGTATGTAAATATACTCTCTCCGTCCCATAATTATTGTCCAGTTTGGATTTTCATTTCTAGTTCAAATTATATTAAAAATTAAATCTTAAACTATACAATAATTTTGGGACAGAGGGAGTACTATAATTGGTGTCTCTTTCTTCAGCCCATGCGAGCGCGTACGTCATGCATTATATATACTCACATAATCATATGAAAGTTTTACTTCTTATTCCGTTCTTGCTTGGAGAGATTTTTGTTTCTTTCACATGATTATCATCGGGAGGGTACCGGAGAAATTATACAGGATTCGCGTTTTGATTTTCAGCTCTTAAATTCGGGAAACACACACACACACACACAAAAGAAGTAAATGCAACATATGGGTGCTGGGAGGAAGCCTATTGTACATTTGTACTAATGGTAATGTGTCAGGTAGTATATGCTTGGATGAAGCAGCTCATGATGGTATGGATCTTATAGTTGCTTCCACTTATCGTTTTTCTTTCGGAGCTGTTTCCATGCTTCCCATTGCTTACTTCTTTGAAAGGTACGTTTTGTGCTCGAGTGTTCTTAATTTAATTAGATTGGATGTAGGATGAGACCATTCTGTGTAATGTGTTATTTTAGGGTATTCTATACTCCCTTAGCGCCAAAATTATTATTCAGGTTGAATTTTCACTTTTAGTTCAATTTATACTAAAATTGAAAATCTAAACTATTCAATAATTTCAGGACAGAAGGAGTATATACTTTTGTGTTAATGTTGAGAGCGGATGCTACTACATTCAGACTGAATATCCATTTTGAGTTTTATATGGTATATATCTGCTGTAAATTGCTTTTCCCTGTTTCCTTTCTCTCCAAAGAAGTGTTAATGCTCAATTAGAAGTGTCTTTAAAGGAGGAGTTTTGCGTTTGGAGAAGCTAATTTTATCATAGCTGAACAGTTAGAATCAATAACTTCCAAATAGTTTACGAGTATCTATATATGATTCATATTATAATGTCGTTATGAATGTATAAAAGATAAAATAATTATGTACGATAATTTTGTTCCTCGGAACGATTTAGAAAACAGAAATTTTACCCTAGGAACTACAAAATTTAGGAAAACTAGAGTGATAATCCAAATCTTGACCACAGCTGCCTAGCTTTTCTAAGTACCGTAGCAACCCCAACATTAAGGAAAAAAATGGTTGAAACTTAGGGGATTCACCTAATTCAACCTTTGTCCATATAACTACAATAAGGAATTATTTGATCCTTGATCTGTTTATATCGTTGACAATCTTTGATTTCAAGTTCAAATTCTTTCTTAATCTTCTTTGTCTTTATTTATTAATTTTTGGCTACTTTAATTTTTTTTTTGGTATATTTAATTTATTTTTTAGTTATTTAAGTTTCCCTTTTATGCATATATCTCATAAGATGTCCGTACATTTTCAGGAAGACGAGACCAAAATTAACCTGGAATGTGGTCTTCTTTGCTTTTCTCTCTGGTTTATTTGGGTAAGCGCTAGAAATATTCTTTTTCTTTTGTGTGTGCTTGCGGTTTTCAATATGTCCTCTTTGTTTCGAAATCATTATTTAACTTTTTTTACTATTTTTAGTATGATTAACAAATAAGACAACCATTCAAAACGTATTCATAAACTTAATTAGTTGAAGGAGTAGCAATTAGATAGATACAAGAAGGAAGGGGAATATTGGATACACCTAAATACTGGTTACTCTATATATTCTCAAAAATTAAAATTACAATAATTGATTCCACTTGATTTAATGCAGAGGTGCATTGGGACAAAATCTATTCTTAGAAAGCTTGGTACTTACATCTGCAACGTTCGCCACAGCTATGCTCATCTAATCCCGGCCATGACATTTCTAATTGCCGTTTGTATGCGGTTCGTTTCCTCCAATGAAATTAGTAGTATATGGAGTTTTTAGTTCACTCATTTTTTTTTAAAAAAAAAAAACGTTATTCTCCGCCCTATTTAAATAGTTTACTGAACAAATAAAAGGTTGGAGAGCGTAGGTTGGCATACAAAAGCGGGGAAAGCAAAGGTGGCGGGAACAATAATAGGAATCGGAGGAGCAATGTTGTTCTCATTTTATAAAGGTCCAAATATTAACATTTGGAAAACAAATTTAAATCTTCTCGCTACGGCTCATTTGTCAGGTGAGTGTGTAAAACAAATCAGCTAACTATTATGATGATTTATCTAGTAATTAATTGGTTAATTCAATCACCTCCATATAAAGTCCTTGAAACCTAATTATTCGTACGTACTAACTTTTGTTATTGGTCATATCCAAAGTTACCATGTGAAAATTTGGATCCAAATAATTAACAGCATTTTCATTGATTGAAATTTGAAATAGGCTAAGGCAGCTCAAGATTACCTATCTCCTCTCAGTCTCGCCGCTCTCACAATTGTGATGGGAATGGTTTTGAATTTCATTGCTAAAATCTGCTTACAACGCGAATGGAGTCATTGGAAGTTAGGACGGAACATAAGGCGTATTGCGGTAACATCAGTAGCGGATTCAGAACAAGAATGTAGTGGGGGCCAAAATACATTGTCCTAAAATAGACTACTTATCCTATTAATGTGCACCTTGCGTTTACATGGTTTAATACAATATAGTCATAATCATATTAAGTTTAAATATATTTTAAATTTCATTAATATATAGTCATGTTCATATTCAAGATTTTTGAATTCAAAACTGTAAATGACTTTTCACCATTTTAGTTTGAAAAAGAAAAAAACAAAAATTCTTTCTATAATGACTATATCTTTTCACCATGTTCACACTCCTTTTTGGCATACTGTATAAAAATCTTAAGGTATGATACAAGACAAGTGTATTACTATTGAATATTCTAGTTGGAATGTTTATAAGTACATAATAGTATCAGTTGAATTGAATTAGGCATAATTAGTTTGATTATAATTAAGATAACTAAAAAATTTGATTTAAAAAAAATTATGATTTAAAATTTTACATTATATTTGAATTACTTTGGTTGGGCCAATAAAATTGTGAAAATTAAACAAGGCAATTTAGTCCAAATTACGTAAACATAGTAAATTAAATAATGATTAACTAAGAAAATCCTAATTAAAATTAAATTAATTAAATATATAAATCCGCCACTGGATAACATATTCGGTAAGTCAATATGTTGACCATTTCCTCTCTTTTTTTCCAAAGTTTTATTTCAATATATCATTATGAGAATTATATAGTAGCGGAACGTTTTTTCCGTTTTCAAAATTCAGAGTTTACAAATACCTTATGTAGAAGCATCGAGAAAGGGATTACAAAGTCTTTTTCAATCATTTCTAATGAGAATCGCACTAGTTTATTGTAATCAAAAGAACCCTCCATGCTACGGAAGCACATGGAGCTCCACCAATCACTTCCAATGAGTATCGCACTAGTGTATTGCAATCAACAGAACCCTCCATGTTACAGAAGCACATAGAGCTCCACCTCAAAACCAATTGGCTATGAGAGGAGTAGTCTATGGAGCTTATATATTAATACTTAGAGTCTCCTAACACTGATGTAGGATTGGGACTCTTTAATACTTCTCCGTAAGCCTAACGTATTTTTTGGGTTGGGCTTGTCCTATTTTTTCAGTCTAGGCACCGCCTCACGTCTAAGCCATATATTTTTTTTTGGGCTTTTTTAGAGTCCGAAGCCCATGGGGTTCCACCTCAAAACCAATTAGCGATGAGAGAAGTAACCTATGGAGCTTATACATTGATACTCAGAGTTTTCTCTACACAAATGTGGGATTAGAACTCTTTAATATATGCGTTCTTCAGAAAATATGACCCAACTGCTATTGTTCCCTCCGTCACATCGATCCTAATATTATATTTCATCGAATTAAAATAAATAATATAAATAAAAACAAGACAAACCGAGTACATGCTCCCATCAATACTAATAGCGTGATTAATTGCTAGATTTTTCTATTTTTTTGATCAGGGAAATGTATGTGAAATTAATCGCGGTTTCATTTGTAGGGTATATTAGGGACAACGGTATTGTATACCCTAATAACTCTAGCAATAGCTATGAGAGGTCCGCTTTTTGCCTCAGCTGTCAGCCCTTTGCGACTTGTGATTGTGGCCATCGTTGGATCATTTGTAGTAGAAGAGGATTTATAGTTGGGAAGGTAAGACGTGCTAGTTTTAAGAATGATATTTCATACTACGAATACATGAATAATAAAATCTCCACTGCCAAGTCATCATCATCAGTTGACTTGTTAGTCAAGCAAAGAAGAAATTGCTGATGATGCATGTGGTCCTGTTCCAGCTGGAGCTTCGCCTCCACAGGACGTCATACAGCTTCATGCAGAAGATCGTCACTTAAAGGAAGATTCCATACACTTCTCGAGTCATCCACTTGTGGTGAAGGTGAAGGAATTACAGTCTGATGATCAGCTAGAGTCAAAGCAGGATTAGCAGCATGCTGTGCATTCTGTGACAATGATGCTCATCCCGTGTCGATGGATGTGCATCCAAGTGATAATAGCGGGAATTCCAGATTCAAACATTCAAACTTGCACATGTGTTTGTATTGATATATCCTCTTTTATATAGTGTTATAAGCCTGTTAGTAAGGATAGATTAGTCATTTACACTATGGCGGTTACTCAACTCAAATCACATTAACATGTATAAATACAGAACAGGACACTTAATGGGATATGTTTTCAGACACATTAAACGCGTTTCTTTTAATTCCCAAATTTGTTCATTCTATTCACTCAAATCCTAAGAACATTTGTGAGCCAAATCTCGCTCATGGTATCAGAGCAGGAGTAATCCTGCCTGATCTGAGCCGAGAAATCACTACTTCTAGTCTTCTGCTGCAAAAACTCACTGGAATTTTGAAAAATGGAGCCGATTCGAGTTGGATCGATGCGCAGTGAAGATCTTCGAGCAGACGAGCTTGAAGCTGCAATTGGTCGTGCAAGAATTGGAGAAATGGATCAAGGAACCTCAAGACAGAGGAATGAAGATCGGGAAATGGAGCTGTTCATGGAAGAGCAGTTGCAGATTCATGGATCTGATAATCTATGAATGTTTTTGGTAAGCACTCCTTTGACAACATCTAATCACTTGATGTGGAGAATGGCAATAATAACTGCTCTCAATGCTAAGGCTAAGTTAGGATTTATTGATGGAACTTGTAAGAAACCACCAGAAAACACAATTGCTTTCCTTCGCTGGTCTAGAGCAAACAGTATGGTAAGGTCTTGGATATTGAATGCTATTGAACCTTCACAAGTCAGTAGTTTCATGTATATTGAAGATTCTAAACAGCTTTGGGATATTATAGCTATCAGATATGGGAAGATCAATGGATCTTTAGTCTATCAACTTAGACGAGATTTGACTCTTATTAGTCAAGGAGACTTGAATATGATTGAATACTATAACAAGATCAATAAGCTATGGGATGAATATAATCAATGGCGATCTCCAATTTCATGTACTTGTGCTGGAAAGAAACACTTTGATGACAGAGATGCAGAGGATAAAGAATATCAACTGCTTATGGGGCTTAATGATTGCTATAGTCCATCAGAAATGAGATTCTTAGGATGAATCCACTGTCTGATGTGGATACTATATTTGCAATGGTGTTAAAAGAAGAAACACAGAAGAATGTCAGTACAAGCATGATAATCAAGTTGGAAAACACTGCAATGATGGCAAAGATCAAAAACAATATGGGAAATCAGGTCGGTCTCTTACCTAAACAAATAGCTCCAATACAGTAAGTCCAACAGAACAAGAAAGCAGAAGCAAAATTCAAGGAAATGAAAATGCAGTCTAAGAAAGAAAAGATGAAGCTGTACTGTAATCACTGCAAGAGGAATGGGCATTTAAAGGAAGATTGTTTTCTGCTAAACGGATTTCCTGACTGGTGGGGAATACAAAAGGGACTCAATCATACTAAAGCTCATACAGCACACTTGGTGGATACTCCTCTTGAGATGGAAGCTCCACAGAAGGCTCTTTGGACACAGAGTTCAGAAGCAATGCATCATTGGTCACCACAGTCATCTGGAAGTTTGCAATTGCATGGTCAAGAGAAAGGCAATTGGCAGAACATTTTATCAAGCTTGGTACAAACAGAGGTTGGTAAGCTCCTGAAGGGAAAGGGATCAGCACTTGAAACAGGATCAGGACTGTCAGTCAACTATACACACTTCAATGATTTTGCAGGTAGCTCAGTCATTGCTCATTTCAGTTCAAATGTGATTGATTTAAGTTGTGTTTTTTGGATAACTGATACGAGAGCCACAAGACATATGTGCTACTCTATTCAAGCCTTTACCACTTTTAAATCAGTAGCTTCTTATACTCCTATGTTTCTTCTAAATGGAACTGTCAATTCAGTAGAAAACATAGGAGAAGTAACTCTTTCTAGCAACATCACTCTTACTTCAGTGTTGCATGTTCCAACCTTTAAGCACAATCTTCTTTCTGTCAGAAAATTAGCACAAATCTCAGGAATCTATTTTAAGTTCTTTGATGATTTCTGCTTCTTGCATGACCTCAAGACTGACAAGGCTCTTGGAGCAGGCACAGTCATCAAAGAACTATACATTCTCACCTCTCATTCTTTCACAGATACAGCCATTCAACAGTATCAGACTTTGTATTCAAAATTACATTTTTCTGTTTCTAGAAGAGTTGATTCATACTTTTGTGATTACAGTACAAAAAGACATATTAGTGCCAATGTAAGTGTGGTTACATGGCATAATCGTTTAGGGCATCCATCAGATACAGTGATGAGATATATAGAACCCTGTAAGATTTTCTTGGATGATAAAATCAATAATATTTTAGATTGTGAAGTGTGTCCTTTGTCAAAGCAACACAGAAATGTGTTTCCTAATAGTACAATTCAAACTAGTAGAATATTTGAAATGATACATGTAGATTTATGGGGGCCATACAGTAAACCTTCTCTTACTCATGCATAATTCTTTCTTATAGTTGTGGATGATTTCAGTAGAAGCACCTGGACATTTCTTCTTAAACATAAAACACAAGTCTATAGTACCTTATGTCACTTCGTCAATCTTATACAAACACAATTTCAACAAAAAGTTCAAATGCTTAGATCTGACAATGGCACAAAGTTTCTCAGCCTTGAAACAAAGAATCTCTTCTCCCAATTGGATATAATTCACCAAAAATCATGTCCTTATACACCACAACAAAATGGAGTGGTGGAAAGAAAACATAAACATCTGCTGCAGGTGGCTAGGTCTTTACTCTTCCAGGCTTCAATGCCAAAAATGTTCTGGGGGGAAGCTATATTGACTGCCACTTTCTTGACAAACAGACTACCTTCTTCTGTCCTTGGGTGGAAAACACCCTATGAGTTACTATATAATAAACCACCTTCACTAAGCCTTCTTAGAACTTTTGTGTCAAGTCTTTGTTGTTAATACTAGTCCTCATAAGCATAAGTTTGATCCTAGATCCATTCAAGGGGTTTTTGTTGGTTATCCACCAAGGCAAAAGGGCTATAAGATCTATAGTCCTAAACTCAGGAAGATCTTCATTTCTAGAGATGTCATTTTTCATGAGCATTTGTTTCCTTACAAGAGCTCTTCAGTCACAAATTCAGATTTAGTACTACCAAACATGATCATAGATTCTGTTGAAGATCCTGATCATGTTGTTATTTCTCCATCAGAATTTATTCCTTCTTTCCCTGATCCTTCTCCTTCCAGTTCTTCACCATTGCATATACCTACAGATATTGATGTGCCTGATGATCTTTCATTAGATCACCCTCACTCATTGTGAAACACAATCTGAACTTCCTTCTTCTCCATCTTTTGTTCCTGATGCTCCAAGAAGGAGTGTTAGAAACAGAAAACCTTCTGTCAGACTTACAGATTATATTCAGCCCCCATCTAAACTTAACACTTCCATATCTTCAGTGACTCCTTCTTCTTCCACATGTCATTTTTCTTCCACACATATGTCTTTTTTGGCAAACTTGTCAGATATTCAGGAACCACAGACTTACAATCAAGCCAGAACTAATGAGAAGTGGGTACTGGCCATGCAACAAAAACTGAAAGCACTAGAAGACAACCAGACATGGGATCTTACACCCTTACCTGCTAGCAAGAAAGCTATAGGCTGTAAATGGGTTTTTAAGGTCAAGTGTCACTCAGATGGTACTGTTGAGTGATATAAAGCCCGGTTGGTTGCAAAGGGCTACAACCAAATTGAAGGAGATTTCTTTGAGGTCTTCTCACCTGTTGCTAAAACAGTAACAATCAGATTTTTCTTGGCTTTGGCAGTTGTCTCTGGATGGCCTGTCTACCAAATGGATGTCAACAATGCCTTCCTTCATGGTCATTTGGAAGAAGATGTTTATATGGTCCCTCCTCCTGATTATGATAAAGCTGGTACTTCTCTTGTTTGTAAACTAAATAAATCTCTCTATGGCCTCAAACAGGCATCTAGACAGTGGAACAGTGAATTCACCTCTCTCTTGATCTCTTATGGTTTCTCTCAGTCTTATCATGACTCCTACCTTTTTGTCTTGAAAAAACCAGGCCTCCTACTTATTCTCTTGGTCTATGTTGATGATATTATCATCACAGGTTCTCATGAAGAAGAGATCTCTAAGGTAAAACAGTTGTTGGATCAGGCTTTTATTATCAAGGATTTAGGACTTGCAAAGTATTTCCTTGGTATGCATATTGCGAGAAATGATGCAGGGATGTACTTATCTCAAACAAAGTACATCATTGACTTGTGGTAGGGTGTCAAGCCAACAAACAATTTAACCTATTTCCAAACTAATGTAGTACAGGAAAGTAAGGTTGTCTCCTCAGGGAATGGTGAATTTCTCTCTTTTAAATCAAGTAACCAAAAGGGGGGGCTTTGAGTTGTTGAAATAAATTGCAAACAATACAAATTGCAAACAATTGCTAAAATGATTCAAACAAATAATGAGAAAATATCTAGCTGAATGGTTTGTATATCCACCTTGATTTGAACAGTTGATCATAGATGCAATGATATTATCATTAACGTATGAGTAGATTAGTTTTCATTGTTGGAACCTCTAAACAATTCAATCTTTCATTTAGTTCAATGATTAAGAAACCTTCATTAATCATATACTAGTCGAAAACTAATCTTGGAACCTCCAAAGATTTAGAAAACTACTACATTAAACACATAGACCCAATCCCAATTCCTATAAAACAAACCTTGTTTTATATTAAACCGGATTACTTGTTCTTATAACATAAATAATTACTTACCAAGTAATTAAATTATATTATACCCTATTTAAACAACAAACCTTGTTGTTTTATTGGTTTTAGATTATTAAGAAGCACCGAATGCTACCAGCTATTCATGAATCCACAATAATCATATCAATCATGCCATAGAACAAGCAATTACTCACAAGAAATTCAAAGAGAAACAACATTTAAATCTCACAATTATTTAAACCAAGACTTCAATACCCTTCAACCAGATGAATGAATTTAGCTACTCATCATGAAAACTGAATCACAAGAAAAATTCATTGAACAATATTACCGATTGATGTCTATGAACTCGGAAGACTCCAAAAATGAAGAAAGTGCCTTTGAAAGCTCCTTAAAAGTGGAAAACTACGTCTATTTTTATTCTATTACCTACTACTCTTTCAAAAATGAAAAGAAAAGTCTATTTATATACATAATATAGGTCAGCCGCAGCAGCCTTCTCAGAAATCCGCAGCAGCAAATTAACTTTTCCGAGATTTGCATATTGGTCCCTCAAATTTGGCAAAATTACATTTTGACCCCAAAACTTTTTCAATTTTTCATTTTAGTCCCTGTTTCGGTTTGGCCAAACGGGAATGCAGCTTCAATGCTGGAATTTCTTCTCTATAGCTCAATTTTGGACTGAGATTCGTGTGCCCACACGAGAATGTGATGTCATTGCTCCTTCTTGTGCTTCCTTGTCAAAATGCTCCAAAAATGTGTGTTTATGAAACATTTTGCTCTATCTCATCTCTAAGGACTCCTAGGAACCAAAAACATCAAAATACATAATATAAGTGCACAATCTAATCCAAAATACTATACAAATACCTATAAATAATATGAAACTTCAAGACCTATCAACTTGCTTAGGGATACTTGCATGTTAGACTCTATCCCCACTCCGACTCCTTTTCCTAGGCAGACTTCTCTATCTCAGCTTTACCAGACCTGATTTGACTTATGGCATTCAGCAATTGAGTCATTTTGTGAATGCCCCTCATGAATCACACTGGAATGCAGCTATGTACCTTCTCAGAATACTTGAATGGTACTATTTCCAAAGGACTTTTCTACTCTTCCTCTTCTGATTCTGTTCTCACAGCCTATTCAGATGCAGACTGAGGATCTTGTGAATTCTGCAAACATTCCTTAACTGGCTATTGCATTTTCTTGCGCTCCTCTCTTATTTCCTGGAAAACAAAGAAACAGGCTACTATTTCGACTTCATCAGCTGAAGCAGAATATAGAGCTATGGCAGTAACTGTTCAAGAACTGAAATGGTTGACTTATGTCATGAAGGATATGTCTATTCCTATTTCTCTCCCTATTGCTTTTTGGTGTGACAGCAAAGCAGCTCTCCACATCACAGCTAACCCGGTCTTCCATAAAAGAACCAAGCACATTGAGATTGATTGTCTTGTTGTTAGAGATGCATACAAGGCAGGTTTCATCTCTCCTTCTCATCTTTCTTCTTCCTCTCAGTTAGCAGACTTGTTTACCAAGTCTCTTGCTGCTTCAGCTTTCCATTACTTATTAGGCAAGATGAGCCTTTGGGATTCACCCCAGGCTCATCTTGAGGTGGGTGTGAAGGAATTACAGTCTGATGATCAGCTAGAGTCAAAGCAGGATCAGCAGCATGCTGTGCATTCTGTGACTGGTGATGCTCATCCTGTGTCGATGGATGTGCAGCCAAGTGATAATAGCGGGAATTCCAGATTCAAACATTCAAACTTGTACATGTATTTGTACTGATATATCCTCTTTTATAGAGTGTTATAAGCCTGTTAGTAAGGATAGATTAGTCATTTATACTATGGCAGTTACTCAACTCAAACCGCCTTAGCATGTATAAATACAGAATCAGGACACTTAATAGGATATGTTTTCAGACACATTAAACGCGTTTCTTTTAATTCCTAAATTTGTTCATTCTATTCACTCAAATCCTAAGAACATTTGTGAGCCAAATCTCGCTCAGAAGGATCCGGGCTAGGCTAATGTGACAGCCCTTGATCTGTTAATTTGTACATAATTAGTTAGTTTGTAGTTTTATACAAGATGTCAGGTTAGCAAAGTCTTAACCAACTTATTTATGTATAAATAGGATCAATTGTACAGAATTCATTTGATTACGTTATCTTGAATAAAAAGTTATCAGAATTTTTCCCTAATAAACCACCAGAACTAACCATAGTTATGAACATAAGCAACATCTGTGGCATGTAGATGAAGGAATCATCCATTACTAGTCCAGCTTTGTTTTTTTTGTTTACAATAATTAATTAAGTTATGAATAATTTTTTTTTAATAAAGAGACAATCCTGAAACTCTAATTTATCGTACTGGACCTTGATAAGAAATATCAACAATGTCCAACCAAAATTTTACAGTATTCAGAGAAATGTCTAACCATAATAAACCACCAAAACTAACTATAGTTAAAGCCAGTAACTAGCCAATGTTAATAATAAGGTTAATAATATAACCTGAATTTATAAACGTGGTTGATCCACTAAAAACAAATACGCATATTGTTTGTCCCATGCGCGGTCGACAATTGTTCTTGCCTTCTTTCTGTACCAAGAAAAAAAAAATTGTATAAGAGACAAAGTGATCAAAGGAAATAAAAGATTGCGCGTAGCTAATTACTAGCTAGCTACTCTTTATTTTTGTTTAGTTTTTCTTTTTATATTATTATTTTCTCTGCTTCAATTTAGCTCTTTAATTTATTAAATTAAAGTAGTAACGAAATAAAATATTTAAGTGATATAGAGGTCAAGAGACACAAGTTTTCCGAGGTATTGGTGCCGTCTGGTCAAAGCCTCCAAAGACGCTTTTGAAGCAAACTCCAAACAAATTAAAAGAGCTAAAACTTCGGTTAGATCATGGGTTTGCTGTACTGTACCCCAGTGTTTCGACTATAGCTCTTTGTCTCTTTTCTTTTGCCACCGAACATATATATAGTCCTTCCTACATAAAATATGTTAGTTCAAAAAATAGTACTATCTTTTTCCAAAATAGGACGGATGAAGTATAGAGTTTTGAACATATATATATATATATATGTATATATATAGATATAGTATTGCCTGTTCTCTTTTTTATGTTTAGTACTCATTTCTTTATCCCAAAATTTTCAGACACAATTATGAGAAGTTTCATGAATTGATGAGTGTTATTTGTTTGGTGCATACAGTTGGGAGATTTGAATATATTTAGGATTTTCCTGATTATGAAAGAGGGAAAATATAGGACTGAAAAATGACGAGTGTGAACAACAAGGAAGCTAGATGGAAGCCTACAGCACTATTGGTAATGTACCAGTTAATATATTCGTTGATGACCATTTTAATGAAATTAGCAGCTCATGATGGTATGGATCTCAAAGTTGCATCCACTTATCGTTTTATGTTCGGAGCTGCTTCCATGGTTCCTATTGCTTTCTTCTTCGAAAGGTATATATACATCAATTTCCTCAAAATATCTTCGATTTCGGTTAGACCTCGATCGTCTTGTATGCTTGAGTTCTTCTATGTGTTGAGGCCTTATTGTGTTATTCTTAATCACTTTAATTAGTTTTTGCACGGTTTTTGGGAAAGAAATTGAACCTTCACACATCCAGCTATGGCCATTATCACTCTCTCTACTCTTCAAACCCAGAGTTTTAAATTTTCTTCACCTTCATGTACCTTTCAGGAATAAAAGACCAAAATTAACCTGGAATGTGGTCATCTTGGCTTTTCTTTGTGGATTATTTGGGTAAGCTGCAATTATCTTCTTCTTCTTCTTCTTCTTCTTCTACTCTCTCTCTCTCTCGCTCTTTCTCTTTTGGCTTCTGATAAACAATTTTTCAACTTATTTGTATGCACTTTCTGTAAATTTGCATTAAGATACTAATGTAGACAACAAATCAAGAAAAAACAATTACAGTCGAGGTACATGTTTGACTCTTTCAAATTTATAAGTTAACATTAGTATTTTCTCTTTGAAAAATACAGATAAAATTTTAATTATCGAACGTTTTATATATGCAATAATTCTATTTCAATCGTATCATATCAAACTCCAGAAAATAAAGGAAAAAAAAACACAGAGTTTTAGACTTGAAGTCAATTTTCATTAATCCTTTTTTAACATTATATATATATATGTGTGTGTGTGTGTGTGTGTGTGTGTGCGTGTGTGTGTATAGGCAGTATATACTCTAAAACTTAGAAAGTGTAGCTTTCATAAACTATCCACTGAATCACAGATATTTATAAAAATACCATGAACTTATTTTTCTTTTTAGTGAATGACTCAAACTTCATGTTGATTCTTGCTACTTGATGCAGAGGCACATTGGCACAAATTCTATTACTAGAGAGCTTGGTACTAACATCAGCCACATTTGCATCAGCTATGACCAACCTAATTCCCGCTACAACGTTTCTGGTAGTCTTATGCATGAGGTTCGTTCAAAATTCTCAAATTAAAACTACGAACCAATCATGACTCTTTCTTTGGGACGCGGGACTGATTAAATAATTTCTAACAAATTGCAGGTTGGAAAGTTTAGGTTGGCATACAAATGCTGGTAAAGCAAAAGTGTTTGGAACCTTAATAGGTGTTGGAGGAGCAATGTTATTTTCTTTTTACAACGGTCCGAATGTTACTATTTGGAAAACAAATGTAAACCTTCTGAATATCACAACCAGTCATCATCGTGATACTTCAACTCATAAAACTTATGGAAGCAATAATGATCAAGTTGTTGGTGCAATGCTAGCATTCTTGTCTTGTGTTTTTGCCTCCTTCTGGCTCATTTTTCAGGTAATTGGGTGCCAAATTCTACTTATTCATCACAAACATTTTCAAATTATTTAGCTTGGATTAAATATCATGGTATATATATATATATCATTCCATATAGGACAATCAAGTCATCATGTGAAATAAGTTTATCTAATTAATTTACTAAGGTATTTATGTCTTAATTAATTGATTTAATTGATTGCAATGTTTTCAACTCTATTTTTACCTGTCTTTTTTGTTTGTTTTTTGCCCTTGGCCCTTTTGGATATTTGACTAGGCCAAAGCTGCTCAATACTATCCTTGTCCATTATCTTTCACGGCTCTTGTGATTGTAATAGGAATGGTTTTGAATTTCATTGCTACAATCTGCTTACAGCGTGACTGGAATGAATGGAAACTAGGATGGAACATAAGACTTATTACGGTAGCTTTTTCGGTACGTCATATTGATATTAAACATACTCAATTTATTTAATTATTCTATAATGACATACTCCATGGGTCTTGAAAAATATCGTCGAACTAAAAATAAAATTTTTTTTCTTAAATGGAGATAGTATATTCTATGCACTATGCTTCGTCTGTTCTAACCTTGTGATTTTCTCATAATGATGCAACTGGTTGCTTTTATTAGTTTTTCTTTTGTCAGAAAAACGTAGGTTGAAAATATTGTTTCGGTTTGCAGGGTATTATAGGGACAACAGTGTTGTATACCTTGTTACATGTGGCTATAACAATGAGAGGACCGCTATTTGCGTCAGGTTTCAGCCCTTTGTTAGTCGTAATTGTTGCCATCGTCGGATCACTTGTACTAGAAGAGGTTTTAAACTTGGGAAGGTAAGATATATATATATATATATATATATATATATATGTCACGTTTTCTTTTCTTTTTCTTTTTTTTCAATAATCTTTCATTCGAATTCATAACTAGTGTAAAATGTATCCGAATACTGTATTATAAATGTCACTTTCGGTTATCCGGCTGCTCCTATTAGCTAGTTTTTTTTTAATCTTTTTCTTTTTTTTTATAAATCCTATTAGTTTGTTAGGTTTTTTTATGGTATTTTCAAAATATTTAAATAATAATTGTCCCATCTCAACATATCTTTTTACATTTTCAATACACATTTTTACATTCCCAATACAAAAAATATCTAAAAACACATACTAAAAAAACATTAAGTTCTTCATTCAATATTATTTGTTTTCTTAACGTGATTTTCTTACTAATTTGTATCGCAGCTTGCTTGGAGGTCTACTGATAATTTGTGGTTTATACATAATCTGTTGGGGAAAGAGCCAAGAGATTAAGATGAAGGACAATCGCACAGTGCCATGTGAGCAAGGCGAAGGTTCAGTATTAAGTGAGAAAGCTGACAAAAGTGCAGAAGTATAGGAAATATTTTAGTCAAAGTGGAGAACCACGCATTGCTCTCGAAAAACAATGTATTTTCTTAAATTAAAACAGTATACAAATAAACGGAATTTTTTTTTTATTTTCAATTGTAATTCTAATACATATAGATAATAAATAACCTGCTCACTTCCAATATAGATAATAAAGTGTCTAAACATTTAGTTCCGGTCACAAGGGGGAAAAAAAAAAAAGAGTTAGAATGGATGACAAATTTCAATTATTTTTGCAGAACTTAAAATGAATAAAATATTTTAGGAATGAGGAAGTATCAAATGCATTTTGGGTCAACTTTTGAGATTCTTTTTGGAGAACTATTAAGAATAACTTATAACACCAGTATGAATAAATACATGAATTAGAGTACGGAACAAATGATAAGTATATATGGAGTTCCAGTTAGTGACGATACCACAATATGGATTATGGATGATGAAATGGATTATTAAAGAGAATGCCCCAACATACTACGATGGCTTCCATATGGATATCCTCAATTAACCTAAAACGATTAGTTTCAGCATATAACATGGTAAACAAATCCAGTATAGGTGAATTGTATCGTAGTATATTTCGTGCACTAGCTAGAAATTGCAAGTTTGTCTCGATCTCGCAATGAACATGCTTAATCAGTAGCTGAGGCACGGAGAGCAGTAGACGCGATCGCCATCTCTCTTCCAATTGTTTTACTAGAAGAGGGTTTCATTTTTCAGTTTAAACTGTTAAAATTTGTAGAGGCAATCACCGTTTTCATTTTTCAATTTATTTGTAATGTTAACGCTCTTATATAGAACATACATTTTGCCCTCATAATTTCAAATTTCTGGCTCTATTGTGCTTAATGGAGAAGTGGGAAAAAGAAAAAAAAAATCCCTTTTTCTATCTTATTAATTAAGTAAAGCCTAAGGACCTTGAAACCAAAAGTTAAACTAGGCCTCTTTGCTTTAGTTTGATTGCACCCAGCGCACTACAAAATAATCATTGAACTCCTTTTAGGTAAAGAGGCTCATCTTGTTCTATGAATCTTCACAATTCTTTGCAACAACAATACTACATCCATAATCCCTGATAGTGTTTCTTTTTTATTTCTGTTCAGCCAGGTGTTTCGTCAATTTCACTAATTAGGCACCTTTTTAGATTGATTACGGATCTTAATTTATCTAATCGAGATACGCCAAAAGTGTTTCTTTTTGCACCAATTATAAAACTGGCACTTTAATTTTCATAATTCCAACGCAACATAAATATGATGGTCCAATAACTATACTATCAAACCTAATCAAAAGATGAAGGAAAAAAAATTATACATTCATAATTATGATCCAAATTTACCAACTTCGAATATATTGCATTTGCCAAAATATTTTACCCAAATGGGGAAAAAAATTATACTATTAACATCAAAGGAAGTCATGGTCTTAATTAAATTTGAGCTTACCGACAAAAAAAAAACTCCGATCATGTGCTATTATCGACATCAAATCTTGATTTTTTCTCATGAGAGCGTCGGTGTGGCGTACCATCAATTAAGAACGAACTTAATTCTTGTCCTTTGCATTTTTTTATCTCGTATATAATATTTGTTTGTATGTTGATAATGAATAATTTTCACGCGATTTGAAAAACCAATGAAAACGTACCATGTGATCAGCAGAGATGCAAAGTAGAATTGGTTTTTTTTAGAGATAACAAAATTAATACTCCCACAGTCCCAAAATTATTGTCTAGTTTCAATTTTCACTTTTAGTTCAGTTTGTACTAAAATTAAAAATTCAAATTGGACAATGATTTCGAGACGAAGAGAGTACTCATTTTGAGATTAGAACATCATAGAAAAGAATGGCATGAAATAATTCATTGCCATTTTCATACTTACCCATCATTTAGTGTTTGTTAGCTAAATTGAAGGTATGAAATTGTCAAATTTTCTCCATATTACTCCATATAAATTTTCTTTAAAAGTTTACATTAAGTGTGTATGATCGCTCATATAATATAATCCAAGATAATATATAGTTACGTACGTAGGCCATGCACGATTAGAAAATTTTATATCCAGCTTCCCACTTTTGACCAATACAAATAATTACCCGATTAGCCAGACAGTGACTTAGACACAAAGCAGTATCCTCTGTCCTGAACTTATTATCCAATTTGAATTTTTATTTTTCGTTCAAATTATATTAAAATTGAAATTGTAAACTGACCAATAATTTTGGGACAGAGAGAGTAATATATATACGGCTAAAAGGACCAAATTGACAACTTTAACTTTTTAGCTAATTAAGAACTAGTAATTTGAAACGTTTCTGTTTTTCAACGTACGTAGGCCAGTATTATTTGTATATTTATTCACAATTCACATTAAGTTAATCTTCGAGGCCGTCTTATATAATTAGTTTTATTTAATTACTAGATGTGTTTTTTGTTTTCTTCCGCATCACAGGAAGGCCAGCCAGGGGAGAAAAACTGGATTATGCTCCAAGGTTTCTAGCTTTTCTGCTACCCTTTGTGAAAGAGGAAGAAAAAGGAATTAACAAAAATGACAAGTATAAGCACCACAGAAGGGTGGATTCCCGCAGTGCTAATGGTATTCTATAATGTGATATATGCCTTGATGACCATTTTGTGGAAATTGGCAGCTCATGATGGGATGGATCTCAGAGTTGCTTCCTCATATCGTTTTCTTTTCGGAGCTGTTTCCATGGCTCCTGTTGCTTTCTTCTTCGAGAGGTGCACATTTTTCCTCCAAAAACTTTTCATTGTCTTCTGTTAGCTAATTTATTACCTCAAAGATTAGTTGGATGTTCGGGGGTTAATTTGAAGTTAGAATATCCTTAATTAGCTGAATGATTTACGTCTTTGATTCTTAATCTATTTCTATTCGTGAAAAAAAAAATTGTTTTTTTGTCACTGCATCAGTGTTGTGTTATAGTTTCTGGCTCCGTCACTGATCATTACCATTCTTTTAGGAAAAAAAGACCAAAGTTGACTTGGAAAGTTATCTTCTTTGCTTTTCTCTCTGGATTATTTGGGTAAGCTTGAATCTCTTTAATTTGGTTTTCTAGCTAATATATGAGCATTCTTTCATTTTCAGTTTTCGCATGTAGACTTAATTAGTTATTTAAGTGAACATTAAGATATGGTACATTTTTTATGGAAAACAAATCAAAGCAAAACGAAACGACTGTTATAGTGTTATAGCTTGTTTGTGTTGGAAATTTAGTTTGTAGTATAAAATACTTAAATTAAAATTTTAATGATAATAATTAAGTTGGTAACCTTTCACATAGGGCGGTGAATATTCCCTTATCAACCAAAGGTTATATACTTAATTTGTATCCTTTAATTGTGCAAGTGTTGCCTATAAATAGGCCTACTATTGTCAGGATTCTAAATTATCTTTTGCATTCCTAAATTTTTTTCAGAACAATCAATAATTGCAAAACTGCATGTTCTTGTGCTCTTTATGATATAGAGGCAAATTGCCAAACAAATTGGGTTTTGAAACATGGTGAGGAGAAATATTGCCTTAGTAACACTGTCTAACACAATTATAACACATATGAATCTTTGCGATTGTTTCATTATTATTAGATTCAAATTTCTATCAATAAAATTTATCATTCTTTATGTTTTCTCTTTGGTGTTTTTTGCGTTATCTCTTTGGTTAAGATCCTATATACTTCCAGTTTGGAACTACTAGCCTCATTTGTCTCCTACTATAGATCATATTGAAGTTTTTTATTATATGTTCGGTTAATTAACATAGGGGGTTTGAATCAGTGGCCGCCTTACTATGCAAGAACACATGTTAAAAGATAATTTGAAGTCCCCATGTGAGATCATCCGCATCAAACTACTTAAATAATAGTCTCTCTCTCTTCTTAGCAAATGACATATCTTATTACTTCTAATCCAATAAAAAGAAGTACTTTTGGTTAATGTTATAAATCCTTGTCACTCTATCGTAGAATGAAGCTAGATATTGATTCTTGTTACTTCATGCAGAGGTACATTGGGACAAATTTTATTCTTAGAAAGCTTGGCACTTACGTCTGCCACTTTTGCCTCGGCTATGCTCAACCTAGTTCCCGCTACAACATTTTTGGTAGCCATATGCACGAGGTTTGTTCAACGTTAATTCTCTAATTGAAACTACAGATTTTTCGTGGCTCTTTTTTCTGGAACGGGAGAACTGACAGAAATTCTAACAAGTAAATTGTAGGTTGGAGAGTTTAGGTTGGCATACAAAAGCAGGTAAAGCAAAATTGTTTGGGACATTGATAGCAATTGGAGGAGCAATGTTGTTCACATTTTACAAGGGTCCAAATATTACCATTTGGAAAACAAATGTAAACCTTCTCAACATCTTGCCTAGCAATCATCATCATCGGACTTCACCTAAAACACAAGAGGGTAGTAATCAAGTGCTTGGTATTATCCTAGCGTTATTGTCTTGCCTTTCTGTCTCGTTCTGGCTCATTTTTCAGGTAAGGGGGGAAAATCACTAATTGGTCATGAAAATCTTTGAAGCTAATTTAATAAAGGGTATAAGACCCCGAGTTAATTGATTAATACTCTGTTACCTTACAACTCTAATTTTTATTTTATTTTTTTTGTAAACATTGGAAGGCTAAGGCTGCCAAATACTACCCTTGTCCATTGTCTTTCACGGCTCTCATGACCATGATGGCATTGATTTTGAATTTCATTGCTGCAAGCTGCTTACAGCGTGACTGGAGCCAATGGAAGTTAGGATGGAACATAAGACTTATTGCCGTAGCTTTTTCGGTAAGTCACCACCATTGGATTCATTCATCTCTTAAAAAACGAATCATACCCATTGTAGTCGCAGGGTTCAAAAAACGTTAGTCTTATATACCTTCTATCACACTACTCGAAACATATTATTATGCCATACATTATGCCGTAAATGTGGTTTCGATTTACAGGGTATTATAGGGACAACAGTATTGTATACCTTGTTAACGATAGCTATAGCAATGAGTGGTCCGCTATTTGTGTCAGCTTTCGGTCCTTTGCAACTTGTAATTGTTGCGGTAGTTGGATCACTCGTGCTTGAAGAGCATTTATACTTGGGAAGGTAAGATCTGTTTTTGAGCTCATCAATTATGTGTATATATATATATATATATTTGCACATTTATCGGCGTGTTTTAGTATATATTTGTATGTTATAAGATATCTACCGTCATGTTTTATTATATAATTGTATGTTATAAGACATCTACCGTCAGCAATAATGGTTATTGATTCATACTTCTTTTGACAAGATTTTCTTCTATCTGTCTCGTAGCTTGCTCGGAGGTTTACTTATAATTACTAGTTTGTACATCATATGTTGGGGGAAAAGCAAAGAGATGAAGATGGTTGTCACTTCCGTCGTTCCAAATGAGCAAACGGATGGTTCAAAATCAAGTGATGAGAAAGATGAAGGGATAGAAGTATAGGAATAGCTAGCTAGTCAAAGTAGAAATCTTCGTGTTCAAAATGTACACTAAAATACATTCTGGGTCAATTTTGAGATATTCTCTTGACAGTGAACGGAACTTCATTAGGTAAAGTGAAAAGGTGTGCTAAAGAATATGCTCCTAAACATTTTATGGAAAATTTGGATTATGGGCAGTAGATAGTAAATAAAGAGGGTAGTACTTTTGAATAATTTTTATTAGGGGCATAATAAATCAATGATACAAACATTACTCTAACTCTTGAAATAAAATCTTATCTCTTTCATTGATATTTTAACTCATAAATTAAAATCTATTTCCAATGTGTGTAAATGATAATATTTTAAAATTTAATATGGAAAAATTAATATATTACCTGATGAAATAATATAAATATGTTGACTTTGAAAATAAAGGTTAATATTTCCTAATTTCTAGTTGTAGATTTTTTTTCTTGTATAATTTTATTTTTTATAAGTAAACCATTTTTCCCCTTCACATGAACTGAATCGAAATTGTATAAATTATTTTTTCTAGAACCTTGTACTTAAATGAGCCGTACAACCCACTTTACAATATTTAAATTAATTAAATTCATTTTTTATTAATGGAAATTTTAAATTTAATACTGTAAAAATTTTGTATATATAAGATTTTTTTTTGTCAATAATTACATTAAAAAAATTAAATAATTCAAAGTATTTAAATTGATACAAAGAGTTTTTTTTTCAAACAAACATAAATTCATGTTTGTATGGTTGAATTGGTATGCCCTTAATACAAATTATTTGAAAGTATTGCCTTATTTATTAATTATTGGCCCTCCACTACCCCTCATCCAAATTTTCCCAACATTTTATTCCCTGTAGACAGACGAAAGCGCTAACTGAACAACTATAAACACCCCAGAGGGAACAACAAAAAAAAGAGATTCAAATCCAAAATAACCCCAGAGGGAACAACAACTATAAACACAAATGAAACAATTACTAAAACAAGAACCACTCAACCCTTCTATGATTTTCTGTTTTCCTGTGGACAAGGCGCAAAGATATTATACTCAAGTAGTAATAATTACACTTCATCCAATCATCATCACCCATCAGTCAACTTGTGAACCAGGAAACACAAAACACAGATGAACATATTTACGTACGAAAAGTTTATAGATCAGTTTACACGCCAAAAAGGAAACCTAAATATGGATACCAAGGAATGAGCGGTTAACCGCTAGGAAGGAAAGTCAATTTAAACAGTCCTAAACCCAAGTTTCCCATCAACTACTGTTGCTTTTATGGGTGCAACTATGAACAGCAACAACATGATGTATGTAGCTCAAGAAGCATCCAATGAACTTTTATTATGGTTCATAAGTGTAATTAAAATTGTGGAGATGTTGATCCAATATCCTAACAATATTTTATAATGGCCACAAGTGTTAAAAAAGAATAAGAAAATGCAAGAAAAATGGCTAGCTATTATTATACTCCCTCCGTCCCATAATTATTGTCCAGTTTTACTAAAATGAAAGATTTTATTTTTGGTCAAACTTAACTATATTTTACCTTAAACAACCGGATATACCCCTACATAAGTAATTGTTTAACCATTAAGATTTTATGGATAATGTTTTTTACTAAGGACAAATGTGTAACTTGATCCATAAAAAGTCAAATTGGACAATAATTTTGGGACAAAATTTTTTGGGCAAAGTGGACAATAATTATGGGACGGAGGGAGTAGATAATAAATCTCCACCTCTATATCTACTTCATAATAGTTCAAACATTTCGTTAGGGTCCAAAAAAAAAAAAAGAGTTAAAATAGATGAAAATTTTCAATTTTTTTTTTATTGCAGAACTTAAAATGACTAAAATATTTTAGGTACCAGGAAGTGGCAAATGCATTTTGGACCAATTTTTTAGATTCTTTTTGGACTATTAAGAATAACTTACAACATCAGCATGAATAAATACATAAACTAGAGTAAACTGAACAAAGTATCGAGGTCCAGTTAGTAACGAAAGACGATCGCCTCTCTCTTCCAATTGTCTTACTAAAAGAGAGTTTCAGTTTTTCAGTCTAAACTAATAAAATTTGTAGTTCCACCGCTCTTATATAGAACACAATATGTCATTTTGCTCCTACAGTTTAAGATTTCTAGCTATATCACTTTGCTTAATTGTAATAACTATATCACTGTTCGTCGTGTCATCGGCACCCCGATGGGGAAAAAGAAACACCCTTTTTATGTCTTATTAGTTAAGTAAAGCCTAAAAAAATCCTTGCTTTAGTTTGATTGAACCCGAGCACTACAAAATAATAATTGAACTTCTTTTAGGTAAAAGCTCCTCTTGTTCTATGAATCTACAACTCTTTGTAACAACAATACTACATCCATATAAACTCTGTTACTGTTTCTCTTTATTTCTGTTTAGTCGGGTGTTTTGATAATTTAACTAAGGGAAAAATCTACTTTATGTACTTTGAGAATGGTGATTCTCCATATTATGTAGATTAAGAATTGGTCTTCTCAAATCATATTGAATTTTTTTCTTTTTATTTAAGTACTTTTTTAAGGGCAAAATGAGATACTAACAAAATTGTTATAATTGTTATGTTTTTGCCCCCAAACTTCTGGGAAAGAGCAACTTACACCATAAATTTTATTGATTTTAAAAATTTTATCTTTCAATTAGATTTTAGCAAATTATACATTGATTTTAGGTCAAAAATTTCTCATGAATTCCAGTCTTTATTATTTTTTTTTACATACATTTTGTTTTATTTATCGTTTTCCATTTATCATTTTTTAAAAAAAAAATTGTAGTTCTTCCTTTCTTTGTTACTTTTTTATCAATTTTTTGGCACTTTAATGCATTCTGGTAACATATAATCTATTTCTTTTTAGATATTTTTTTTCATTCGCCTAAAATATAAATATAACTTATGATAAAAAAAAATAACTAAAATAATATATATATATATGTACATTAAAAAGAATAGAAATTAGAAGTCAAGGGAAAAATCTGACCACAAGCCAATGTGCAATTTGCTAAAATTTTATTGAAAGAAAATTTTGTGTAAAATTAATAAATTTTTAAGGTGTAATTTGCTTTTTTTCAGGAGTTTGTGGCTGAAAAGTTACAGTTTAGGGAACAAAATTTGTTAATTTTCCATTTTACCCTTAAAAGAGTACTTAAAACAAAAAAATCAAACGTACGATAAAGGTATCCCTTAAAAAAACATCAATTCCTCCCTAGATGTATGAAGTTCAAACTAGTGACATGCCTCAATACAGTCATTAAAAACATCAATCGCCGCATGATCATGCACCGAATTCTCCAAATATTTATCAAGTGATCTTATTACATTGAAATCATCACCTACCATCCAAGGAACCATTGAAAATTGACTACGAAACATAGCCATATCAGACCACAATTGTTGCCTTCCACTTTGAGTCGATTTTGCGTAGACTGCGCAGATATTAAATTTACTGCTAACCAACGTGTGGCTCACTTCAACATTTAACATCTGCTTGGACTCACCCACAACATTAAGCAAAAAAGCATTTTTGGACACTGCCTTATCCGACCCAAGAACTACTTTTGTTTCATCCACTTTGTGAGCTGGTAACATCGGTTCCAAGAGAACCAGAAAAGTAACTTGATGCATTTTCGAACTAAATTTTTCAGGCGCCGTTGAGACTCCGATTTATTAAGTCCTCTAACGTTCCATATGATTTGTCTATTTCCACTTGCATTTAGTTTAATTGTTCACATTTCCGTAATCTAAACAAAATGCCAACTATTTCCACCATCAAACTATCCCCTTCTCCTTGGTATCCCGCCTCACCATAGAAAAAAAGTTCCCCTCTCACCAGAATAATAAATCCATATCCTACATTAACAGTCGATCCATCCAAGTTCAAAATGAATGAATATAGGCCAGGCGGGTTCCAACTTACAACACCGCACCCCTGGCGCACAATTTTGCTATATCATATGTGAAAGTTTTGTTTTAAGATAGCCAATTTGGCAGATGTTTAAGCCTTCAAATAGTGTACCTTCAAAATACCAGGAAGACAAATTGTAACAGCTTCAATATATTTAAAAAAATTAAAAGTTTAATCCCATGGTGCAATGTGATACTTGGCAAGTAACTCCCTAAATTAAAAACCTTTCATGCCATCTTGCCAAAACACTGTATCTAATTTATCTTAATTTTTATGCTAAATAACTTTTACAATTCATTTCCTATTTTCTCTCGTTCTATCATCAAGTTTCCTATTAGATCAACATTTTTTTGCATATTTCCTTGTAAATCTCATCCCTTTTTTTTCTTTTTTTGGGTCCAAACAAGAAAATTATATGTGTGAAAAGCCATATGTGTCATCCGTCATTTTGTTGACAACTCATCTACAACTAATCTTTCAACGAGCATATCTCCCAATCCGTGAAAAATTTGTGAACAAATTATTTATGAAATTTATAGTACTTTTCGAGATCTATTCAACAAGATCCATAGTAAATATTTTTTCGGGCTTAAAAATGACTTAATTCTGATGGACAGAATAAAGGTGGATATCCAGTTTTACAAGATGGATAACTAACTTGTTCTAAATTGGTTATCCATTGTGTTCATGCTGATTATCCAATCAGTTTGAACTAGTTATCCATTTTGTTTGTACTGCTTATCCATTTGGTTTGTATGTCTATCCAACTTGTTTGTAATGGATATCCCACTTGTTTGAAATAGATATTCAACTCGCTTGTACTGGATATCCATCCATTTAGTTTATATACTATCCAACTTGTTTTGAAGTTGTAATCCTACGGGTTTGTATGCATATCCAACTTGTTTGTGCTGGATATCCAACTCGCTTGTACTGGATATCCATCCACTTCATATTGATTATCCAACTTCTTAATTCAAAATAAGTTGGTTATCCATATTCTCAAACTGGATATCCAATGTGTTCATATTGATTATCTCACTTCTTTGTGGTGGTTATCCAGTATTTTTTTTCCTTGCTCTTTTATGAAAATGATTGTCAAATTTTTTGTACTGATTATCTAACGTGTTGCACTGATTATCCAAATTGTTTGTAATGCTTATCCAATCATTTTTTCTTTCTTTCTTTTTTTTTGAAGAGTGAAAGTAAAAAATATGATTGGATAACAAGTATAAACAAAATGGATAATCAGTAGGAACACAACGGATAACTATTTTTCAAAGAAAAACGAAAAACATATTTCTTCATTTCTGCTCGTAAAATTTAAATGCATTTAAAGTTTAAAAAAAATATTCAACATGGATCTTATCGGATAGATTTTGTCGAGTACTATAAATTTCATGTGTAATTCGTATTCTAATTCTTTAAGGATCAAGAGATATATGAAATACAAGAATCTTAATCTAAACTAAACTGGTTATCCATCTTTCTAAACTAGATATCCATCTTATTCTGCCCATCGAAATTTAGCCATTTTTAAACTCGAAAAAAATATTCGACATGGATCTTGTTGGATAGATCTCGATGAGTACTATAATTTTTATGTATAACACGTTCTCTAATTTTTTACGGATCATGAGATATGGTTGTTTAAAGATTAGAGATGTTTTTTAAACGAGAGAAAAAAAAAATCAAAGACACTAAACCTGTAAGTTATGGGATGTTATTTAGAAAAGTGAAAAAAAATGTAGTAAAAATTAGTAGTGTAAAAAATAGGAGGGGGAGTATGGTGCCCCGGGTATACTGGATAAATTGCCGTATCTTTGTTTAGTTATTCATACATTGGTATATGCATATTTTTCTTTTTTCTTGTTTTTTTTTATCGAACTTTAGTTAATAGTTTGAAGTTAATTCGTGCATGTGAAAATCTTCAGACATCATTTACATTTTGTTCATAATTTTTTTTAATGATTTGCTCTGTCTGGTATGAACATTGGTATATCATTATTTACTTTTTGTTCATGATTTTTCCAATGCTGGTAACACATACTCATGCTGATATAAGTTTTAAGTTCATATAACAAATATTTTATTTTCATGAGTTTTTTCACATGATTTTATAATGTTGCTTCATTGTCTCTAAGCCGGAGATAAGGGAAGAAATTATTACATTTTGAAAAAAGGTTTTAGAGAATCAAAGAAAAAGATAAGGAAAGAGATGATGAGTTAGATAACTAATATAACACACTAAAACACTTCATGAGCTTGTGCAATACACACTCTTTGAAGGACTAGATTACAATATTGACCATGCATCAATATTTAGAACTTGTGATCAAATAGTTGTAGTAAGAAATTTGTAAATTACTTAACCTTCATTTTTTTATCAGTGGCATTAGGTTATGGATGCGTATTAAAGAAACAATGATTGAACTTTTAATTTTTAAGTATAATATTTTTTTTCTCCCTAAGTAAAAGTGTTAGAATTGTACAAAAATTTAAAATTAAAGAAAAAAAAAATAGTTCATAATAATATATGTTGTTAAAAGTAGATAAAGATATCGGTATAATTAAAAAAATTATATTTAATGCTTCATTAGAAATAAGAACGACATGTTAAAAAATGGAGGTAGTACAAGTTATTCAGACTATGATTGCATAACAAGAGCGGGAATGCAGTTAAAATTTTAAAACTCGTGATCGATGAATGAACTCGAGAGCCAATTCCCAAATAACGCCAAGAATTCATCTATTCCATCACTACAACCACTGGCGGATTTAGGGTGTGGCCACCACAAGCCCCACCTTAAATCAGTAATATAATATTTAAATTATTTTAATTGTAGTTAAGATTTTAAGTTTTAATTTATTAATTATAGTGTACGTCAAATGTTCTGAACGGTCTCTCTTTTGTCTAATATTGAATAGAAGATTTATCATAGATTCATGGGTTCAAGGATTCAAGCTAATATTAAGGGTAAATGGGAATATTAAGATATTTTGTGATAGAGTTTCGGCAGGATATATTAGGAAATATTGGATGAGTATTGTAACTCTATATTATAACTCTAGACTTTGCAGCCTCCTCCGTATGTAATTATAGTGTACGTCAGACTAATGTTTTCAAAATCCGGATTTCACACAGGATCGTTTTGGCGTCTCAGGATCATATTGGATTCTGGACCGGTGGGATCGTAACCATTTAAAATATTATAATAATTCTAAAATTACAAGTTTCAATTAAATTTTGTTGTACTACTTCCGTCTCAAAAAAATAGTTCATATTGGATTTTCAAATTTGTACTAAAAACTATCTAAAACTTAAAACTCAATGTGAATTATTTTTGTGTGACGGAGGTAATTTAAAGGGCACATGGCGAGATGGAGTATATGTAAAGTATTGATATGAATCCTTGCGATTCAACAAAGCGTGACTCTAAAGTGCACAAGTTTACTTCAATTATGGTACCAAGACTTCTACTTATAACTCGCCAAGACAACCAATGACACCAGAGATATTTCATCTCAAGGATGAATTTGAATAGAAAATTCAAAAGATGGTAAACAACAAGATGGAAAAAGTGTTTTCAGAACGAACCGTATCAAAACTTATCAATTAAATCTCTACCTTGCGATGGAAACGCGTCGATTTACTCCAAAAGGACCACAAATTCAGCATCCAATTTGAGAAACATCAAATCTCGAACAAGGGTATCCACGAAATTTGCAAGAAATCGAATTCAATTTTATGCACATAAAACATAATCATCAAGATTAACACAAAAAAAAAAACACAAAAAAAACCTTCACGCATTCTTATCAAATCATCTTGAAAATTCATCAAATCACACACTACAAAAGCTGGCAACACCCTATTTAATCACACACTACAAAAGCTGGCAACACCCTATTTATAGTAGAGGGTAGCTGAAAATTCTCCTAAGAAATAAGAGAAGAATTTGATTTCTAACTCTATTTCTACTTAGAGAGCAAATTGAACTCTAACTGACAACTCGTGGCTTATCCATTAAGGTAATATATCTAAATACCTTTATAGACTTTTTTTTTTTTAAGGGTCACTACAAGAAAAAAGAGACACAAACACAGATGAACATATATTACGTACGAAAATTTTATAGATCAGTTTACGTACGAAAATAGTATAGACCAGTTCACATACCGTCAAATCATTCAAGAATAAGTTGACTGCAGTAATTTCCAAGCCAAAAAGGTAACTTAGATATGAATACCAAGGAATGAGTGGCAAACCCGTAGGAAGGAAAGTCAATTTAAACAGTCCTAAACCCAAGTTTCCCATCAAGTACTGTTACTTTTGTGGGTGCAACTATGAACAGCAACAACATGATGTTTGTAGCTCAAGAAAACATCCATAAGGTAATCCAACGAACTAATATTATGGTTCATACGTAATTTAAATTGTGGGGATGTTGATCCAATCTCCTAACAATCTTTTACAATGGCCACAAGTGGTAAAAAAGAATAAAATACCGAAAGACAAAAGTCTAGATATTATAGATAATAAATCTCCACCACTTTATCTACTTCGTAATAGTTCAAGATTTTCATCAGTTTCAAAGCATATCTAATACCAGGGTATGAACAGTTGTATCGTTTTTGCCAGATGCTTTACGAAGTACGGACTCAGTCTCACATAGTGTGTTAACAAGAAGTTGAGAATATAAAACACCTGTAACTATCAAGACAAAAACTGCAAAGCAAAAACAGCATGCAGAGTTGTAAGAGGAAAATATTGGGATGGTGAGTTTACCCACCACAGTTCCAAGGCTACCATGTGGCAGGAACTTTGATACCAAAACCTCAACTACACGAAGTTCTTCATGAATTATATTGACCGCATGCTGGCAAAGAATTCATGAAACATCAACTTGGACTAGTAAAAACTTACAATAGATCTACTCTCAATTACTCAAAGCAAGTGATTTGCAATGTTTTACAAAGAAGAAGAAGAAGAAGAAAAACTTCTCTGTGAGCATGTCAATTAAGGATTGGGAAAATTCACAAACTCCTACAAGTCTTCTTAAGGTACACATCTCATTGAACACAGAAAATTTTATAAATACAACGAACTGCAGAACCCAAAAAAAAAGGATATGAGAAAGAAAACCAAAGCCACCAAAATACCAAGCTTAATTGCATATATAAATCCCACTCGAATACCTGTCATCTACCTCATAAAAATCGGTCTTCCCCTCTGAAGCAGGGTGCAAAGAAACTCCAGACAAAGATCTACTTGCTTGAGATGAAAACTTCACATAACAAGCAACCTCAAGATCTAACTCACCATCCTCATCATTAATTTCCACAGGCATCCTCACCCTCAATTTACCAGGGTTTCCCTTCAGCGGAATCTCATCGACATGCCATTTTAACTCTTTCTCAGACCTATTTAGAACAGCTTTAGGTGAAACCTTCAATAACGTTGGGTCCACAGGCAATTTCAGAACAAATGTCACGTCATTTAGAGGAGCTGGTAAATCTGGATTTGATACATATTGTATCATAATAGAAAGTAAAGTCCCACTAAGACGTTTGACAAGTCGAACCCTTAGAGGCAAAGGGGTTAATCGGGGTAGTAAACTGTACTTGATAAGTGGAATAGGTTGATCTGATGGAGCAGTCCTCACATGAAACAAACCATTCCCAAGGCTGCTCACCCTGGAACTTTGCATCACAAACCTCTTGACACTGGCTGTATTCTCAACTTTAAAGGAAAACTCAGTTTCTTTATCATCAGAAGGTTTTGGAGGTAATGTCTTCAAATAAACCACACCTACCAATCCAACTCTAGCAAGCAGTGATTCTCTAAACTCAGCACTAATCTCTTCTGCAATATACATTTCTGGCCCCTTCATTTCAGTTTTCTTAACTAACATATCCTCAAGATTCTTACCAGCACCATCAGCAGGGGCTGCAGTAGTCTTACCGGGTGGCTCACTAGTTTCCAACAATTCAAGCCCACCAAGCCCCTCTCTTTTCTTGACCTTCTTAGACTCCACGTACTCTGAGGCATCCAATCCACCACCCCAAGCATCATTAATCCCTTCAAAGTCTTCTGGCAGCGTTGATCCATCTAGACTAAACTCAATCCCTCCATAGTTTCCTTCAAACCCTTCAACACCTATATGAGTGGACTCAGTAGCGGCAGCAGGTGGCAACGTGGTAACCTCAAGCCCTGCCAATGCCTTACTCAAATCCGAACTCTGATCCTTGTCCTTCTTAAACCCTTCAACAAGGGACTCGGGCTTATTGATCATCTCACTGGCAGCAAATGGATCCTTCTCTTCCTCCTTTTCCTCCACTACATTCTCATCCTTCACTTCAGCTTGACCACCTGTAAATGCCATACTAGTAGCCACCTCATCACCAGCCTCCAAAGTCTCCGAAGGCAACTCAAATGTAGCCTTTGAAAACGCATCCACGCCGCTCTCCTGTTCAACATAATATCCCTCCATACTGGCCCAATTATCAGCGCCGCGAATCTTATTCTCCGTGTGGATTGCAGAATGAACCATCTTAGCAATGCCATCACCGTGCATGGTGGAAAGCATAGCTGCCAATCTAATACTACTCACTCCCTTCAAAACTATATCCAAAGCCATGTAAATCTCTGCGTATTTCTTACCAAGCTTCTCGGGAGTCACATCGACACCCCGGCAAGCGGTCACGACAACACTGACAGCTTGATTAACAATGCTAATACATTCAAACACATTATTATTCGTCTCATCAAGAGTAGTAACACCCAAAACGTAAATAGCATTGACTAATCGATAAACCACCCGGTACCGACTTTCCACGCCAACAATCACTTGGCCGCTTGAGGCGGCGAGAGGATCGTCGCCGAGGGAAGAAGGGTCAGCTGATGAGTCGTCGGAATTGGCGGCGGAATGATGCTTAGAGGAAAACGCTAAGCGGGTTTGGCGAAAGGCGGAAAGTGCCACGAGAGCTCGGGATGGGGGAAACCATTCCCGGGTTTGGAGCAAAACGTCGGGCCCATTTGCGGGTTGGAGTGCTATAGCTAAACACGACATGGGGGATCAAATATCTCTGATCCAATCACGGGTTGAATTGGATCGGATCTCAATGGGGGTGGTGGTTCTTTGGTGGATTTCTTTTCTATATTTCTATGAAGCGAAATGAAGGAAAAGAAAGCTAGAGCAGAAGTTTGTACTTACTTGAAGAGCGAAGAGATTGATCTTAATGAAATTGCGACTGTTCGGAGCTTCCTCTGACGGTGGTGGTGGCAGAGATCGGAAACTCTGAAACGAGGAAGACGATCGAGGGAGTGGACTTCGGGTACACGGACCTGGTACAAAAGGCTGGGCTCATTCGAATTGGGCTGGGGGAAAATAATAATCATAAGAAAATTCGATAAAATAAATTATTGTTTTGGTCCATCTATTTTAAATCATTGACATTTTTGGCTCCAATTGTGTTTTGACTTTTGAGAGTTGCACTTAGCTCTTGTATGATTCGTGTATAATCTTACATTACATTAGCGTATTTTACATGCTATACTATCCTTTTTTACAAGACTATGTAGCTGGGGAGATCCTATTAGAGCAACGACACATGTGTTATCTAATGTGGTTGAAAAGGTGGTCCCATTTTGCGATATGGAACTGACTTAAATCCTACCTTCTGTAATCTCTACTTTGTTCTATTGGTTTTACTTCAATTTGGATAATATGTATAATTCACATTGAGGCATATGTTTTACTTTTAAAAGAATTTTTTTATTTCTTTATTTATTGGTCAGCCATTAATTTATGCAAGTTAGCCTAGTGATTGACCAAAATATTAGCAGTTTGCTAGGTAAAAAACAGGTGCGTGAGATTCTTATCTACACACCACATTGGAATAAAGTAAAAGAGATTTGTAATTAGCACATAAGTCAAGGCCGGTTACCACCAGTAATGTTGCTCTTAATAGTACTCACAACACGTGATGATTAGTCGTCACATCAGTAACTTGTCATACAAATGTGATGCAGGTATTGTAAACATTAATTTCTTCTTTTTAAGGATCTTTTATAGTTATAAATAGTGACTTCTTTTCTTTTTTTTTCCTTATTATCACAAGAGCATTTATCTTATTAGTGATTGCCATTAATCTTTGCTTAAACCAAAAACTCACGCTGGAAAAAGTCTATGATATGTTCTTTCAGTTTTGAGAGAATAAAGATTTAGTAATTATTACTCCTATTAATGACATAAGTCAATGAAAAACTGGATAATATATAAAAATGATTGGCATGTAAATAGAAGAAATTAGAAGTATCATTCTTCAACGTAAGGAAAATGGCATATAGAGAGGGGGATGGAATCCAACTAGGTTTAGAGGAATTTTCCATGAAATGGAAAAATTAAATCGAAAAATAGTAAAGATGAAAAAAAAAAAAAAAAAAGATTTTACTTTTACCGTGAGGCTAGTTTTGATTTTATGAGGTTACTTTTAGTACAACTTGGCGCCTATTAGACTTTTCAAACTTTTTTCAAATGCGGCGCCGATGAATCCCGAATCCCTCCTCCGCCCGCACCCTCTCCCAACCCACACTCCCAAATGCACCGCCGGCTGCCCGATCCTCGACGGTTTCCTCCACGGCGGAATCCCCTGCAATTCCATCACCGAAATCGTAGCCGAAAGCGGCTGCGGCAAGACCCAACTCTCCCTCCAACTCCTCCTCACCGCCCAACTCCCAATTGCCCTAGGCGGCCTCTCCGCCTCCTCCCTTTACCTCCACTCCGAGTTCCCTTTCCCCTTCCGCCGCCTCCAGCAGCTCGCCTTCTCCCACCCCAGTCTCCGTAATCCGCTCGATAACATCCTTATTCATCCTCTGCATTCTGCAGATCACCTGCTCGATTTATTGTCCCGCATAGATTCTGCCCTCATAAAGCCTCCCCCTCAGACCCGTTTCCCGATTAAACTTATTGTGATTGATTCGATTGCTGCTTTGTTTCGTTCTGAATTCGATAATAACCCGAGTGATTTGAAGAGGCGGTCGGGTTTGTTCTTCAAGATTTCGAGCAAGTTGAAGGCACAGGCCAGGCGGTTTGGGTTGGCTGTTGTGGTGACTAATCAGGTTACTGATAATGTAAGTTCTTCAGATGGTATGAGGATTGGGAATTCGGGTTGGCTGTATTCCTCAGGTCGGAAGGTTTGTGCTGCTCTCGGGTTATCGTGGGCGAATTGTGTGAATACGAGGCTGTTCTTATCTAGAAATGATGAAATCATTGGAGAGGATGATGGTGATATTCTGTCTACAAGAACCAGGAGGTATATCAGTGTCGTTTTTGCACCTCATTTACCCAAGTCATCTTGTGAGTATGTCGTCTTGAGAGAAGGCCTATTCGGGGTAAATAACTCGGGCGCCATAGTTGTCCAGCAGAATGAGCTGTAGTGATGCAAGGCTGCAAGGTTTTGAATCCAAGGCAATTCTGATCAAAGATGGATAGATGTCATTTTCGTACAAATATCCAAGCTGCAGCCACACAAGGATACCGACTTGGTGGGGGCAAATTCAGATTTCCAGGCAGCTATCGACAAGGCTAATTTGTTGCGTTGTCTCTGGAGTGGGAGGTAATTCTGTTCCGCTATTTCGTGGACTTGTATATTATGTAGAATAAACCATTTTCCCCAGAGGCTGGGAAATTTGCTCATGGGTATCCTATGATCTAGGTGTTCAGTAGTTTTGCCACGCACATCAAAGTGGCCAAGGTTCTTTTTTAACTATCTTTTGATTATCAGTTTTGTCCCACACGATTTTGGAAAATGATAAGAATACGAGGTTCATATAGAAGACATTGGCTCAATTCTCTTTGCAAATGTGTCATGTTCATAATCTGTATAACTGAAAATGGTGTATATCTTTCTGTTAAATTTTAATAGTCATCATTGTTTCACTTCTTACTGTTTGATGATGATGATGATAAATTATGGTGTGTAACACAAATAGCGGGTTTATGGCCCTTGGAATTTAGCTATGATGTGAATAAGAAGAAGAAGAAGAAGAAGAAACAATAGAAGGAAAAGAATATCTCAAGGCATTCAGTAACCTCAATAATTTGGACTAAGAGAACCAAACAACTTTGATTTCATAGCTTTATCACACAGTTGAATGTTACGGTCGATGGCTGTCCCTTCTCATGACAACCCAATACATTTTGGATACTGTATTCTGGCCCGGAATCTACAATAGCTCCTTTGCCGATAAACTTTCCAGAAACCAGCAATTGACAGAACCAGTGCTTGAGTTCAAAGTTGGTGGTCCTCTTCAAATGGGACATTCTTCCCTATTGAAAGAACCCTTTTTGGTGATCAAATGATTCTTTAATTGTACCTGAAAACCATAAGTAACAGTCTCAATACAGATGGTTCAGAATATCATTACTATAAACTTATGCAAGAAAAGGCATTAACAGGTTTTCTTTTACATGCAAACCCTAGATTCAATAATATCAGGTTGTACGAAAGACTCTTACACGCCAAAAGTACAATTCTTAGCAGAGAACCAAAGATAGTTACTCTCTTTGAGCAGCATGGCCGTATTACATTATTAATCACTAAATTTTATACGTTTCGAACATTTTCAGCTAAGTTTATCAGAGAGCTATGACAAACATAGAGCATGTTGAGTTGCTTAAACCAGAAAATAAAAAATAAAAAGAGTAAAAAATCTAAAAAAACACATGAACATAATGTGAAAAACCTGTAACCATACTTGATTCAGCATTACAAGAAGTTTCATCAACCATAAGTACACAGCGCCACCAAGGAAAATGTGTGTGCTACAGCATCTCTTTTAAGTATAAACAACTGATGATCTAGACAATTTTCAGGAGTGTAGAATGTAAATTAAAGTTTCCTCAAAGTTCTAGAAATTCACCTGTTTTTCTTCCTTGGCTCAATCGATTTCAACTACCCCTTAATTGGAATAAACTAGGAAAGGCACTGCAGAATACATGGAAAAGCATTTAGCATTGTGGTGCAAAGTAAAAAACAGCAACTTCAAAAAATCACTCATAGAATGGTGTGGTCAAGTACTTCCTGAGCCTAAAGGTCAGGGTAAAATCTCAAGAATTCAATACGCTAAGATCATAATACTGCTTGTTCTTGGAAATAATATCATCTCCCACTATGTTAAATGCCAATTCAAAGACTAGTTAAATAGGCCAAGTTTGACTAACCAACACCTTCATATGATTTCAATTGCATCCGTTATGGTGATTGGTGAAAAGAATTCAACATCTCAGTCCATCCGCATGCAATTACTACCTCTAACATAGGTGTCTCATCATATTTCCCACAAACAATGTTTAGCAATAAGACAATGTAGACATATTAAGGATCAACTCCAAAATAGATTAGATTGCAGCTAGTGTGTATCCTCAGACCTATAATACGGTACTCCAAAGAAGACGCAATCAAGTTTGATGGGCCTTTTCAGCGCATATCAAGCTGTTTCAGGTAACTATCAACTCTCTACATAAGCAACATAATGCTCACTGCATTACATCTAATCAAAAGTGTGGTTCTCAGAAAAAATAAACTAAGATAAGTGCCAATTCCTGTTATTAAGCTGGAATCCTTTTCACAGATTCACATATGGATAAGCACCACTTTAATTAAAGTACTAATCTTTAATCGTCAATAGCTAGGTTCACAATCATACAACCATTAAAATCCTAACAAAATCCCTTCATGTTCTGAAAAAAGAATCGAAAAGCACTCCTCCTGACTATCCTTTTCCTTCAGGGCTTATTTTAAAATATCTATTTTAAGTGAAGGTAAAAATAAATTCCGTTAATGCGACTAAGGCAATTCTCTTATCAGCTATCCCAAAAAAAGTCCAACACAAGTTGTCAAATAACCTTACTCATCATAGCAAAACAAATCACTTTCCTTCAGCTTGTTATGCAATTCATCACTTTACATAACAAATAGGACGCAGAGAGATGAATGCAATCACAGTTGCGAATAAGAAAATTTACATAATCACAGAGCATCATCACGTTTAATAAAAAGAAGGATCAGAACATAAGCTTACCAACTAGAAAGATCGCAAGCATAAACATAAGAATGAATCGTATTGAAACATTGGGTGGCATCTGATGATTTTGTACTTGTCTCAGACTTCTAGCCCCTCGTCCAAAGAACTACAAAATACAAACCATGTAATTTCAGATAATTACCCGTATTAAAAATTACACAAGAAACTAGCTGAAGTCAGTAATCGCTGCTTAATTTTAAAGTGGTAAGTTACTAAAGATAATCGCAGGCAAAATGTGTGCGTATTTGTTGGAATAACAACACAGCTGCCTTTACGATATTTATATTATCCACGTAGATAAAAGATACAAAGCAAAACCATGAAATAACCTGATTCAGCCGATGGATCCTTTGCCAATGAGTGAAGCTCAACATTCCTCCTTTAATTTGAGGAAGATCTTCACGATTGAGCCTCCAAAAGCCAGGTTTAAATCCTTTCTCTTTTGGCGTGGCTTCAATTTTTGGCGGCAATGTTTCCCCAGGTACATCCCTTTTATCAATGACAATTTCCAGTACTCCTGAATGAATATCTGGTTGACAACTGACATTATCCCTTGCTCCTGGACTTCGCTTCACATCTAAGTCGTCAATGTAGCTAGCAACGTTGTTAGCTCCAAAAGTGGCCAGTTTTTGTGTTTGTACTCCGGCATTAACTTCAGTGCTACCATTTAAGTGTTTTCTTGTCCTTTTCTGGGGAGAACCGCTTTTGGTTGATCCAACCTTTTCAGCACCATGATTCATGGTTTGTGAGCTCTCAAGAGTCCCAGTAAGAAAGAGGGCTAAATCATCACGTTCCTCATCATCCAAATTTACCCACCGAAGGGGCTGCTTACCATCCCCATCAAATGCTTCTCTCAATGATTCTTCAACACGAGATATTTGTTCGTGCATGACAGAGACAAACTGCTTATGCCTGATCACAGTAATTTCATCAGCACTTCTTCTGTAGCTCAACCGAACAGCTTTCTCAAACTCTTCCAACTATTCAAAAGAAGGATTGTAAGAGGGCGGAAAACCAAACTAAAAAGTGAAGCTACATCTATAATTCAGAGGAATAGAAAAGGAAAATAAACAAAAATAAAGTAGGCGAAAATTCAAAAAAGAATAAGCCATGCCTTTGAAAACGGATCATAAATCCCTATCACCTAAGTTCAGAAACCATAAAGAACTAGTTCTTTTTCTTTAGTGTGTAGCAAAACCAACCTGCCATTTTGCAGTGCCTAAAGCCATCTGAAGCTCCCTGGATAAGTCATCCCAAAACTGAGGTCTCATTCCTTCTTTTCTCTCTCGCAGCCATGCTCTATGAGCTGATTCCATTCTGGCAAAAGGAAAAGGCAAATAAGAAATATGCATATACCCAAAAAAAAAAAAAAAAAGATGGATTCTTGGGAGTTTAGACAGCAAAGCAACTAAGGCATGTAAAAGCATATCCAAACAATTAAACTCCAATTCTATTTAATTGTTTCTAAGCGAATCAAAACTCTTCAATTACATCATATCCAAAGAACCTCTCACTGAAAGAACGTATTGTTTATGCATTCGCGTTTCAAGTTTCAACTCTGCAGACATAGCTACCAAAACCAGCTCAACCCTGAAGAACTATAAAAGACCCCTTAATCAATATACCAAGAATAATCAACAAATCCCGAAATCATCAACCTCGAGAGACAACAGAGCAAGAACGGAAAGAGAACTTATATATACAATGAACAACAAGAACAGAAAAAAGTGGTTCAAGCCCAGAAAACACACACAAGAAAAAAAGAGCATAAATCAACGAATACCACCAAAAGGGTAATTCCATCACTGAACATACATATCAACAGATTGCTGAACTTCCTCAGCTGCAGAGAAAAAGGTGTCCCTTTGCCAGAGATCAAAACTGTTAGCCACCAACATTTTTTTTCTTCCCTTGGAATTTTTTTGTTTTCCTTCACCACCAAATAAATAGCATCAACAGCTCCAAAATTACAAACGGGTTCCTCTAAATATACACTTCTATTGGATAAATTCAATCATAAAGTAAGAAACACTCCATAAATAATATGAATCAGAGGTTTTCTCTCTTCTCTTCTTTGCAAAGGGTAAGCAAGGAAGGAAGAGAGAAAAAGTAAGGCGAAAGAAAGAGAGGAGAGAGAGACGTATGAACGAATCTCTTCCTGCTCCTCCCTTTTTCTCTGATTTAATCAAATTTCTGGAAAAACAAAAAAGATTTAAAAGCTTCCAAGATTTTCTACTGTGTTTTTATTCTTTGTTTTCCCAATTATGGAGGGATTTTTCTTTTTCCTGGATTTCTGTTTGGTTTTTTATCCGGTGATTCTCGGGTTGTTGGAGCCAACCACTTTGACTTAAATAGCTTTTAGTTTTTTTGTAAAACTTATTAAAAGGTTATTAAATTAGGGATTTGGATTTTTGGAAAGTTCCAAATAAATATGTTTGGTAAATTAAATTGTTTTTTTGTACTTTTTCATTCTCAAGAAAGCTATTAATAAATGTTCTCTTAGACACTACATAAATATTATACTTACTAATATATAAAAATTTGATATATTAGCAATATGATATGACTATATCATATATAAAATAATAAAAAGGTAAAGTCAAAGAACTTTAATAAATTTTTAAAAAAAAAACCTATACATTTGTTTTATTGAAGGCATTAAATATAATATGAATATAATTAAATCAAACTAAATTACATCATAGAATATGTGTCGACATGCACTTCTGAAATCTATATACATATTCTAATATTTTACCACATATAATATATTTTTTTTAACCCTAAGAAGAGTCATAATTTCAAAGATACCTGCAGTTACAAATTCTGCTCTTATAAAATCTTGTCTTTTTTTTTTTTTGACAACTATCATATTGTAAAATTGGAGTTGATTTGTTTTTATTTAAGAAAAAGAAAAAGATGAAAAGAAAACATTGCTTATATTGCTATTTGCATGTTCGTATAGTTGCGTTGTAGTAACCAAAAATTAAAAGTCAAAATTGATGACTTCAATTTCATGCTTGAAACAATTTCTGATATCTGACTTCTGTGATATTCATTATTTTTTTCTTTACTTATAATTTTTAATCAAATCCATGTGAGTTGAGCATAAGACATTGAAGTGGACATATATCATTGGGCCAGACTATGGTAGATATGGTGTATATTCCTTTACCTGATAATTCATCCTTTAAATATTGTACCAAAAATGAGATTGACAAGAATATTTTTCATTTTGCAATTAAACAAATAAGAGGTCCAACCTCCAAAGCCACAAAGAAAATAATAATAGTACTCCCTCCGTCCCATAATTATTGTCCACTTTGTTCAAAAAATTTTGTCCCAAGATTATTGTCCAATTTGACTTTTTATGGACCAAGTTACACATTTGTCCTTAGTAAAAAACATTATCCATAAAATTTTAGTGGTTAAACAATTACTTATGTAGGGGTATATCCAGTTGTTTAAGGTAAAATATAATTAAGTTTGACCAAAAATAAAATCTTTCATTTTAGTAAAACTAGACAATAATTATAGGACAGAGAGAGTAATAAATAAAAAGGCGTCGGCGGTTGGAGAGAGGAAAGGACAAAAAAAAAAATTGGGGAGCTGGGAATTTGTGTGATTTAGGAGGTGGAGAATTGAAGATTCCAATTAGGCCAAGAAAAGCATTTTTGTTGTGATTAATTAAGCATATGATTATTTATTAGAAAAAAGAAAAAAGAAGTGGATTTGGGCATGTTGGCCAATAGACCAGCCAAGTGTGAGCCAAGCCAACCACTATTTGTGGTTTTGGAGGGTCCATTTGCTCTTATGATTTCTCCCACCAGAAAACCAACCAATGAATTGTTATTTTAATAACTATAGTCCCGACCAATTTTGATTCAGTTTTAACAAAGAAATGATATATAATTTTCAAGAAAAAAAAATAATGGGTGTCTCAAAATAACTGTTCAATTTAAATTTTCACTTGTCGTACGTTTTGAACTGAAAACTAAAATTTAAACTGGAAAATAATTTCAAAACAAAGAGATTATTTGAATCAATGTTACACGTTCATGTCATCATTTTTAACCTTCGAATAAGTGCTCATTGGTTTTTTTTTTTTTTTTTGATTTTTCTCAAGGGAAAAGAAAATGTTGCACCAAAGTAGTATTTAGTTGTTTTTATAGTGGACAACTACAAGATACCCAACTGAACATCTGAAATAGACTTTATGGCCTATTCACCCCATCCATTAGCGTGAATTGGCAGTTTAGGTCCATGCTCATTTTTTATTATTATTATTATTATTTATTTTGGAAAGCTTTGGTCATGCTGTTAAAACTTTTGTTAATGGTTGTAGTTCTTTGTAACCGGCCATCTTTATACCTTCTTTTTCTTTTTCTTTTTTAAGTCTCTCTAGTTAGAGTGCATTTTCAATCTGTTAGTATTTCTTACTAATATTAATTAACTAACATTTGTTTGGACAATTAACATTTTAGCTGATTAAGGTACAAGTAATGGGCTACCTTAATAATAAGTTTGTTTTATTTACGTTTTCATTTATGGTTTTTTTCATCTCTTTACAATTAACGTTCATTTTTTTTTATCATTTCTTATTGAATGACTAGAAATTGTTCCAACAATTTAGAGTATTTTTATTTTCTAATGTGTGTTAAGATATTCAACTGGTCTTATATTATTTCTCAGCATTCCAAAAATGAAAAAGAGAATTAGAAACTAAAAGGAGACTCAAAATTACATCCACATTGTTAAAATTATTGAATAAGAGGCTACAAAAATCTACTTTTCACCTCTCTTCTTTATCAGTACAAACTATTATAGAAGGATTGCAAAGAGATGTCTATAATGAATAGAGAGATCCGGTCAAGATGCATTCATCAAGACTGCTGGTCTGCTGGATTTATTTGTTATAATAATCAATCAGCATTTTTCTATGTTGTTGGCGAGAACCAAATCTTGAACCTGTTGTTGATTGACCAATAAAATAATACTCCCTCTTTCCCAAAATTACTGTCCAGTTTGAGATCACTTTTAATATAATTTGAACTAGAAATGAAAACTCAAACTGGACAATAATTATGGGACGGAGGAATACTATTTTAATGTTTAGGCATCACCGAATTTCTTTGATATACTACGCAATCCAACTCATCGGGTCATAACCAAAATGTATTGCCATTGTCAGAAGTCAGTAGCTACCAAAAATTAGAGTATATTTGTTCATTGCTCTCTGACATTATCCAATGCCCATGCAAAAACGTCTTACTTGTGCAACCTAATTAAATACTACTTTCATCAGTTAATTTCAGAAATGGCGTATCTAATCATCAACTAGCTTATGTAGATAACAAACTAGTCAAAATCTTAAATGTATAGGATATCAAACTTTTAGAATCCTCAAATTTTTCCTTTCATTTCTCGTAAAGTCATATCGTGTAATAGAATAAATGTTTACGAGAGAGAACAAAGGAGGATTGTACACATGTAAAATGCAGACTTGTTTGAGTATACTCTACGGGTTAACTGAATCTATCAGTCATTCTTAATTGGACTAATTCTGGGAAAGCATATATATAACTGAACTTCAAGAGAACTGACTCTGGAAAGAAGTTTCCCCTAGGCTATAGCCTTCAGTCTGTGCATGTACTCAGTTCACATTCCAACAATTCTCGGCCAGCATTGCATGATGTTATGATGGAGGTGACTATTCTCCTCTGTAAATCTTTGAAATCCATTGCAAGCGTTACATCCCAATCACTGCCGTCCCTGCACGTGACAAATCCTCTATATTGTAAAGAAATCTTGAACCGTATAATTGTGATACAGTAAATGGTGACTGGCGTTTACCTGTCATCAGACTCTTCGTCGCCTAAGGTCTCCATCATTCCTTCAAATGTTGAACCAAGGTCATCGAGAATTTCAAGTTCAATTTCCAGGTTATCCTGCACATGGAGATTTTAGAAATGTGTAGATTTCAGGATTGAGCTTTCTAACAAGAATGATAAGTTCTGGAGAAGGAGAGCTGGTTGACATGCCAAATGACTGGAAATTGAAGTGAAATAAAGATGAAAAATAAAAATGATTTAGAATAAAACATTACACGGGTCTTTGCTTTAGACGTGGAGCCTCGAGCTCTACGCAGATGATCAAGTAATGGAGGAGGCAAACCATAATTAAATATCCCATTGTTCTTTGAAAACCAGGTACCCCGCACCATGTGAGTCCCCCATTCGCAAGGTTCCCCATCCACACAATCTTCATCAGTGGCGATATCAAAATCTGCCAGATAACAGTGCTAAAGAATTAAGTAATAAAGAATCTTTTATTTCGAGAAAGATATCTTACTGTAGTTTTGAACAAATAGAACCCTGTAAACTCTCTGAAATCAGCGCAATGCAAAAACCATTCAGTGACTAAAATCATTGATCTTACCCAGTGGAATAACATCATAAGGATTTTCTTGTTTTGGCATAAAGCCGTAGAATGTAAGTAAATGTGAGCTGGAGAAGTTTCCATAGCTAAGGAAGCATTGGTCGCCTGCGTTGCATGGTCTTGACAAAGGAAACTTTACAGATTTTGTTACTGGGTCTGTTTTTCCATAGTGCAATATGTGTGGACATGTCTGCCAAAGAAAGGGAAACCAGCATGAGCAAACAAGATGGGACAAGGACACCAGGGCAAGAAGCATCCTAAGTATTTAAAGCAAGTAATGAATTGTTGTCAAAATACAATCGTAAAAGGATTCGAGCAGGCAATCTAAAAAGGGCCTGCTACATCCTAGAAAATAACCAAAATTTGAAGTTCCTTTTTTTAAAAAAAAATGGACTCTTCTTTGCATGGGAAAGAGTTCCATTCTCATAATGAACATTTTAGTGATACGGCATTCACTAAACCAGCAGAAGAAAGAAAGCTGAAGAGTTAAAAATTAACAAACCGAGTGGTTGAGAAATCCAGCAATAGGAACTAAGCATGTCCTAAGCTTTCCATCATCAAACATGATCTTCATGCTGTTTGAATACCAAAGTTCGCAAGCCCAAAGAAACTGCTCCCATGTATAGAGCTCAGCTGGAAATATATCAGGATGGCTTTCGCATATAGCAGGAAATAACTGTTCATACTGAGTACGCAAATGCTGCAAGAACATTAAAAAAACAGCTAATTCTTAATGCTCCTCGAACAAATCCAGTTAGGTTTACCTATACAATAAGTCAACGAGGTCATCAACTGTTTTGTACATGTAAACAGTTTTTTATTGCAAAGTAATCAAATGATCCATTTGGCAAGTATTACGGCAGCCAATCATATAAGATTTAGAACTGAAAGCTTTGCTTGAAACATTTTCATTCAACCCGAAAAGACCAAGTATCACAGGAGCTAGATAAAAGACTTCTGACAGCTAGATTAAAAAAACTGGAAGTTTGAATGCATTTTTTTTTTGGGTAAATAATGCTTTTGTTTTTCTGATTGGCAAGAAACAGCTATCAAGAAGACAGCATAAACATTAAAGCTGTGAGTCGTTTCTGAGTAACTTTTCCAAGTTTTAACACGGTTCTGCTTTTTTAACATCATCACGAAGCCTGAGAATGATAATTCTTGTTTTCCCGCCCATTGTCAAAATCAATGCAAGTTTCAGACACTGGAGCAAAGAAAAATCACCTCCTTGGCTTGCACTATCTCTTCTAACAAGATTGTTCCATCCAGACCCATGATAGCACTGACCCCAAAGCTCAAGCCTGCCATTTATTACATAAATTATAGCAACATTTAGCCAGACATATGAAGGAACCTTAAACCTGACTTAACTTTTAATAATATTGAACAAAGTTCACACATTCTCACAAAAGAAATAGAATTGAATTGCTAAAGGCATGATATGAAAAATAAACCTGTATTAAATGCTTCAGGCAATGACTCAAAATATAACTTATATTTGGAATGGAGGTTGTGCTTCTCCTTCATGCTCCAAAGTAACAACATTGTCTCTGATTCAATACCATCAATTTTCTTCAATATCGGAAACTGCACATGAAGATATGAAAAATGTTATGTTCTGAAAACAACTTGATAGTTTTGTGAAAGAGACCTCACAAACTTGAGTGGTTTAATTTTGTACAGGAAGCAGGGAAAATAAGTACGACCAGCTATCGAAACCAAAAGTTGCAAATGATACATAATGTTAAGTGCCCGGTTCAAGAAAGAGCATACGATGAAGAATCGCTAACGGAAAAGACAGTTCTGACTATAGTAGAATCTTGCTAAAGCTGTGATTATTCAGGTGACTATATAACCTCAGTCACATATATTTATAAAAGTCACTTTGAATCTTGTAGTCCAAGGGTACAGATGATTATGTGACAAATGATGCATATAGTCAAGGAGATCAGATGATAACTGGAAACAGATGTCAGTCAGTCAAGGGAAGAAACATTTCAGCAACTGAAAATTTGAGACAAGCACAAAAGTGATGCTAGACTTTAGACAATTTATGGGGGTTTAAGGTGCATACCATGTCAGATTCAATGACATCTTTATCACAGATGAGCAAAGACAGAGGGATCTCCATAGCAATATCACCAACTTTCAGATTTTCTGTTGCAATAGCTCCTCTTCCAGCTCCTTCAACATCTGTCCAGTAAATTTCACCAAATGAGTAAAGATCATGTTGGTTTTGGCCCTTTTAAACTCAAACTTATAACAGCTACTCATAAATATTAGATGGTAGTACACAATCCTCAAGAAGATTCACAAATTTCGAGAATAACCAATAATTATAATAGAACCTCACAAGTAATCTCCAACTTTGTGTTGACACCATTGCTTTTGCCCCATTGCATTAAGGAATTCTCCTTCTCACAACTGGATTCTCTAACAACTCTAGTTTCCTCTCCAACTTTTTCCCCAAGTTGATGTATCAAATCAAATGCTGCCTTGTGCATCAATCCTAATAAAGATTCCACCTCGTGCTTATCACTGGACATTGAGCTCTCAACGAGTCCAATAACTGAATGAAGAGCTTCCAATTCATTCCTTGGACTAACGAAGTTATATACATCTGCTCCCGCAAAATACAGTTCAATCTGCACAGATAATGAATTGAAATGTGTTCAATGGCGAGCTTTGATGGCATGCATACTTCAGCCTTACAGATGGCAGAGTATTCTTCTAGGGCAATGCTAGACCACATACTTTACAAGACGAAACAAAGAAGAGTTTGTAACAGAAGCTCTAGAATGACCTAAAGGCATTCAGTTCTCGCACAGAAATAAGGCAAAATCATCAGATGCATGTTTCTAAATGATCGAGAAAATGCAACTGGATAAAAAGATGTCTAATGACCAGGAGCTATTACAAGCAAGTAATTTTCCTGGAAAGATAGGATTAACCTTGTTAATGTTACGAATGACAACTTAAGTAAAACTCAATTTAGGTAATCGCATTTAAAAAAAAAAACAAATTGTATAACTGCTTATTGTAAATCAAAAGGTTTTTATTTTACATGGCAAGGCTGGAAAGTGAACAAGCCACCATCTCATTTGTCAAGTTCCACAAGCGAAAGCCTACTTATTAAGACCAGCTTGTTGCGACTAGAAACCCGCAACAGGTTAAGAAAAAAAAAATACAAAAAGTACCTCATTTAAGTTAATGATCCTTGCTCGTTTAAGCATTATGTCCAGGATATCCTTCCATTGAGAAGGACTGGAGGAGCTTTTCAAGGACATGATTTCCTGTCCATCTAAAGAAAGATCTTCAAGTAATTTCTGCAAATGACAAAAGCAGAAAAAGGAAATGGAAAAATCAAATGACCACAAACCAATTACAATGGTGTACATTAGCTTACAGAAGAAGAGGAGGAAGAATTAAAGAGTATAAAATCTGCTGCAAGAGAGTCAACCTTCTTTTTCTGGAAGAAAGGATCATCTTCAAAAAGCTCAGGAAGAAACAAGATGCTGCTTTTAGTCTCTGCATTACTGAGGCCTGTAAGTTCCTTCAATTATGAAGAGGGATACTATAAGTAAGTTTCACTTTTAAGAAATCAATATTCAAACCCAATACTATTCACATTTAATTGCTAAATGTATGGAATGATCAAAACAAAACAAAAAAAAAAATAAAACGGCTATGAAAAATTAACATGACACACACATGCATTTTATGCACTGATGAATCAAAGAGAAATGGAAAGGATAGATGTGCATTCTCCTTTTCATAACACAAATCTAAGTTCATCATCAATTATAGATGCACAATTGCATTCATAACAATCTAGAAATCTGCTTCTTCAGAGATGGTGTGATAAATTAATAATAGTGCCGGAACACTGGTGAAATATGTAAGCTAATATTCGATCATAGAAAGAACCCGACTCTGCTTGACCATCTTCAAATGACGCATCCTAGTTACATTTACTCCATTTAATACTCTAAATCTCCACCTAAAGATTCTCAAAATTGAAAAGCAAAAAGGCCAAGCTTTCTCACAAGACTAGCATAAAATGGAAAATTTTCTCTTTCAAACTCAAACAATAACATCCCAAAGCAGGCTAAACCAGTATTCGCAATTCTCAAGAAAAACGAAGCAGAAAGAACTCAAATTTTACGCATAGAACAAAAGACGACCAAAAGCAACTAATCAATAGAGCTTTAATGGACATCAAATGTCGAAATCTTTCAGCCACCCAAAAAAAAAAAAAAAAAACCTGGATTTCTCAACCTTATTGGACAATTAGTGAAAAAGGGAACCCAATTCCAACTAGTTCCAAATAGCAATCCAAGAAATTTCCGCAGATTTTTATGCCATCGATGAGAGATTAGTGGGAGAAACTACAAAAAAAAAAAAAAAATGCTTCTTTCCTAAAAACCCATATTGTGGATAAGGTTTCTGAATCAAAAAAATCAAAGACTTGAATAAATTTTCAAAATCACAAGATTACCTTGTCAGCCTCCATTGACGAGCAGTATTAGCTGAGCTGAAAGCAATCCGCAAACCCGTTAAAAATTGAAATATGAAGTAGATGGCTGTGGGTTTTAGGGAGGTTTTTGTCCCAAAAATGGTTTAAACTGAAAGAAAGGGTTAATTGTAAGTTAGCATCTGAACTTTTGCCCCCATTTCGGAATTGCCCTGAAGTTCTTGTAATTTGCACCCTGTGCAAACTATTAATTACAAGTTGCAAACGTCCAAAAATAAATAAATATTTTTATGTTCAAAAAAAAAAAAATTCAAATCTAGAAATTTAAAAAATTCATTAAATTATCCAGCTATATATCCATATCAAAACATTACGTAAAAAGACATCATGTTTGTACAGGTATAATAAAATGTTGCACCTTCAAAAAACAAATAAAAAATTGCACATGTATTAACTGCGAATAAAGATTGTAAAATTGAGATACATTTCCAGATACCTCAATTTTAATAAACATTCAAAAAAATTTGTAAAATCCTCGAGAATCTTTTGGCAATTTGTAAAGAAGAACGAGAAAGAAATGCTTTTGATTTCTTTACAATCAAAGTAATAAGAGTACAAGATTATGGGGAGTGCATGAAAGAAAGAAATACTCCCTCTGTTTCAAAATTATTGTGCAATTTGAGATTTCACTTTTAGTAGAATTTAAACTAAAAATGAAAACCCAAACTAGACAATAATTATGGGACAGAGGGAGTACTATTTGTTTACTATTTATTTACTCTTCCTTGTTAAAGCATTGATCATCAATGTGTTTTCAAAAAAGAAAAGAACATTAATCACTTGTCCGATTAGGTAGTGTTAACAAAAATCTATTAAGATGGATTTCCCAAAATTGGACAATAAATCATTTCTGCTAAGAAAAAATATGTAATTTTTGCAATCTTTCACACATCTCACTATCCTATTATTGTACTCTATGAGTTGTATACCCGAACGGGTAAATGACATAGGAATGTTCTTTTCTTTTTGCAGCAAATTGATCATCCTTAAATTTGCTTGTGTTGGCTGGATTTCCATTGTCACTTTTTCTTGATTGTTCTGCATTTTTTAACTTTTGTCGAAGTTTGAACTTAGAAAAGATTTTAATTTCGCAATTAATGTATGAATTATGTAACAAGGAAACGAGCAATTGCACCTTAATAATAAGTAAAATCTTTAACAAAATGATAAGTGAATTTCAATGGCTCAATTATTATATATGTGTGGCATTTCAGAATTTATCGAGTGCCAGAAATTTTTTTTGTCTAATCACACACTGTTGACATCCACGGGGTAAAGAATTATTGCAACTGAGCCGTTTTTAGTAAATGGGCTTTTTGTAGGCCTTAGTTGTAGTAATGGCTTTCACATCGGTCTAAATAAGAATGTAGTAAACAAAGTGATTGTGGTGAAGTGGAAGGGACTCCTCTATCTTTAGCCATAGGTCGAGGGTTCAAATCTCTCCATAAACATGGAGCAACCTTAAATACATTGGCCAGGCCAGCTGACCCACCCATTAAGGTGCCTACAATTCAGCGAAGGGTTTAGTCACTGTTACCGACGGCAGAAATCCTGCAAATATATATAAAAAAAAAAGAGAATGTAGTGAACATTTTTTGGACTAATAAACAAAACTGAGAGTATGATATTTTCTCAAAAATGATATGTGCATTACCAAATTGATTTTTTTTTTTTTTTTTGAAAATTAGAACTTCGTTAAACTTGCTAGAATTCAGTCAACTCTTATTAATACAAGAAGTTTGACAACGTAAACCGAATTTGAACATCTTCTACATAAAATTTTGCATGAGTAGCAATGACATGAGCTACTCTATTTTGTACTCGGGGAATCCAATACGAATTATTAAAAGATAGCTCATTGAACAAAAGCCTAATCTCAAAAATGATAGGTAAGCACATACTTGCACAATTTATTAATTATCATATATCGGCTATGGATATAATAATTAAAAGAAGATCTGAGTAATTAGTCATCAGTACGTGGGTCTTTGTATAATTTATTATTCTTCTTATTTCGAAATAATTATCTAATTTTTATATTTTCACTATCTCAAAAGATAGTACAACCACAAAATTCAATATGTATTTTTTTTTTGTGAAACATAATTAAAATCTTAAAACTCGATGTGCACTATTATAAACAGAAAAAGTACTATTCCTGTTTCATAATATTACAAACATAATAATTATTTTAAAACGGATGAAGATAAATTTTTTTACTGTCAATTCTAAGAGTCACAATTTATATTAAAGTTTTGGCTCGAAAACATATGTGTTTCATACTCATGTTTATTAGAAAAATCGACAAATACAACAATATTTCTACAAAATATGACAAGAAAACCTGTTAAAATCATCCGACGCTTTTTAGTCTAAAATCTTTTAGAGCAAAGAAAGGGCAAATTATCTGGTACACCCGGGGGCACCGTGTACCCCCCTGCGCGTGTAATTTACTCTCTTAGAATAGTGTGAGTTCACTAGATAATTCATCCTTCTTTTTTCTTTTTTTTTTTAAACGCTTGTGGATAACCAGTGTTCACCATGTGGATAACCAGTGTTGGCACTATGGATAACCAGTTATACACAGCTGGATAACCATTATTAACCTGTTGGATAACCAGTATGGACATAGTGGATAACCAGTGTGCACATTATGGATAACCAATTACACACAGCTAGATAATCAGTTGCCAAATTTTATTTTTTTCCTTTTATATTTTTCTTGGATATTATTGTCCGTATTTTTTACACTAGTTATCCAGCTGCCCCTTATTCATTTTTTGTTCTCCATCATTTAGCAAACTTCCCATCATTCAATTAAATACTATTTATGAAATTTGTCATGTTCGGCATGGGGCGGCACAACCGCAAAAGGCGGCGTAGCCGCGGGCACCGACGCAGCCGAATCGTTTAGTTTATCACGGGGGGATTTATACAAGTAATTTATATCCCCTCTTAACGCAATAACACACTCTCCTTATACACACACGAAAAAAGGATTACCTTAGCTACATTGGCGTGTTCGGCGGGACGGCGCAGCCGGGGCAGGTTGGTGACCTGCTATTCCGATTGCCACGGGAGTCGTTTAGTTTATCCTGGGAGCGAAGCCCCCCAATGAACATGTCGTTTAGATAGCCATTTTCTTATGGATATGCAGGATAACATCATAGGATAAACAATTTAATAAAGAAGTAGAAAGACCAAGAAATTGGGACACTCAGTTTTTGTTGTTTAGGAATTGTGGATAATCAGTTTACACCTTCTGGATAACCAGTTTACAACTTGTGGATAACCAGTTTACAAATTGTGGATAATCAGTTTACATCTTCTGGATAACCAGTTTACAACTTGTGGATAACCAGTATGAAATGGGTGGATAACTAACATTTAATGTAAAGGTGAAAAATGTTAAACGCGTGTAACGTATGTGTTTGGTGGAGGTATACGATATACCCGGGTGCACTGGATACGGACTCCTTTTGAGGTTTGCTGCAGGAAGTTTCCTAGGAGATGATAGTAAATGGGAAATTCATGCTTTTTATATTTCTGGAATTTATACAAATGGAATTGGTTCTTTATGTTCAAACTCGTTGGCAGTTTGTCTATATAAAAATATCAAAATACCAGAAACTCTTTGACTGTTTGTAATTGATTTTTTTTTCCCCTATATATATATATATATATCATCTAAATGATATGTAAAATCACTACTTTCGAATTCAGACCAGGTTGAATTATTCACTACGGTTAGTAGTTATTAATAGTGTTTTTTATTTTTATTTTTTTTACTTTTCAATTGTCTGGCTAGAATTATCGAATTGGAAAACACGGGAGGGGGAGATTTTTAAACAATCAATTACTACAACCTTTTTATTCTTACGACTTTCTAAAAGTACGTACCTGAAGACAACAATCGTGGATTGGCCTTTTGATTATTCGTTCAAAGGGGACAAGAATCTTTTAATCTTTTAAACATACTTTTGTTGTCAAAGAATTTGCATTATTTTTGCGCTTTGCAGTTCGTGCATGGCATTCTTGACTGAAAAAACAAAGATGGGAAAAACGAACTAATAAGAACTTGGAGATATGTATAAATTGGGCAATTTAAGGGGTTTACTTTTCCGAAACAAATTTATTCTATTTCAAAAAAGAATTAATTACTTTTTTTAGTATAATATATTTGTTTACTTAAAATTATTTTAAAGTGCATATATAAAATTCAAAAAAAAATATGGTAATCATATAATAAATCAATACATAAATAAAAGGAGGAGGATATCTACATTTTTATTCATAGTGCGTTTAGTTCGTTCGTTAGTAGTGAAGAGACACTTTTTTGACAATAAGATGAAGAAAATTTCAAAGTTCCCGAAGTTTTGGATACGAATATTTTGCAATTATTGGAGAACTAATTGTCTAAACTGAGTGGCTATAATTTAATTATCCACAAAGTATTAATCCCAGTCTAAGATTCTTAAATCCTCTTTTAATTATGTCTCAAATGATGAGGAAGGGTTTCAGTATTTATTTCCCCTTCGAACCTACACTTTGCCTGGTCGCCATTCGAAGCTGGAATCTGTTTCCAACCTTTTCTTGGCCATATAAAATTTTTGCCGTACAAAATTACTCCTTCCATTTCAAAATATAGGTCGTTTAAGGGTTGAAAAAATATTTTAAAATATGGATCGTTTTAGGATTTCAAGGTAAATTAATAATGAACTTCTCAATTACCCTCAATAAATAATGTTAACCATTTTTATTCTAGTCTTTGTTATAATTTTAAAACAAATAATGATGGACAAAATAGATATTTGACACACAAATTAATTGTTAAATAATTATTTTTTTTAATTTTTGTGCAGATTCTAAAATAACTTATATTTTGAAATGAAGTGATTACGAGGAATAATCATCGAGATGATCAATGGGAAGCATATACGTCCATAAAGGTCAAGTGGAAGGCACTTTTAAATTGAAATTAAAATAAAAATTATGTGTGACCGTGTGGATTTAGTCTTGTTACAAAGTTATTTTATTTTTTAAAAAAATAATTGTAATAAAGTTTGATATAGTTATGAGTAACTTTTTTTTTTATCAAATATCCCATTTATCGAGACGTATACAGTTCAGTGGAAAAAAATTAGTTATTATTTCTAACGTGGACACTTTGCAAATTTAAGGACAAAAATTGTATATCAGTTTTTTTTTATAGGTTCATTTAATTCAATTTCTAGATCTCTAAAAGATCATATCAGACCCTTACTGCCACCATGCTAAGATGAGTATGTGTGTTTAGCGGTTTTTAATACAGCTTTTCACTTAAACCTAAATTTCGACGCATACTCTTTACTTATTAAAAAAAACTAATATTTTCATATTCCAGGTAAAACAAATTCTTTAAATTAATACACAACAAACATCTTTTCTTGGAACATAGAAAACATTTTTTTTAATGAAATTGATATACATACATGATACATCACTTTTTTTTTTAAGCTTTAATTTTTAACACCAAACATGTGGGCTATAATATGGATCCATGCAGCATAATTTCATCGAGGGGAACAAACAACCATACGAAAGAATATATAGTCAATTCGTTGAACTATTCGTTTCATCAAATGGAGGAAGAAATAATTAATAAAGAATTTAAGGTCATTTATGAATGTAAGTAAGAAAAACTTTTGTGATGTTATAAGTGTCTCCTATAGAGTATGTATAATTGTATGTGTCCAAACAATCCAATCCCGATTTCTTCGTTTTTTGACCTGTTGGACAATAGGGAACTGATTGTGTTATTGAAATCTTTTTGCTTTGAAGTACTAGACTACTAGTAGCTAGTAATATATGTGATTTGACTGCCAAGTTGAAATAAAGATATTTGCAATTTTGCATATGACAAAATCCAGTCCCAATTACATTATGTAAATTATTTTGTGATGAATAGTGCATATTCCTCCATATATATATAATATATATAATATATATATATAATATATATATATATATACTTGCTCCCATTAATTTGTGGAGGTCGTTAAACAAGATTATCAAAAGGAAACTTACTTTCGGACTTGACAAATCTTGAACGAGACATCTTGCATGTTTGATGCGGACGACAAAGTAAGGAGTGTTGGGGATTTATCCAGAAGAAAAAACCCGACATGGAACCCAATAAGTAAAATAAAACTCATCTGTACTCAAAAGCTCAAGCTAATGGGTTATGACACCACCTTACTTATTAAGTGATTCACATGTCCTCATGCCTCCGATGTGGGATTCATAATCCTTGCCACATGACTCTCAACATTCTCCCCATCATGGGCAATCTCCACATCGCGCTTCCAAATTATATTGACAAACCCAAATCTGTACTTCACCTAAGTAACTGGGCCTTTTGGGACGAGAAGAGAATCAAGAGATTCGGCTCTGTTTGGTTTGTTTTTTACTAAATTTTTTTTCAGAATTAAAGATTAATAAATCTTATTTTAGCAACTTTTTTTACATTTTTAATACATTTTTTTTATATTTTGAATAGAAAAAACAGTTAAAACACACATTAAAACATACCCGTAGTTTTTTTTTTCTTTTTAAGTTACATAATATGAGAGTAACGTCTGAATTAATATCTCACTAATAAAAACTTTAAAAAGGGTATGAATTGATAAATTCTGTTAGCTAGAGCCAGCTAATTAGAAATTGCACAATATTGATGAATGATTCGACAGAAACTAGTTTTTTTTTTTTTTTTGTTTGTTTGTTGAACGTCGAGTTGTCACAGCATAACATAATGATGATTTGGTAGAAAGAAAATGAAAATTTGTCGGGTAAAATAAAATTGGAAAAAAAGAAAAAAGCTGAAAATGACTTTGAATGAAAAACTTCGGTCGTATGTATCGCTTAATTGCTCATGCAAATCGACCCTACTATAAAAAAATTTCCGCAATAATACAAGAAAGGTGAAAAGGCTAGCTACCTAGTTCATGCTGTGGCTCACAAAACATTAAAAAAGAAAGTTTTAAAAAGAACAGTTTTCTGGTGTCAATAATAATTTCAGAAAAATGATATTCCCTCCGATCCTTAATATAATACATATTAATTTATTCTAAATTTTATTTAGTATATATTTTTAATTGACAAAAAACTTTTAAAAATTTATCTTTCACATCCGCTATATTCTCTTGATTGTTATAAATATTTTTAAGATTTTTTTATCAATTAAAAATACGTATTAAGTGAAATTTAGGACAAATCAAAATATCTTCTTGTTTTTTTTTTGAAGGAAAACATACTCCATTAAAATTACTGGAAATGGTCCAACACCATTTGATACAAGAAACAGACCGTCCAAAATAATGTACTTGAACCGTCCTAACGACGTACTCACGGTACTAATCACTGCACCAGTGACTAGACCAAAAAAACTGCCACAAGAAAAACAATCCTATAATGACATAATTCTATTATCGGACATATCATGGAACATAATAAATTTCTGAACTCGAATATATCACTAATCCGCAGACTGAAGCACAAATTTATCGTCATGAACGATGAACAGCACACATTAAATTCAGACTCGGTTCCGCTGACACACTAAATTCACTCAGTAAAGAATCAATCCGAGATCTATAATGAGGGTGGATTATCCCACTTAATTAAATTAAAACACTACAATAAAAAAAAACAATCAAATCCGGACTGACATAGACTCCATCAGATCAGGGATGCAGCGGGAGAGTGGTGAAGGCAGCAGAGGTGGATGCGGCAGAGGGTGGATCTGGGCGGCAAAGGGCGGCAGAGAGTGGTACTGGCCAGCAAAGGGCGGCTTAGGATGGATCTGGTCGGCGAAGGGCGGCAGAGGATAGATCCGGACGGCATAAGGGGGTTCCGGTGGTTTGGATGCCAGAAAAGGTGGGGTGGCAGTAACCGCTTCGCCGGAGGGCGATTTGGAGGTAGTGGTGGTTTTGGCGGTGGTGCAGGGGATGGATCTGGAGGAGGTTTCAGTGCCGGAGGTGGAACTAGACTTGGTGATAGAGAAAAAAGACAACCCCCCAACCACCATTAAACGAGGTTGGGAGAGGAGGAAAATTCCGGTAGGAGATTGTTTAGTGAGAGAGGGGAGGAAAATATTTTAGAGAGATAATAAGTTGGGCGATAATCAAAATATCTTCTGTTAAGGATCATATGGAGTAAATAGTTTTTGAGAGAACCCTCATAGGAATTTACCGCAATGAAGTGAGAATTCGCATGAATGCATATTAATTGTATGAGTTTAGAACTATCACGTAATTACTATTTTTTCTTTAAAAAAAGAAAAAAACAGCAATGATTTTTCTGGTGAAGTATTATTATTAAACTCAAAAGTGAAAAGTAGCTGTCAAACACGTCGGCGATTATTTACCGGACTCAAATCAGAAAATGACAATCTGCCTTTCCAACTCACATTATAAAATCACTAGAAATCTTTTTTTTTTTTGTTTTTTGGAGGAAAAAAAAATACATGTCAACTTTGGCCATCATAATGAAAGGACTTTCTCAAGCTGCTTTTTTCCTTTCGAAATCTTTCTTTAACCCAACATGAAATCTTGGGTTTTCCTTATTTGTTCCTCCTTTATTTGTTACGAGTCATTATTTTAAAAAAGGAGCACCCTTCTCTAATCTATCCATTCAAACAGTTCCCTCTATGATCTCTACCCACTCAACATCACATTATTTTTGTGTATTATTGCCGGCCTAGTTCTATATATTGGTCCTTTGTAACTCTTCAGTTTGAATGGGTTCTTTCAAACGTACGTTTTCGGCAAACCAAAAATAATGACATTTTTTTTTAATGTTATTATAGTTTTTTTTTTAACGCACTTTAGACATTTGACACATATTTTTATTTATTATGATTTACTTATCGGTTTGTTGAATTCTAAAGTCAAGTTATATAAAATGACGCAGAATATCCAAATGAAAGAAGAAGAAAAGAAAAAAAAAAAAAGAGGGAGAATATTGTTGAGAAGGTGCGGAAAGTAACAAACTGTGACCTTTTCAATGTGGAACTTAAAGAATTATTAGTCTTGAAGAAGTCATTATAAGAAAAGAACCAATTGGAAAATCTTATAGTAATCCCTAATGCTGGTCTACAATGCACTTCATTTTTTTTTTTTTTTTTGTGTGGATATGCATTCAATTATGCTGATATAATGAAACACAAAGTATTGTCAAGTAGTAGTTAAAGAAACTACATCATCATCAATAATCCCTTCAAAACTCCATAATCCTTTCTTCAGTGGTGGAAGTTGGGATTTGAGGTCCATACTTGCCTAAATCCCGTTTCTATTCTAGGTTTATTGCTGGTGAACAAAGGGTCGAGAATATTTAATGTGAAATCAAAGTAAATTAATTGTGATTCAGTTCACGGTAATAATTTGTGACACGATTAGACTTACAGGAATGTCACCTAAACCTTATTCTTTAATTTGTTAGTGGCTATACCAATAGCATAACAAAATCGAAACAGTCAAAACTCAAAAGTGTTATATTTATATAAGGTAAAATTTGATTTGAGCATATAATTATAAACACAACTATCACCATCTTACTCTCAGCCCACAGGAAGCTAACGAAATCCAGGGAGTGATTACTGAAACATACACGAATTGAAACCCGTCAAGTGTAAAACATCTGCCCACGTTTTGGAATAGAATATTAAGGCAAAAGAATGACTGTCCTTTTTAACCATTCATTTCATTGCCAAAGCCCCTCCTCAAATTATAAAGCAAAACTTTATGTAATTGGCCAAAGGTGCTCTGCTGAATCTCTAACAATTCAAGACTACATTCCAAAAGACATCTCCAATCAGTGAACTAACATCCAATCCCATGTGCCCGCAGGGTGTACTCTGCATCACTTCCAGCTAACCTTTGTGCAAGTACACAAAAAGCAAAAAAAAAAAACCACAGTTCAACAGCAAACATATATATATATAGGAGATCTCTGATTTTATGAGTATCTAACCCACTAAATTTTTAGTTTTATACCATGTGAACATGAGACCCCTATTTTGACTTTTAAAGCAGACCAAAGTCTAGATTTATTAAGCTATTATATTCCATAAAAATTATATTTTGGGAACATATCATTTTGATTTTGTAATCAGTGAGAGTTCTCCATCTTTCAATAACCTTTTAATTAAAACCAACCAATCCTATTAGGAAAGCTTTTAAAGAATTACAGCTTATTAGAAGAACGATGTTACTAACAAAAAGACAGAAGCATTTGATCAACCAAATGACCTAGATTCTAGATCATCGATCATAATAACATTATTAGGATAATTGTCATTATTAATCTTCACTAACTACTAATCATGATAGATGATGGATAACCTCACAGTGGACAAAATAATGAGCTTCAATGATCATCTATTCAAAAGTACCCTTAATTTCCTTCCCCAATTATCCCCTTGTAATGGATGTTTCAATCTCCTCCCACATAACTCCTTTTTCAACAATGTAATTTACAGAACACATAAATGCCCTTCATTCCAGTGAATGGTAGTATCTAAGGAGATAAAAAGGGCCCCAAAAATAGGAAGGATGATGATGAAGAATAATTGCACCAAAAATAAAAAAGAAAAAGAGGCCAACCATATTACTACTTGATCTTCTCTTCAACTTCATCATTGTGATCAGCATTGTTAATTTGATCACATTTGCTAAATGCAGCTTCTTCATCTTCCTCCTTTGGACTCTCCACCAATGCCCTTTTCTCTTGCTCCTCTTCTTCTTCAGCTACTGTAGAATTCACCCCTCTTGATTTCTTCTCAGCTTTTGCTCTCAAAGCCTCCAATAATTCCCAAACAGCTCTTACTTTATCACGTCTGTTCTTGATCAACAGCTCACTGATATCAGCTGGTGTCATTTCTGCCTTATCCATCACTTCTTTCAACTCCGTTTCCAAATCCTTCTCCAGATCACCATCTTCATAGCCCAGATAATTCTTCAACAGAATCTTCAACGACGGGAAACTACAGTAGCTCATGAAAATGTGCATGTCCATCCTCCCACTCCGAAGCAGAGCAGGATCAAGCTTCTCAATGTGATTCGTTGTGAACACAAAAATCCTCTCACTCCCACAACAAGACCATAATCCATCAGTGAAATTCAATAGCCCGGAAAGCGTAATCGAATTCCCACCATCCTCACCGCCATTGCCGGACCCCGGAGGAGGCGCCCCATCGAAACTATTAGACCTTCCACCGCCACCGGAGTTACCGCTCTTCTTCCTGTTAGTCAAATTAATGGAACAATCAATATCCTCAATCACAATAATAGACTTGGAGCTAGTCTTCATCAGCAATTTCCTCAATTCAGAGTTAGTATGAACTTCAGTCAGCTCAAGATCATAAATATCATAACCCAAGAAATTCGCCATAGCAGCTATCATACTGGACTTTCCGGTGCCGGGAGGCCCGTACAATAAATAACCCCTCTTCCAAGCCCGGCCGGTTTTCTGATAAAAAGACTCCCCATTAGCGAAATCTTTCAAATCCGCCATGATTTCGGACTTTTTCACAGGATCCATAGCCAGAGTCTCGAAAGTGGAAGGATGCTTAAAAGGTACGGATTCCCAAGGATGGCCTCTGGAATCAAGTGAGCCCCCACGTGAATTGGTGTAAAGCAGCCTATCCTGATTGTTCCTACGGATTTCCACCGCTTTTTCCATCACGAAATCCAAATAGGAACCCAGAATAACCGCCTTGTCTTTCTTCTTCACCCGCAGAGTGAACCCCCTCTTCTCCTCCGGCAACGGCCGCCAGGAGAATGTCTGGGCCTGCCGCTGTGTGACTATGTGTTCCCAAAGGACGGTGACCCCTTTGAAGGAATCGAAGAGGCGGTCGTTGTTGGAGAGGCCGAAGGTAATCGCGCTGGAATTGAGTCCCCTGGTGAGGCTGAGGCGGTTTCCGGTGATGGAGGCAGAGGAGCTGAGGTAGAGCTGGACCGCGTTGTAGAGCTCGTTGGTGTTGACGCCGTCGATCTCGGTGATGTCGTAGTAGCAGTAGGAGGAGACCCAGTTGAAGAGGCGGTGGAAGAGCTTGAGGGACGCGAACCTGAGCTCCGGCGGGAAGACGGCGTGGAGGATGCTCTGAAAAAATGCCCACACCCCCATTACCGATGCTAACGTTGTCCAGAACTCGTTCATTTTGATTATCTTTTAGTTTGTATTTTTGAGTTGTGTAGGGGATTCTAATTTTGATTCAATCAATGTGGGAAGAAATAAGATAGTAAAGGAGGAGGAGGAAGAAAGACTAGTATTGCTTAGTTTAGTGAAGAAGGTTTTGGTGAATTTATAGAGGAAGAGCAAGGAATGAGGCGTGAGAAGTGAGAAACGAAAGCGAAAAAACTAGGAATTGTAGTCTTTATAGTAATGATATTATTTTACCAAACTTGAACTCATTTTTCATCTCATGGCTTTTACCCTTAAAAAGGAAATATTACTTTTGATGAAATATTACCACATAGGTTTCAATCCCATTTTGTGTCTTTTTTAATTTTCATATGACATTCACTATTTATTTATAGCGTGTTCATTATGTCTCAAAATTTTTATTCAATTTGAGTTTAATTTATATTCAAAATAAACACTCAAACAGAAGTATTAGACAATAATTTCAGAATGGAAAAGTAATTGTTTTCCTCTATTATCCAATTATTGATGTCATGGAACACAAATGTGAATAAATTAAATGAAAGGCACCATGTAACAATATTCGAATAATATTTGGTGAATTTCGGGTTTGAATTTTGTAGGTAAAAAAAATTGTGGTGGAGAAAGGGGAAAGGGTGGAGGAATAAAGGTTAAAAAAAAGGGACCAAGAAAAGGTAAAAAAAAAAAGTAAAAAGAGGAGGGCTTTTTGAGAAAATGAGGAGAAATGGGGTGGCTAGCAATTTGGGGGTGGAGAGAAAATAAGTACAAGGAAAGACAGCAAAGAGAGAGAGAAGAAAAGGAGGCTACAAAACAAAAAGGATTTTTGGATGGTTGAGTTGGAGAAGATATCAGAAAGAACAGAGGAGAGAAAAGGAAGACGGGGCCTAAATCAAACAGAGGTTTTTGTAGGGTTGCAAATTCCAATGTTTCATTTTCTTTACTATTATATTTGTTTTTTTTGGAATTTTGTGTTTGGGTTTTGATACTTTTTTCTCAATTCTGTGTCTATATGTATTAGTAAAGAAATGTGGAAAATATGATGAACTTATGCAAGTAGATGGAGAAAGTAAGAGTTGAAGGTGCATGTATTAATGTCAGTTGTCAAAGGTCTGCTGTAAGAAAGGGACAAAGGGGGAGGATGCCACACGTAGTTCAGTCTGAATTGGACTCGATCATATAAATTCATCCATAAATACATAAATGCACCCTCTTTTGACCTTTAGTTCTTGCCTGCCAACCAAAAATGAGACTGTTAGGAGTTTATGGTGAAAAATTATTATGATTACGGTTTATGAACAATCCGTTTATATGAATAAATGTAAGCAACTAAACACTATGCATTTCTTAGAATTAAGGAAAGGAATTTTTATTTTAGTATAACACATGAAAGTCTGAACCTTTTGAAAGCCAAAAATGGCCAAAAAAAATTGGGACTGGTGGTGGTGACATTTGGTGTTTCTGGAGAGGTTCATCATAACCCTTTTTATGTTACTTTTCCTTTGAAGGGCTATATTTGGATGATTTTATGGAAGTTTAAAATCATAAGTTATATACTCTCTCCAACCTAAAATAGTTGTTGTGCTAGACAAGTATTTGGAGCAACATGTGAGGATAATGAGTACAAGGTGAGATTAAGGAAACAAGATTAGTAATCTAAAGCACATCATTGTGAAAGAAATTAAAACATGTGATGACTCCTATAAAATAATCATTAGTAGGAGTACCATCTAAAACAAGCAGATTCTAGATGTAAATTGTTAACGGTACATTCCAAGGGAAGAAGAAGCTAGCGTGGCCTTATTTGGGCCCTAAAGTTGATATTGAAAATTTTTTTGCTCCATTTTTGGTCTTCTTCTCCAGGGCTCCACCAAGTTAATGCATTACGTCTTAACGGGATTGGTAAGCCAAAAAAAAAGGTTGACGAGTTCTCGTTTCGTTTGTTAAATGTGAAATCTGGGAAATTGATGAGGTTTGTACATACTATATTTTTTACTTTGTCAGGTCGAAAGCTTTTAATGCTGATCTTTCTTTTGGATGAATGAGTCAATTTGTTAGACTTTATAGACTCATCTGGATTTAAGCCATAGTAGTAGTAGTAGGGTAGTGTTTTATTTTGCCTGCCCAATGGACGGATATCACTGTTGCTTGATTCAGTTGCCAAAGATCTTCAATAAAAGAAAAAAAAAATTACTGTAAATAAACATCATCATCTATCCCAAGAGGGAAGATTCGGATGATGATTCTCGTTGGTGTAAAACGGTTAATACCCCACAGTCAAAACCACTCCATTCGTACCATATTCAGAGTATTTTGGTATGAATTAGACCATTCTTACCGCATTCCATATTAAATTTGTGATACAGAAAAAGGTATTTTGGAGAATGATTTATATTTCGTCGAATGATTTTTTTCTTGGTTAGTATTCTAAATAATCATTTTTTAGATTTCCATTCACGTGAAAATTACGGAAACACACAAAATATGGATTGTATCAAACTGATGAGAGACTATAAAATATTTATATTATTTTAACAAGAATCACATAAATAAGATGTTACACTTTACAATTAGCCACATCTGAACTCATCACATTCACAATTTGCAAATAAACCACGGGCTTAGTGCCTGCCAATTCAATGTAAATTTTTTTTTACTCTCCTTGTCTCAAAATTGTTATGACGTTTATTCTATTATTAGATTTACTCTATTCATGCTACGCGCGACCAGTTTGAGTTATGTCAATACGAATTCACTTTAAATGGTCACGTTGTCATATGAATTAATAAAATTCTAATAATAATTATTATGTGACGCCAGAAATACGATTTATTAGCACCGCCATGTATTTCTTGGACGGTAAATTTCTTGCATTGCCACCAGAGGAAGTCCAACCAAAATATGATCACCATTTTGTTTGTTGGACGTCGGATCTACACCATCGCCACTATTGAGAACCGAAAAAAAAATCAGGATCATTTCTTCTTCCTTTTGAGAGATTTGACCGTCGCTACCATTACATAACCATTGGAGTTCGAACCCAAGAAGATAATTAAATTTCAAAGGGATGGGGAAAGGGAGGAGACAGAAAATTGGATTGACATTTAGGACGGGAGAAAATTTGTGGGGAAGGAAGGGACGGAGAGCGGCCGAAAAAATTAACAGTAAAAATGACACAAAAAACGACATTTTAATTAGTAACATCGAGTAATAAACTTCTTCGTTTAGCCCGCCACATTAGTTAAGTTATTTCTCTCGGCTAATGACATATTTGGTTAGCAAAAAAGAAAAACAACTTTATTAATTGACTATTGTAGCCTTGTTTTAAATTCCTGATGTCATGTTAATATATTAACCAATCAAAGGACTCAATTTAAAATTGATGATGTCATGTAAACTAATGGTCCAATCAGAATGCTCAATTTAATTTCTGACCAATCACGTTCAAGATTTTAAACTCACTAAGAGACATTTATTTATGTACAAAAAAGTTTAAAACAAACGCGATAATTATTTTTAAGACTGAAAAATATCTTTGAATAATATTGCAACATTATTTGGTGTGGGGTTGGATTAAATTGGGTATTTTGGCGCATAATGCAAATGCAGACTTTCCCAGCTGTATTATGTGGCTAATCAATTTTGCTTTATTTTGTTGTATAGGCATTTTTAGACTTATTATTAGAGGGCATTTTGGAGTTCAATTATCACTAGTTGCATTGACCCCATCATCAAAAAGACAGGAACGTTGCTTCTGCTTTGGCCTTAGAAATTGACAACAATTATGCTTCGTGCAGAGAATTGGATATGAATATTTCAGACCTTCTGATAGCTCTCAATTTATGGGGTCTCTGAAAACGTCTGTCTCAGGCTCTCCCTGCCAACTGCCTAGCACATTGGTTTTAGAAGCTAAAAGAACTGGATGGATATTGATTTTTATTTAGAGATGGTATTTATGATGATTTTTAATCTAATCTCTCAACCACTTCATAATATATACACTTAGCTCTACTAGTAGTGTATTTTCTTCTTATCAACTTTAATTTTTTGAAAAATAAAACAACCTATTCTCTATTTGGGATCTTTTTTAATGATGTTTACTTTTCTCCTTTTTTTTCCCTAAAAGAAAGTGTGCTACATTATATAAATTCAAAAAACAGTAATAATTTTTGAATCAGAAGAAATATCATTTTCAATAGTCGTAGGACGATACTAATAAAGAAATGACTTGTAGTCAAGATTGTGAACTTGGTGAATGACCTGACCTTGTTTGTCCAACTTCTTATTTTAATTTTTGTCTCATTTTATCTCTTAAACACAAAATCTAATGCACCATCCAAATAGCATTTTAATTTACCTTTTAAAATATTGCATTCGGTCACTACTCTATTCTAAAATCTTTATTTTAGTCACTGAATTATTGTAAATTTTTATTGCATTTGGTCACTGAACTATTGTAGAGTCTTGCGTTTGATCATTACACTATTATAAAGTCTTCATTTTGGTCACTGAACTATTTTAATTTCATAAATGATCGCTATATTATAATACTTTCCAAATTAAAAACTAAATTATATTTTAAATCTGCTCCTAAATCTAAATAAAAAACTAAAACAAAACGTTTTCCAAATAAGCACTTGGTAATCTTCGGACGTCAAGAATGAAGTCTTAAAGTTAACGGGACTAAGTATTTAAGCATTCATAAGGGAAACTTTTAGAGAAACACAAACTGGAAAATGAATGTGAAATCACATTTTGTTTTCATATTTCACCCTGCAAACCTAATTCCTGGTATATAAGTACAACAATGTACTACGAAATAACTGGGATGAGATTTTTGTTTTGAATGTTAGGCTAAAAAAATGTTCCTAACTTATACGATGCCCAAGTGAGAGTGAGAGTGGGGGATATATATAGTATTATTGAATTACATCGTTAAGATAAGAACCAAACTGATCTCTCACATGTACGAACAAATTGAATAATAACAACAGTACAAAACGTATACAAAACCCAACAAAATTGTACATTTGTTTTGGTTTTGTACGGTAGTGAGACTAATGGGAAGTGACTTGAAGACATGTCACTTTGATGGCCCTTTGGCTTTGGTTTTATTATACACAGCCCCGCCAGAGAATAAAATCGAACAGACGAAACAGACTTCTATGCATATATTTCAATTTCTACTCTTACAAATTCAATTTATTTGACTTCTTCTTCAGTCTATTTGAATTTTGAAGAACTCTGAACTCTGAGGTCTCTAACCTCTTTCCTGGACCATACTTTGAGGGATTTAAACAAGTATTATCAGGATTGAAATTTATACGATAAAAAAATACCATTCAGTACAGACTTTATTTGGATTTTTCATTGTATGTTTGACTAGGTTATTACCGATAGCTATTTACTTCTTTTGACAATTATCATAGTTTTTTTTTAGTTGACGATTATGATCGAACTCTCAATCTAACAGTTGAATGTGTAAAATCTCAATATTTAGTTACGAAAAACTCCACCTTGAATTTTGAATTTGTGGGTACTATATATTTTTGGAACAAGAAGAGCAGGGCCACAACTGCAATTATTTAAGCTGTGTGAAGAAGCAAACATCATGTCATCAGCTTAAGTCCTGATCCTGAGGATGTCAATTTTGACCTTGTGAATACGTACAAATTCACACACTATATATACTGTTACAGAACAGTAAAAACAGTAACTTCCTAGTAGTTGTACAATTTTTATGCTAGATGCTAGTTTGCGTAATAAAGTTAAACTTTTTTACTTTTTGTACTCCCTTTGTGATGGTGTCTACGTAGTATATACAGTGACGGTAGAATCTCTCAGCTCCTTTTGGTTTAATTTTTAACGTAATTTCTCCCGAGATAGAAAATTAAATCCTCCCCCGATGTTTGAAGAAATTCATGATTAGTCCCTATTGACAGAACCAAAAATCATGCCAGTTCATTTTGAATCTTCATGCTCTCATTGCCTCACAAAATTCAACATTTTTAGTTTTCTTAATCGGACAAATCAATATAATCAGGCTTTTACACAAAAGAAAAAAAAAAAAAAAAACCTTTGCAGGGTTATTTATTTTAGAGTTTCCTCCATTATTTTTGTTAATTGGTTAAAGGAGTATCGTTGGTTAGGAATTCTGAATATGCAAGTGTGTTTCGATCAAGAATGATCATGTAATTCCCCTCAAAACGTTAAATATACATTTTGTCCCAACAAGATTTTGGAACCAGCATCCACACGTTAACAATACTCCTCCCAAATACAACTATAGTGATTTACATAAAGCGAAGGTGAAGCCCATTTGAAACTTTTTCACCACTTGTGTGAGAGAGTCTAGAGTTTCATAATTTCCCATAAGTTTCTATATTTATCCCACCATACGGCGGTCTTACTTTCTTCAAGAATTCAATGGTGTCCTTTACCCCTGCTAAAATCTACCTATGTAGTGTGGCATTAAAATATTTTCTCCGAACTTAGTACACAAAGAAGATTTTATTCTTTTAGTCCTTAATTCCATACATATTACTCCCTCCGTCCCATAATTATTGTCTAGTTTAAGTTTTCATTTCTAGTTTAAATTGTACCAAAAATGAATTCTCAAACTGGACAATAATTTTGGGACAGAGGGAGTATTAATTAGCGTAGTTACCAAAATTTTATACTCCTATCGTCCCATAATTATTGTCCAGTTTGCCAAAAAATAAAATCTTAAATCTTAGTAAAATTGGACAATAATTATGGGACGGAAGGAGTAGTACCTGAAAACAGATTGAACAATGACTCCCATGTTTGTTTTTGATACGCAAAGACAAAACAGCCTTCAACTCCACAACCATAAAGCTCAATTTATCGAATTACCTTTATATCTTGAACCTATTTAATTGTATAAAGACAACTTACATCTAATAGTACCATGTAGCAAGAAATTGAGAAAGTAATAGCTGGAGAGGATGAAGGCCAAAAAGAGATATACAAATTGCAAGAATTTTGTTACCAAGACAACTAGCAAATTCCCTGAAAAGGTAGTGACTTAAGAAGGCCAAAAAAGATGCAAACCTAAAGTAGAAAGTCCACTGTGATTAAAATATTACTCCAACAAGTGAATGCTAATTTGCTTGCAAACCTTTTAGAACAGAGCATATTTTTAGTAGCCTTTCTAGGATGGATGAGTAAGTGCTGAATCACCTGCATTGTTTGTACAATGTGCGTAATTAGTGGGGATGATAATTGTCCATGATTAGCTTCCTCAGTTAATTACACACAGGATTCTACATCCTAATATAAGTTTCGTGATCATAATTCATTTCAAAACTATATCGTTTTACTGATAAGATATAATTACGATAAGAAAAGCCAAGCACTATTCAACCAATTAAAAACCCTTCAAATTAAGGATTGCAAATTAATTCAAGTTTTTGTTTGGATTAGCTATGTTGGGATTTCAATGTAAGGTCACTGTCGAATCTCATTGTGATTAAGACTAATCTAATGACCTAACATAAAGGGTTTTTTTAATCGCATTGGGAGCGGCGGTGCCCAGCATTGGCTCAAACTAAAAGTTTTCTGAGCTTTGCTAGGATGTTAGGTGGTTGAGCTGATGGCAATTTTTTATAGTCAACTTTGAGATCTTATACATGTCTTTACTTGTTTTTGTTAATCTGTAATGAGCTAGCTTTTGTCCCAACTCCCACTTGAACTAAGAAATTTTATTAAGAAAGATTTCCATTTTAAACTAGGACATTATCCACATATATAATTTATACACTTTCTGGATAGCAAGCACTTTATTTCCTCTAACTTCGTCCGTCCCAACAAAAGTCTTGTTTGTTGTATTGTTTAGTTCATCAAATATGTTTTTATTTGACACAGAGAGAGGGAGTAATATTGGCAAGTAACTGCTTTCCAGTTTCCAGGGACAATAGAGTTAAAAAGGCCAGCTTTCAAGCCAGAATATTATATTAGCACCGTGTAATTCACAAACAAAATGAGTATATAGATATAGTATGACTAAAGGTAAAAAAAATGTGAAAGAATTACATACAGCTATACCAATACGTTCTGCGTCTTGCAAACATCCAATTCGACAGCCAGAAATCCACAAAATTTTCATTACAGATTTCAAATCCTTCAAGTGCCCATTAGAGTTGAATCTTCTCATTAGATTTGCTGCTATAAGGGTGCACGGTCTGCTTTCACGCGTCAATCAATGGCGATGATGAGAAAACCAACAGATACATACATCAGGAAGACAGGATACAGTGCAAGAGCTTTCCTCCTTGGATTTACAGCTGTGCTCATGAATGGATAAGCAGCCCAAGAGCTCCAAGCTAATGTAATGGAGACAACTACCACCTTCAGTATAACATTGTCCTGCAACAAGCAGACTAAGGCACCGATGTCTAGAGGGAATAGACAGTAACCAAGAAGGCTAAGGCTCTGAAAGAAGATTATATGTCCACCCTGCAATAATGAAAATGAGGATTACAACATACGGCGTTGAAAAAATTAGATTTTGATCAAAGATGAGCTCCACTCTCATAATGCTTGAAGAATTGTGAAACTATCAGCAGCCAAAGGAGCCACAGCAACAAAAAAGGGCAGTGAAAAGTTGCTACATCAAAAGATCCAGTAGAATAACAAATTCGTTGCACACAAAAAAGAACTTTTCTTGTGCATGTAGGCAAGAAAGAGATGAGTACCAGCAGCAATACGTTCAATGTCAAAATCACAGCTCCAGCTGCCAGCAACGCAAAAGCAACAGCAAACACCTCAGACTGCAAAAAGTCAATAGCCAAAGAACCAGTCTTTAGAACAACGATCAGTAGATTCAAAGTAGATACCAGCTTCCCCATAATAAAACTATTTTACATGATGAAAAATTAGTGAAGAGGCAAGAATCTTTTCTTAAGAAAGTAATGCAGCTGGCCACCAACTTCACAACAAGGAGTGAAGGGAAACTTCCACTCGGACACAAGAATCAAAGGTAATATTACTTCCAACAACCCAAATTCAATCCTCAAATGCAAGACCAATACACATGACTCCAATAAGGCACGATGCAGAATCAATAAGGCACTCAGGACTACTTGCTACATATAAACATAATTATGAATGGAAAAAGCTCAACTCAATCCAACTGCCGAACTTCAGAGCATAATAGTACCAAACTTGTTCCACTAACCATAGAATGATATTCATAACAACTGAATATTCTAAGACAATATAAAAAACCAGAATTCTACACTTCACTAATACCATACTGCCTTGTACGCTTATCTTATAATGATATTCATAACACCACAATAACTATCTGCAACAGTAACTCCATCAACTGCACAACAGTGTGCTATGGGATGTAATAAGAAAAGCTGAAGAAGGTTGAGAGCACATTGAATGAATGTACTACAATAGTACAATAAAAGCATGTTTCATTCCTCATTTTCAGAAGTTTCTCCATCAATGCCACAGAGATAATGTAGCAACATTTGTTCTCCTGAATCATACACACAATGGCAAGGATGAAATCAAAGAGCATTGGTGATGACTTCAGTTCATATAGTGGATGACCAAGAAAAGTGTTCGAGTGCTAAAACTTAAACACAAACAAATCCAACCAAACACAAAGTCACAAAATGATGACAACATATCCAGATTGGTTCAATTGTTGCCACTGCACCTATATAATTTTGTTTCGCTGTGCTCCATGTAAGTTCGGGGCAAACTCAATTAGGTTTCTCTCTGTTTTCCCATGTCGAGTATTAATTGCTCTATGTTCTAAAATCAAAGGTAACAGGTTGTGTCATGCATTGTTAATAGGACCTATTGTCTGTTCAACAAATAAGTTCAAGAGGTATATCACAAAATTCGTTCTTCTAAAACCTTGGAGTTCATCAATGTTTACAATTTGTGGTGTTCCAGTTACTTATTGAATGAGGTATACAACCACCTACTTTGTGGCATCTGTCACCAGTTGATAGACATAAAAGGGTTTTAGGCTCATTATAGCGGACAGATCGCTACTTTCTCACCTGTGCTTGTTCCTAAGGGGGCTGTTCTTACCATAGCAACGGTTTCTGAGGTCGCAGCGACACCTGGAGCTTCACATCAGGCACACTGGACAGACTTTGACATCCAAGACAACGCCTCAATAAAAGATATTTAGGTGCCTTTTCTGAAAATTTGTTTATTGTGAGTATTATCTCCATACCAGTAAACTTGTGTCAAGTCGCTCTTTACTAGTTATCACAGATTTTTCAATAAAACCAAAAATAATATTACGACCCAGGCTATCAAGCAGTTCAAGTTTCCTATACAAACACAAAAATCTTTCACACAATGCCTTGAAATTCTATATCAGTTAAAGCGCAAAAGATAGATTTTAAGAAGAATTCCACCAGCCAACAAACTACACCAAGTCAAGCAAGGAAATCTAATTAATAACTTGTGATCTTGCGGCTAAATTCCGATGAGGAAACAAGATGGCAGGAACCCCCTAGCAATTAGAAAAATAAACTGGAAAAATTCAGATCATAGAGTTATAAAAAAGGATTCAGGCAGCACTGACCTTCTTAACAGATGCAGACCAAGAGAGAGTTAGCCCCAAAAAAACAATGAAGAAAAAGGGGCCCCAGAGATCCCAATCCCTCAAAGCCTTACCAGGATCATCCCTGAACGGATTGGGAAAGACCACCAATTTCAAGTTACTAACAATCCTCGACAGATCCCGCTTCACCGTATCCCAAACTGGCTCCGTCAATGTATTGGGAGCAGGCCCAAATCCGGAAGAAGCAATATTCGACGGCCCGCCACCACCGCTAATACCAGAAGAAACGGGCAATGGAGGTAACTTGGCGGCGGCAGTGGCCGCGGGAGGAACAGGGACGGGCTTAGGAGCGGACGAGGCCGGGGGAGCTGGCGGCGGAAGTGGAGAAGAAGAAATCGGAATTGAAGCCCGCGGCGGAGACGGTGGCCGGGCAGGGAGGACTGAGGTAGGGTAGGGTTGGGAATTGATGAGGTTTTCAATCTCGTCAATGTCGGATTGAGAGGTGGCGTGGAGCGGTACGGTGTCACTGTACGGATTATTCGACATTTTCGTCCTTTTCCGGCGAATTCACTGAAGATTTGAAGCTCGGATTTCAGTGATTTGGTGTTAATTTCCGGGGGAAATTTGAAGGATCGGAATCGGAGAAGGACATGAATATGGGACTGGGAGTGTGGAAGAATATTTTGGGGCGTTTTTCACATTTCCATTTAATTCTTTTTAATTCATTTTTCCTTTGGGTTTTTTTTTTTTTTTTCTTGCTTATATATTAAGTTTAAGAAAATTAAATTTGGGCTTTTGGGTGTAGGCAGTCCTTTTATGTAAGCCTGTTAAAACCCGAGGATATATAATGATAAAATTGTATATAAAACCTAGATTAGATTTACATTTTTATTGAATAATTTTGTGGGATATGAGAAGCATCATTCTTTTTCTTTTTAAACCTTCAATTAGTTGATTTTTATATCATTTTTATTTTTTGAAAGAACATAGTATGTGTAATATTTTCTCTGTGTCACGAAAACAGTCCAATATTCAATATAAACTATTTTTATAAAGCGGAAGCATATTGAATAATAATGGGCATCAACGAATGTACAGGCATGAAGAAGAGAGAAATGAATACTAGTTTTTGCCATTCCCGGCAATTTCGAATTTTAAGAATGATACAAGTTTTTTTCTTGCTCAGCTTATCACAAATTGTGTCATATGATTAGCGTCTTCATTTTTTAGTAATCATCATCCACCAAAATTGGGTCTAAACTCCAAGAGAGGATGCTAACAGTTTATAAATGCGCTGATAATAATTCTTCCACCTGGAAAATTTAAAATCACCATTATGGTGCGATTTTAGACTTTAGATCACAAAAACACAATGATCTGGCCCTTTCAAACTGGTTCAAGGCTTGAGAGCTAAGGCAAGACCCAACTTTGGTGAAGCTTTAGTGGACTTCGAGTCATACTCGGCTGATACAGTTACAAACGATTTGGGCCTCCATTCCCGTTGGCACAGCATCGCCACCTTTCCGTTATCGAAGAATTTGGCTTTTACTGCCGTGAGGGGATCAATTCGGTGAGAACTTCCAATGCTGAAGCTGTTTTCATACGTGGAGAATCTGTGGATCATTTCAACACCAACTTCATTTCCGTTGAAAGGATTAATGGTGTGAACGTAGGATGCCTTAAGAGTCTGTCCCTTGTCCGTCCTGCACAGAACGAACCATTTGTGAGGCAAAGCATCAGAGTGCCACTTTACCGCAGAATACTGTTGAATGCATACACAAATAAGGCAGTGAGTAAATATAGTAACTGTATTTCCAGGTTCATTTGGCTTATATTCGGACACAAGGTGACCTAGTGTGTACCCGAAACAGAACATGGTGTCAATTGAAGTTCAGACATAGAGTCAGGAAAAAGGGTTGATACAAGCTGTTTTGAAGGCTAAAGTGGACAGTAAATATTCTTAATCAAGTCAAGGACAGACAAGATAAATGCTTAAAATCAGGGTTACGGAAAAGAGCTTTGATACATACAGTATGACTGCGGCAGAAAAGTCAGGCTTGTTCAAACTGATCCCGGCGTCATACTTTGTGAAAGATGAAGTAGCAGTATCAAAACCAACTGTACCCCCGATGGCTATATCCTTAGTGCCGATTGCAGCAGCAACATCCAATAGAGGGGATGGATTCAAGCCAATACTAGAATTGATCACTGCATGGGGATGAGCATAGTGTACTTCAAGCTGAAAAAAAATACAAGATTAACATGTTTGACTCTGTATTTGCATAAACAAAGTTCACTTCTAAATAAAAGAGGAGCTATACAGATGCAAGTAAAATCAAGCAAGCTAGAACTAGAGCTCTAATGTTCAAGTTAACATAGTTGCAAGTTGTCCCAACTTCTCACACCAGATTAGTTTACAATAGCAATCACGCCCTATTTGGTTTGTGGCTTTCAAAGGTGTTTCATGTATTTTGTGTCTGTACCCAAAGACCTTGGATTGTTTTGTGGACTCAAAATATCTTCTGGTTCCAAGACCATGTTTTAACTCATTACTTAACTCCTGTTTTTTCCAACCATCTCCAGCAGCCTTCAGCCATCGCCACCAGCCAGCAAGTTGGAACCGACAACATGGAAGAATCCTGTTGGCACAGAACAGCAGGTGGCGGTGCGGGGCAGTGGTGGCTGGAGGTGCTTGGGAATGTATCCACATGTCCCAAAACATATCTACGCACACATCATTAAACACAAAATACATATTAAGAGCACAGTCCAAATATAGCCCACATTTTCTGTGCAAGTTATCGTACCCCACACATTGAAATCGGCTAACATGTGCTTCAATTCAAGCCTAAAGAAAATTGAATTTTCATGCCACATCAACGACGGCAGATTCATTTTACAACACCACATATCATCCATAAAAGTACTGCTCAAATCAGAGAAATTTTCTCCTTGCTAAGTTTACTTGGCACTACAACATCACTTTCTTAACCCCAAAAGTAAACTCAAAAGAGAAACAAGGTTTTATAATACCATAACCATTTCTTGCATTTATAGCTTCCTCTAATTGACATGAAGACTAATTCGAAAAGGAATTTTAACACAAGATATTGTTTCATTGAATGGCTGTTCACAAGAGAGTAAGAAAATTACCTTTCCAGATTTGTGATCAGGTATGCTGAAACCAAATGCCACTTTTGTAGATGAAAAGACATCATTCAAAGTTACCTTGGTTGAAACCTGCAGACAAATGGCCTTTCAAGTAAACTATTGCATCATGCAGCAGCATGCCAGATTATAAAACACCAGATGCAGTTGATATACTTGATCATAGATTAGGAAAACTGACAAAGAAAATGATATTGAGAGAAAGGCAGGACATCAATCTTACATTTGAATAGGTATCAACTTTCAAATCCACAGTTGTATTTCCAGACTTATGTTGAGTGCTTATATCACCAACAAAAACATCATCTCTCTTTACACCACTAGCTGTAATCCCCTGCAAGTGTATTCAGAATAAAAGTCCTCAGAAAGTGTAGATGGTATTTTTCAATAGTAAAACTTCTAAAGAAAAACGAGGTGCATGCCACGGGAAAACTAATGCACTGTTTCAGGGGGAAAAAGTGGTCAGAATGTAGGGACTGAAGAAAACCAAAGCATCAGAAAACACACATTATCATTACAATTGGAAAGGGGGGGGGGGGTGATGGAAGAGAGAGAAAAGCTCTATGATGATTTTTAGTCTTCGATGACTACTTAAAATACTTAAATATATGACCAATACCTTGCCCATCATTCATCACGGTTCAATTAACATGTAAAACTATGAGATCAACTCATCAGATAGAAATAACGATAAAGATGTTCAAATTAAGGAGTATTAAATTGTCTTGATATTATGAACCACAATAGCTGAAAAGGATGGAAGAATACCAGTCCACTAGAACTTGGGATAGATAGTAAGATCTTCTGGTCATAGTTGAAATCTTTAATCAAAAGATCTGCAAAAGAGCATTACAAGCTGATGTGAACGAGCTCTCTTGATTTTATCCAGAAAGGACAACAGCATTAGCAAATTTCAGAACTTGAAAGGTCTCCTCATCCAAAGATATGAAAGAACTTGCGCACATATGAATTATTTTACATCTTACCTGAATAACAGGACATCTAAAGCTTATTATTTTTAATACTTACATAAATCATTCCCAGCTGAAATGCAAAGATGATATTAAGTTGCCGAAGCACAAATAGTTCAAACTTAAGCAATTTAGAGCATAAAGAGTTATAGACAACAATGATTCACAACAGTCAAACTGTGTATCCATGTACAATGCAAAACACAAGGACACACAATCAGACATTTCAGCTAACTCTTCTATTTAAATTTCTTTAGCAAACTACATAAGCGACAGGCATATAACTTTAAATTTCACTAACAAAAACAACAACTAAGTTACTGCAGGTTGGAATCAAACTGAACTGTCTCATCAAAACACAGAATTTCATTAAATTGTCACCACCGTTCTTTTACATGTATTTTCTGAGAAGTTTATTCCTAGCTTGAGCTTATGGTGGTTAGAATTTTGCATAGAAAGTTAGCGAAGCAATTAACAACTACAAAAGCATTAGGCTATGAAGAAGTCATGGCATAAGCAGATACCTAACTTTCAGGCATCGTTTTGCCCAGTAATAGGAAAAATGTGGCAAGTAACTCTAGCCAATCTCGCCAATACTGTTTACAGCTAAAGAATATTCCTAACCTCGTATCTCTTTATGATAAACAAACCTCAATCAATTCATTTTTAATGCACATTTTCCACTTGGTAAAATCAGATTAGCCATCATACCATGGGTATCCCAGATCTTTAACAGGAAAAATGCATCTCTTTCACCATAAAAACTCCCATAATTACTGGCAAACTTCACTTGTGATTTAATACATTCCCTTCATTTTTTTTCCAATTACTCCACACACTCACACGGTTGCCATTCAGATAACGCAGGATGGTAATCATATAATGCACTAACAATGAGCACCATAGAAACGGCAAACCAAACTTGATAGAAAAAAAACAAATGCTAGTTAATTAACGAACCAAAGTTCAAAGTTCAAATGTTCCTATAATCTCAGTAAAGAAGACGAACACAGAAGTCAGATGAATTACAATCATACTACTGCAGCATTGAACATTTAATCATCTTCTGTACCTCTAGCACGTCGTCCAATATCTGAAAATGGCGCTGGACTGCTGCCCATCTCTTTAAAACTCTGGTTCTTTCAAATCGAAATACGATCACAGAACAACATCATATAATCAGTTAGCTGTAATTCTTCCTGTTGAACAGAACTTGATAAAAAAAAAAGATGAGAAGAGCTCACTCACGGTGAAAGTTGTCGACGGAGACGACAAACGAAGCTCCCGGCGAAGCAGGTGAAACGAAACGACGGCAGGGGAGCGGCTGAAAGGTAGGATGATGGGCGAAACGAAAGCCCCCTGTAGGTTTTAGGGATTTAAGACTTGGATGACGTAAGAAATTCTGCTTGTTTTCTTTTTTCGTTTTCTTTTTCCCCAATATTCAGAAGAATCAAAGAATTACAATTGAGGTGTTGGATTTTCGTATTGGCCAGAAACGCCCCAAATTTTAAACTTGTTGTTTTTTCCAGTAATTTTTTTCGATATACATAATTTTACCAACTTCTGAATACATTATTACAAGAACCCACATCCCAATTAAAACATAACAGTTTCAATTTTTAATTATTTTCATCACTTTCATTTTATTTTATTTTATTTTTTTGAAAAAGTAATTTTTGCATTATTTGGTGCAATATCTAAAGGGGTTCATTCTACATCGCTAATGGTGCTGAATATTTTGACATTTTGCCGTTGAATAAATAACTATCTTGTGTTGCTTAGCTCGAGATTAGTTTAGAAGCGTATCGCTGTGAGATCGTCTCATTTCCTACAGTGACTTGATAAAACTTTAGGTAAACCAAATAGCTTAGGAATTATTTATTTATTTATTTATTGTTTTTTCTCGTCTCTGATCTTTCTAATGCAACCATAGTTGAGATATAATTTAATCGTTTTTATCCCCAAAATATATTAATTTACCTCTTTCTTCTTAATTAGTTAACAAATGCAAAATTTGGCAACGAGAAAAATGAAGTCACTGGGGATGGAATGGATCTAAGGTTGCAAAGGGCTCGACTTGCATCGACCTTATGTTCAGCTTGAAAACTCTTAAAGAATTGATTTTGGGATGGTTCTGTCACACTGAGAGTCATAACCTAAAAAAATTGAATTTCAAACAGGAAAAAAGAACAAAAAGAAGAAAAGCAAGAAAAAAAGAGAAGAAGAAGAAGAAGAAGAAGAAGAAGAAGAAGAAGAGATAAGTATGAATCGCATGTAATACAACATTGTTCAAGTGCTTCTTGAAAGTTGAAATTTCTTCAAGAAACACAAACAAATATACAATTCAAGTAATTGATCTGTAGTTAATAAATCCCTTCAAAAAGAATGAACAAAAAAAAATAAAAAATACAATGATAAACTCTTCAAATCGTAGTCCAACATATTTTGGCTAGGGATCAATATGATACAATTTGGAAGGTTTCAAATTCTTGGTAACATTGAAATACTTCAACGTCTTCATCCACTTCTGTGGAGTCTTAAGAAGATGAACCGCAACGGTTTCCGGCCACAGCTCATGCCCGCATCCCGACGGCGGCTCCGGGAAATTATACATTGACCATTTAGCATTGTACCTATTTTTGCCTCTTTTACCCCACCGGATCCACTCGCCGAACACCTTATCTTCCGGCCCGTGCAAATGACTCCTCGGAATCTCCGATTCCTTAATCCACTCGACAATATCCCAAGAAACTAAGTACCCCATTCCGGACATGTAATTCCTATAAGCGTCCATACTTAGGCACGGTATAACAAATCCGTAGTACAAATCTTCCCTAGACAATGGCCTAAGTGAATTCACCAAATTGTTTAGCCTAAAATACGAATCGTCGTCCGTTTTCAACACGTAATGATACGGCGGATATAATGATGATGATGCTAGCATTTCCGGCAAGCTTGAGAAGTAAGCGTAAGTCTTACCGTCGTTCATGTTCTCGTGGCAGTTGAGGATGATGATGTCATCGTACCGCATGATCTCGAGCGCCACGAACACTTTTTGTTCCTCCTTTGTGAGGTTGCAAAACACGAATTTCACGTCGACTCGCGCGTTCTCGGGCGATTGCGTGCCGTAGATGAGCCGCAGGAAGTGTCGTTGGTAGTAGTGATCCGGAAGGGTTAGGATCCCGATGAGGATTCGGAGTTCTTCGATGGATGATGATGTGGAATTTGTGACATTGGAGGAGGAGGAAGAAGAATTTGTAAGGAGGAGATTTTGTGTTGGTGAATCATCGAGGGGTAGCGGTGAAAATGCACACTTTTTGAATCTTAGGAAACTATCGAATCGGATTTCGTTTACGGAAGCTAAGGTGCAAAGGAAAACAATGAAGAAGAAACAAGAAATGATGAAACGCCGGCCGGTTGATGATGGCGTTGACCGATAATTATTTGGCTGCTTCATCGTATCAAAATTATTAACAACGTTGGACATGGAGATATTGAGATGATGATCATCGAGTGTTGATGATGATGAATCTTGTGTGGTAAAAGTGACGGTCATTTGAGAAAAGATTTTGGAGAAGCTCAACGGTTTCTTCAATCTAAAGCTTTGGGTTGGCTATTTTAGACTTTCCATTCTTCAAGAAAGGTGTATGAAAAAGTGCTTCAAAATGAGTAAATATACAACAAACCATCACACTATTTATTCCTTGTTGTTAGTAACCTTTAATTCCTTTGTACTCTTTTCCCCTAATATTCCTACATTATGCGTGTAGGTAGGTAGTAAATGATGCTGATTGAAACATTTCTAGTCTATTCATTCTAATATAATTGTTCTGTTACTTGTATAATTCTTAATTTAACAAAAATTTTGGAACGGAAAGTATATAAAATACACATTTTTTTTGACATTTCAATTGATGGCACCCACTGATTATGTCCTTCGTTTTGAGAGTTGTATGGTGTTTGAAGCATGAAAGGCTAGTCAACTGAACTGATTGAACATGCAAAAAGTGGAATCGAGCCTAACGTCAACTCCACTCAAGTTCATATTGGTCAACGTTTTGTAATAATTAGGTATTTTGGCACGATTTGTTTTCTTTTTTTTGAAAATAATGGAGCTCTATTGAAAATTCAAACTAGTCCTAAATACGTTCATGTTACGTATATGAATCCCCCATGCTTATGTTTAAAGCCATTGACCTGAGAAAATCAGCATTTTTGCCTCGATCAAAGGAAACGTATCATTCACATGAACTTTGCTCTTCACCATATGGCTTTTTTTGTTTTTGTTTTTGTTTTTTTTTTTTTAATACAAAGAAAGGGGAGGCTTAAAGCCTGGGATCTATGTTATTAATTACATATCGGGGATATAATATCCCAATTACATCATTAGCGAGCCACGATTTCACATTCAGAGGAGTTACAAACCATTTCGTGAATCTCGGGTTGATGCTTTCCAAGCAATTGGTTTCCCTATATATACGTTTGATTTGCACTTTCCAGTTCTTATTACGCGTATCCCTTATGCAATTGATAATTATAATCCCATTATGTGCTATTACTGACGATTGCTTCTAGGTGAGCAATTGGAGAGCACAGTCAACTTTTAGTAAAATCTGCTTATGACCGGACTCCCATCCCATTATTGGAGTCCATAGAATATATATGCCCCAAAGCTCTGCTCCCGTTATGGATGTGCTACCAATGTTAATAGTAAAGCCGCCCAGCCAAGCAGCAGCCCCCTGCCGCTTCCATGACATGGCTGTATTTATTCAGTTTTAGCTATCCATCAGGGGACCCATCCAGCTAACCATTCTCACTTGCTTAGTTTGACACACATCTCCCAACCTTCTTTCGCCATCAAAGTACCACCCTTCTCGTCTTCCTGAATTGGGTTTGTATGAAAAACATTTTTATTTTAGATTTAGAATGTGATTCAAAAATGTGATTTAATAAAATAAAATTATTATTTATCACTATTAAGCCATTTCCACCACCGCCGGACCACTATGCATCTTTCAATGCCGGACCATCACCAACCGCTCCATATCAGGGGCGGAGCTAAACCCCTACCCTTAGATGGGGCAAAACTACTACATGTAAATATTACTGGGTCAAAACAATATTTATTTTGAAGTTTAAGAGTAAATTTTTAATTTTAGTAATACATTAGGGGTGTTTAAAAAATTTTCAGCTGGGACAATAGCCCCAATTGGGCTCAATGTGGCTTCGCCACTGGTCCATATTCCATCCAGCTTGGCTAGAAGTTGGCTGGAATTTGGCCGGTGCGGCGGTGGCTAGCGGTGGTTCGGTTGTGGAAGGTGGTGATTATTGAAAATTGTATAAAATAAATGGTAAAATAATTTTTAAAAAGTAAATAAAAAAGTTATAGGGATGGTATTATTTTTTTCTTGGTACTTTTGTTTAACTGAGAATCAAAAAATTTTAAAACCTCCAAGAGATTGGCCATACAGGCTTGCATTTTCCATATAGAGGTAAATCCTTCCTCCAGGAAAAATGATGATCACAAAGAAAGAAAAAATTCTGAAGAAAACACTATGTGTTTGTAAGAATTTTACACAAACAGAAAGAAAGAAAAAATGAATAACAAAAAAGAGAGGAATGATTAGAAGATAAAATCCTGGAGACCTCGCCACTGTTCTCTAGGGCCGCCGCCACTCTTCCGCGGCAACTCAGAAATTAGGCGCTCCCCTTGAAGGCTTTAGGCTCGATCAGGGAAGGCTTTAGGCTTTAGGCTCTGACGGATGGTTGTTGGATTGCCGCTGCTATTGCTGCTATCGCTACCGCCGAGCCCTCAACTCTTGATGCCACTGCTGCTTCTGTTGCTGCCGCTTTTTATACTGCTGCTGACCGAACCCTCCCATTAGACCCATCACCCCCTTACCCCGTCGAAATCCACCCCACCATTACCATTAGAAGCCCTCACCATCAGACCTATCAGAATCATCTCCCCCTTCCCGCCCCACCATCACCATTAGAAGCCCTCCGCACCTCACCATCACCGGCCCTCCATCAGAACCATCATCGCTCTGACCCTCCCGAAACCTTTACATTAGCACCCTTAACCCTTAGCCCTTACATCAGAACCCTTAACCCTTAGGCCCCAACTTTACTGGCCATGAGACCCTAGCTGGAATAGGCCAACAATGGCCAGTAGCCAACCGGAGGGGGTCCTCACTGGGCCTCCACGAACCTTCACAAGTGTTTTCAAAAACCCACTATACCCAAATACCTCAAAAGGTTACTTATTCAAACATGTCAAATTCGTTGACGGTTCTCCGGTGTTAGAGTTTGAAGATGAGGAATTCGAACAACCAATCGCACCTCATAGGCTGAGTTTGGTTGGGAAATTCTCATACCGAAGGCCGAAAATGGACGAGGTGCATAAAGAGTTTCGAAAAATTGGCTTTTATGGCAATTATACAATCAGACTGATGAATCTGCGACACATCTTGATTCGGTTTGAAATGGAAGAGGACTATTAGCGATGTTGGATCTGCACTTTTTGAAATATTGCTGGTTTTTCAATGAAAATATTAAAATGGAAGTCAGGATTTCGGTTTGAGGAAGAACCACCTGTGGTGCCAATATGGGTCTCGCTATTCGATTTGCCAATAGAATACACGCATCCAGAAGTTATTTTCTCAATAGCAACGGCAATAGGCCAGCCTTTGAAAGTCAACACGCCTACTCTGAATATGACTAGACCGTTGGTTGCGCGATTTTGTGTAGAGATTGATCTCACCAAAGATCACCGGAAATCGGTCAAGATTGGTAAGAAAGGAAGGAAGCATGAGCAATTTTTTACCTATGAGCATGTGCCCTCATATTGCTTTAAATGTTGCAAGATTGGGCATAAAGATGATGATTGACGAATGGGGAAGGCCTCGATGCCAAGAAAAGATGCTGGACATGATGTAGATCTGATTGTGCAAAAGAAAGCTTTTAAAATGTAGCCACCAAAAGTGAAGTGAAAAAATAAACAAGGGGAAGAAAAAGCCACTTTGGAGGTGCAAATTTTGCAGGAGCAACCATTAATAGTTAAGGCCATAGAGGCGCACGTTATGGATTCAATGTCAGGATTGACCGCAAAGGAGAAAAATGATACTCTGGTTGATGTTCAGGATAACTCAAACTTGGTTTCGAATTGTCTTGTTGTGAAAGCCGTGCCAAAGCCTGGAAAAGATGCTGATAAAGAAAGTCCATTGCCAAAGCTCAAACAAATTTTCGACCCTACAAGTAATTGATAATGATGAAGCTATTCTGCTGGATGAGAATGATAATGATGTAGAGAATATCTTCACTGAGAGGTTCATAGAAAAACAACAGCCTTTAGTTAGTATGTAATTAGATGCTGATTTGAGGAAAAAGGCTGCAATAGATGAAATTCAAATGAAGGACAACAATAGCGGTGAGCAACAACAGCTAGTAGTTTTTGAATCGATTTTGCATGAAAATGCGATTATGGAGAGTGCTAGTGAGCATATGCGCAAAGAATGTAATCCAGATAAGGGCTTACTAGCAGATGTAGAGGCATGCATGCCGGAAAAAGTAGATGCGAAAAAGCAACGAATAATAGAAAACATGGAGAATTTTTAAAAAAATCATAGCTCAAGTTGCGAAGGGTGAAGAACCTGATTTTATCTTGGCTCGTAAGCAATGAAAAAAGCCTAGTACCAATAGGAATCCGAGAACAAGACGCTCGGAAAAAATAATTATTGTTAGTTATAATTTTTTCTGAACTTTTTTAATCGCTTTGTAAAATGTGGTAAGTTATATGCACTGCCACTTTCTTTTCTTTAATTTCAGATAAATAAAATGGGTCATGCACCCACTAGGCATTGCCTGTTTTGTTAAAAAAAAGAGAGTAAAAATTCAAACTAAATAATCATGTTAAAACAAAGAAAATAATGATTTTTCTTGTTTTTCTTTTTTTTAAGCTCATTCATGTGATTGATAGAACTAAAATATGATTTCGCTGAGATCCATGAATACTCACTCACTGGGTGTAATAGTTTAAATTTTTAGATAGTATTCCTTTTAATTATACAAAAAAATATAATGAAAAAATTATTAGAGGGGGGTGCATCGACAAAAGGAGTACACTCATAGTTGATTTGAGAAACTAATTCCCATTATACGATCTACTTATGTCGCCCTAGTTAAGTGATGAAGTTTAATAATAAATGCAAATGATTTCGCGGTTGATAAGGCACTCATGAAAGATACTAATGCTTCTCACTTCGTTGGTTTATTATTGCCTTTGAGAAAATATTTTACACTTTTCTTTATATTTCACGTTTCGAAGGCAGTAAATTCTAATAGATTTTTTTTTTAGCCTTTTTTCTTAATAAATTCAACGCCAATACTATACTTTTTACAAAATGAATGGAACATCTCCATCCTTATTTAACGTTTTGTAATTTGTACTCAAAACTCAACGTGCATTATTTTTTATAAAAAAAAATAGCCTAAATTTTGAAATTGATCATCCACATTTGGTGAAACACACATTTTGCTCCTCTACATTAACATTTGGGTAAAATGGTCCTCCACATTTTAGTTTGTAACTTTTTTTCTCCTTTGACCCTATTCAATAAGTGCATCCTCCACTCCTTGCCTTTAAACTCCCATCCTGCAACAATTTCAACTAACAAAAATCAATTCTCTCAACACTGCAAAATTCTCTTTCCAGTATTTACTTTTGAACACTCTACGTTCTAAATCATCTTAACCATATTTCCTCTTTCCCTGTCTCATTTATAGTCTGTAATATTGAACTAATACAACAAGATACAATTTTCTTGAACGAAAGAAATATATTATAAACAATGTAACCATATTAAATTGTAAAATCAAAAATATATATTTAAAATTTAGAATGAGCCCATGCATATGATGAAACAAACTCATATTACTCCTTAAAGCATCACTTCGAAACTTAATTAGTACTACTCCATAAACTATTCTCAGAGTTAACCTTAACAAAAAAAAAAAAAAAATTCTTCTTCTTTCTTTGCATACTCATGTTACTCCTTAAAACATTCACATTGAAACTTAGTTAACCTTCATAATAAACTGTTATCATAATTATCCTTTACAAAAAACTCTTCTACTTGGTTTATTTTGTAAACATCCTTTCTCAAAATCGTACGAGTACGTCTTCAGTAAGTTCGAAAAGATTCAACCTGGGTAGAACAAACGAGATAACAACAACATTAGAACACATATATTAGAGAAGTAAAAAAGAAAATAGGGTCAACCACAAGCCAACAGAGACAGACTACATATATTACATGCATTGAATCTAAGTCAGCCACATAAAATATAAAAGTAAAAGACTCACACTCAAATGAACATGTAGGGAGGCCGAGATTCATTAACTGCATTCTCCATTCCTTGCTGAGTAGAGATTTTTTTTGTGGAAGCTTAGTATCATCTCTTTTGTTGCATACATAAGAAAAATGTTGTGTTATTTCTTGTTATGGTTTATCTCATCTATGTGGTTAGAATATAAATAGGTTGGGGTTCTTGTGGATGTAATAGTTTACTTTTGTCTTTAGGCATTAGCCTCTTTGTACTAAAAAAAGTTTATGCATAAATCATAAATTGTAATATGACTACTTTATTCTTGACAGAGAGAATAAACATATTACCGCCTCTGTCAACATATTACTGCCTCTGTCAAAAAAAAAAAAAAGTCCACATTGAGTAGGATGAATCGACAAAAGGAGTACTGTACACCTTCATCATTCATGATCGATTTCATGGGGGGAACTAATTCTCATTACTCGATTTACTTATGTCGACCTACTTAAGCAATGAAGTTTAATTAGAAATGCAAATGACAACATGGTTAATAAGACACTCATGAAAATGTATTGATACTTCTTATTTCACTGGTTTATCATTACCTTTAAAAAATTATTTTAATCTTTTCATTATATTTCACATTTACGAGTGTTTAAATGTGGAAATATAACTGTATCGCTGTTATTTGTCGGCCGGGAGAGGGGGGGAGTGGTACAGCAGAAGGTGTTCCTGAAATTTCTATGTTCCGTAGTAGAGGAACTCAATTAAACCGCTAGGTTGAATGTTGCTAGAAGCACCCCACGGCAGCGGCAACGTCAAGGGAGACATTTACGAAAGAGAAGATATCAATTTTTTCAATTTTTGATTTCTCCCTTAAATTTTTCAAATATTAGGGTTTGGAAATATTTATAGGGTTCTGTTTTTTATCCAACGGTGATTGTAAAGAGTTATGAATGGTTATGATTAATTAGGTTAGTCAAGTGTTCGAGTTGCCCATTTTTTTGGATTAAAAAACACCTCCAAGGTTTTGTCAAATATCTAAAATACTCTCAATGTTTGAAAAGATACCTAATACATCCTTTGACCATGGGGTTAATTATCAGAATGACCATCTATATGGCGAAATGATGATTTATGATAGTGATGTTAGCATTCTTTTACGTTTTAAGACACAAATACCCATTTTTTACCCTTAAAGTTTTATTCTCTTTTGTAAAATTTTACTATTTAACTCTTTCATCCCATAGACTTGTTGAATAAAATACATAAAACAGAGAAAACTCGACCAAAATTATGATATAATGGACACTCTTCAAACAATTCTGCTCAAAGCTATTGTCCGAAATCAATTACTTATACGGTTGAATAACTCATGACTCCCCAGAGAACTTATGTTGTCTCTAGCATAAGACATACAATTCTTACTATGACACAGTCAATGCAGAAAAAAAGAAAACCTGAGTGATGTATACCATAAAACCACCTGGTGGTCCCTCCGATATTTTCACCAATCTTTTATAATTGATCTCAACGGCATCTCTATAAAACCCACAGGCCCTTTCACTCTGTTGACAACTTGTCATTCTGCTCTGTTTTATACATCCCCTCCCTTGCTCCACCAATTCTCTCTCCTCTCTTAGCTTACTGTATAAAAATGGTGGTCTATCCGATTTACTTCGGTTCTTTCCAGAAACCCGTCATGGTTGAAGCTCAGCTAGTCCCTTAGCCTTCATCCAAGCCTTCACCCACTTTAGAGAACAACGAAAACCAAGACACTCAGGAACAGGCTAGGTATGCTCTGTTTATCTCTTTTCTATCTTCTTTTTTCTTCTCCGGACTGTTTTTTCTTTTTTTTTTTGAGGATCTACTATATTGGATACGATGGGGTGCCGATTGATAGGGGGTGCCGAATCGGTTGATGATCTATTATATTGGATACGATGGGGTGCCGATTGACGGGGGTGCCGGTTAAAAAATCATGAACAAACAAAAGAAGATAGAAAAGAGATAAACAGAGCATACCAAGCCTGTTCCTGAGTGCCTTGGTTTTCGTTGTTCTCTGAAGTGGGTGAAAGCTTGGATGAAGGCTGAGGGACTAGCTGAGCTTCGACCATGACGGGTGTTTGGAAAGAACCGAAGTAAATCGGATAGGCTACCATTTTTACACAGTAAGGAGAGCAGATCGTCTGTCCAGGGTAGCCCTGTCCACCCCTGTCCAATGGATGATACGACGTCATTTTGGTTAAAATTTGCATCCACAATTTTTTTTCCTCTTTCTTTTTTTGCTTTAATGTTAAACCGCTCATATTTCACAACCAATCATGAAAATCCCTTCATCTTTTGAACCTTCTAAAGCTCCATTACTTCATATATTTCACAACCAATCAAGGACTCAACTACAAGTTTTAGTGATAAAATTTGCAATGTTTGGGTATCTATCACACTGGATCCACAAAAGTCATCCGTGTTTCGAATATAAACATCAAATCTGACTCTTCCTCTTTCAAATTTGGGGGGATTTTTATTGTTTGAAATCAGATCTGATTCTCTCTCTTTCACTATTCCGATTGTATGAAGATAAAGCCTACCATGAAGAAAATTATTATTGGGGTTTTAGTCGGTTCATTTCCGGCCATAGATGCCAACATATCTGATCGTTTTTTATTCTAGGAATAATTTTTACAATTAATTTTTTTCATCTCTGTTCCGGCCAATGAAAATGATGCTAGTCAGGGGTTTTTTTTTTGTTTTTTTTGTCTTGAACTTTTTGTAATTTGGTGCTCATCAGAGGAAACTCAATAACACAATCCTTTCCACGAACTGGTATCAGAACGACCATCTATATGCCGAAATGATGATTTATGATAGTGATGTTAGCATTCTTTTATGTTTTAAGACACAAATACCCATTTCTTACCCTTAAAGTTTTATTCTCTTTTGTAAAATTATACTATTTAACTCTTTCGTCTCATAGACTTGTTGAATAAAATACACAAAATAGAGTAAACTCGACCCAAATTATGATATAATGGTCACTCTCTAAACAATTCTGCTAAAAAATATTGCCCGAAATCAATTACTTATACGATTGAATAGCTCATGGCTCCCCAGAGAACTTATGTTTGTCTCTAGCATAAGACATACAATTCTTACCATGACACAGTCAATGCAAAAAAAAAAAAGAAAACCTGAGTGATGTATACGTAAAGCCTTTGGATAGCTAGACTCCTCTTGCAAAGAAAAATAACAGCAACTTAGGGTTCTAAATTTCGGGAAGAATTTTCCTA